CTGTGGAACTCCACGAGGGGCGGGGGGGATGCCAGTCAGGTCGAAGGTGCCCAGCAGATGGTTGTCTTTTGTCAGAGGACGCTCACCTAAAAAAAAATAAAGAATACAAAAAAATGATTAGGCATTTATAACATTTTGCATTCATGATCAATTTTAAAATTTCGTATTAAGCCTCTGGAGTGCTGCCCAATTCGTACCTTCATAAACTTTAATTGTGACAGTAGGCTGGTTGTCGGAGGCTGTAGAGAAGATCTGAGATTTCTTTGTTGGTACCACAGTGTTCCTGGGAATCAGTTTGGTCATGACTCCTCCAACAGTCTCAATACCAAGGGTCAGAGGGCACACATCCAGAAGGACCACTTCTCCTGCAAGGACAAAGTTTTTTGATAAGCAAACACTTGCCATTTTAATTATGTTTAACAATTTCAACTAAGCAAAGAAGACTTACCAGTATCTTCTTCTCCAGAGAGCACTCCAGCCTGGACAGCAGCTCCATATGCCACAGCCTCATCAGGGTTGATGCCCCTGGATGGCTCTTTGCCATTGAAGAACTCCTTCACCAGCTGCTGGATTTTAGGGATACGAGTGGAGCCTCCAACAAGCACAATCTCGTCAATGTCAGGCTTCTTCAGGTCCGAGTCTTCCAGGACTTTTTGTACAGGTTTCATTGTAGCACGGAACAGGTCCTGGATTTTAAAAAGAAATGAAAGTTATAAGCCACTTTAGAGAAACCTTGTTACATTACTGTTGTGCAATTTTTTAAGAAGACTAAACTTACCATGTTCAGCTCTTCAAACTTGGCACGGGTCAGGGTCTCGGAGAAGTCTTCTCCTTCAAAAAAGGACTCGATCTCAATACGGGCCTGGTGCTGGGCAGACAGAGCCCTCTTTGCCTTCTCAACCTCACGACGGAGCTTCTGCACAGCACGGTTGTCTTTGCGCACATCCTTGCCAGTCTTTTTCTTGTACAGCTTGATGAAGTGCTCCATGACACGCTGGTCAAAGTCCTCACCTCCCAGGTGGGTGTCACCGTTAGTGGCGACCACTTCAAACACACCGTTGTCAATGGTCAGAAGGGAGACATCAAAGGTACCACCGCCCAGATCGAACACAAGGATGTTCTTCTCGCCATCTTTCTTATCCAGGCCATAAGCAATAGCAGCAGCAGTACTAAATGCAAGTAAAAACAGAAGTTATTATACAGCAGGAAGGAAAATATTTATACAATAACAGTCTCTTATTTAAATACTTACGGCTCATTGATGATTCTCATGACATTCAAACCAGCAATGGTGCCAGCATCCTTAGTGGCCTGGCGCTGAGCATCATTGAAGTAGGCAGGGACAGTGACCACAGCATGTGTGACCTGAGCACAAAAGAAAACAATTTTTGTAAGTTTCACAAATTTATTAGAAACTAGAATTAAATCAAGTGGTTTGTGGAAACATTTCTTACCTTCTTGCCAAGGTAAGCTTCAGCAGTCTCCTTCATCTTGGTCAGGACCATAGCAGAGATCTCCTCTGGGGCAAAAGTTTTGATCTGGCCACCACCAATGTCAACCTGGATGTGGGGCTTGCTCTTCTTCTCAATAACCTAAAACACAGCATGAATGTTAAAAAAAAAAGATAATCTGGAGAACATAAAATAAAAACCCTTCAAGTATGTCCACTACTGCAACAGCTAAGAGTCGTAGCTCACCTTGAAAGGCAGGTATTTGATGTCCTGCTGCACAGAGGAGTCGCCCCATGTGCGACCAATCAGCCTCTTGGCATCAAAGACTGTGTTCTCCGGGTTAGAGGTCAGCTGATTCTTAGCAGCATCACCAATGAGACGCTCACCTTCACTGGTGAAGGCCACGTATGAGGGGGTGATGCGGTTACCCTGGTCATTGGCAATAATCTCCACACGTCCATTCTTGAAGACTCCAACACTGAAAATTAGAGAGGTGAGTTGAGTACTCTTCTTGGCATCAATGAAGAAAAAAAAATTCAAATGGTGTCTGAAATTTTGAATGCGACTTTATTCCTTACCATGAGTAGGTTGTTCCCAGGTCAATTCCTATGACAGTGCCCACACTGTCCTTCTTGTCGTCGTCATCAGCACGCACGGTGCCGACCACAAGCACTACAAGCCACAACAGCTTCATCTTTGCTTCTCTTTTGCTGGACGCAGAAATGAGGAAAACCTACAAAAGACAAAATAAGACTGTTCAAGTATCCAGAATGCACCACGAGGCCTCCTTCCTTAACCGATCAGTAGAAGTTTGTCGTGGTTGCCCACCATTTAGAGACAGGAAACAAGCATTAAACCAAATGCATGGGGGGAAAAAAACATTAAGTAAAATTACAATATTGAATAACAGGATACATAGTCTTAATCTCCAACAAATATTAGCATTAATGTCAGTTATTAGAATATAAGTCAATTTTATGGAAGAACGAAGACCGAATAAAAATGTAAGGAAGTCATCCTGCATTCAAACTACGTTTTTAAATGGCAACCGCAGTATTAAAAAAAAGAGACCGTATTGTTGTCAATGCTTTGCTAGCGTTATACATTGGTTACATGAAACGATCTGGAAAACACTTATGCTAAGTTGAAAACAAAATGTCACAATATTTTACAGTAATATTTACACAGGTTTATGTACTTACAGTTACTACAACGTTATCAACGATTTAAAGGCCTCGACAATGAATTAATCCAGTCAAGTTCCCTCCAAATGAGTTGCGTATCTTCTTATGTATCCTCTATGATCTTGCCTGTTCTGAATGATGCTGAAAGAAGTGTGCTTTCTCCATATATAAGCCGTCGTTGCTTTTCTATCGTGGAGGCCTGCTATTGGCTGAGTAGCTGTTCGCTGGAAGGCGCTGATTGGTTTCATTCAGCACGCTGTCCGCCACTGATTTGCACACATCAGTTTGAGGCAACGTCATCGCCTTGTGCACCACTCCGCCGACGCCGATTGGCTCAGTCAGCAACGCTGATGAATGCAGTTGGTGCAATGACACGCCGCTCTACATGCCGGCGAAAAGGCGTTGCATCGTCTCATTTCATACATTTTGAAGTTTGGGTAGCGTTTGCTTTTCTAGAACATTCTGATATGTTGTAGAATCCTACAAATAAGCTGCAATATGAATGCAAGTAATTCTGTGGATGCTACTCTAGTATCATGCATTGTAATCATGGCTGCCTTGATGAGACGTGTTATGACTTAAAATAAACAGCAAGTTTCATGAGATGAGCTGACTGTCAGGATGATTCATTCATAGGTTTGTCTGTTTTGATATGAGACCTGCACATATGATTGTTCACTTCAGCATGAAGTGAACAATCATTCCATTCCGTCATTGCAAATATACAATTTGGAAAATAAATTACAATATTCAGTAAGTGATGGCTTTCTTTCTTCTTGATTTAAACCACACTGATTTCTACATCATTAATAAAATAGTGTGTCTATGAGTACAGAAGGGCAGAGGATACCTCAACATTTTTCTAGAAACAGTATGAAAATGTAAGAGACTGATAAAACAAAGACCAACCTGTAAATCTATGCAAAAGGTCAGTCACTGCAGGTACGCATATCAAACTACATTGAACTTAACAGAATTAATTAAATTTATTTTATGGCATTTGGATAAGTATCTATAAACAGATTGACCTTGTGGACATTTTTAGAAATTAACTATAAACTATGATTTGTTGTTTTTCTTTAATTAATAGGCGACACATTGTTTGTTTGTTTGTTTTTAATTAAACTAGAACATGCTTTATAAAAACCAGATCCTCGAGTTGGTGCACTAATATTTAGCTCACTAGAAAGTAAATCTATTTCTCTGAGGATCACTCATTTCCTCCTTTTCCTTCTACAGCTATAAGGAGCTTCCAACACTAGGGAGAGCTATGTTACTCAAATCTAATAATATAACCAGGAAGTGAAACTGGTTGTGAGATTTGCTCTGCTTTTTCAGAGCAAATCTTGCAGGTGAACCAAAGACCACTCTCACTTTCAGACTTTGTGTTCATTCTAAACATTTACATATTTTACATTTACAGCTATGAAGAACAGAAGATTTTTATTTTGGAAATCAATGCTATATCCATCATATTTAATAAATTACAAATATTTTTATTGTATTTAATTATTTGAACCCAAAAGGTGTAGTTGTTTAAGGGGCATCAAGTTACTATATCTATTACACTAACGATGAACTCTTCACATGCGTGGTATTCTGTTCTATGAACCAGTCCCATATCCCAAGATTTAGGATTAAACTGTCAATATTTGCAACAATATTGACAGTTTAATTGTCTTTAATTTTGCTGTGAAAGTGACAAATCAAATCTACCCAAGTAAAATATAGCAAAATATCAGACGATAAGGTTCATCTATTTAATTTTACTTTAGCTCCAATATGACAGCTCAAAATTGTGTAGAAATGAATTAACATTACTTCATTTCATTGTTAAACCTGGTAAAAATGTTTTGTGTTTTGTCATACATAAGGCCTGGCATTAATTTACTTGCCATGTCTGTTTTAATGTGATTATTTAATTTAATTTATTCTTTTATGGATGCTGCACAGCACTTTGCTGCAGTTTATATCAGGTCCAACTCAGAGGGACTTGGAGGCCGACTCAGATGCAGGTATCGACTCTGAGGCCGGTCCCGGGTCGGAGGCCAGTCCCAGCTGGACGAGGCTCAACATTTGGTCCATTCTTAGATGGTTCCCAGGTCTGAACGTCTGTATCATATCGACTCAACATCAAAGAAAAAAATAAGAAAAATAAAATTGCAAATAAAGATTGCTTATAAACACAGAAGAGAAAGAACTTGTAGTGTAATAATAATGAAATCCACAGTCACGTCTATTCCCGATTTTATATCACAAATCGACGTTTATCTAAAACTGGTTGCGCCCTCTAATAACGAGGTATTTGCGCCCCCTACCGATAGAAGGATAGAAGGATCTATTAGCATTTTACTGATGACGTGGTTCGGTCGCTTGACCACCAGAGCAGCAGGATGGCCGACCAGAGTAGGCAAACAAAACTCGCTGCAGCTAAGAAAAAGGTAAAGTGCTTTAATAATGGCTTTCCTTAATTTCACATTATATACTCATCATTTATTTAGCCAGCAAGTTTAATTCAACCGTGTTTCTACTTGTTGTATTATAAATTCCATGACAGAGCACGGGTGTTGTCATTACACGTCGTCCGACCTCTGCGCTGTCGCACGTCCTTCCTCTCGCACTCATATCGCGGCTTCAATGAGCAGGAAAGACCGGTGCCTGTCTCCTGGCCTCTACTGATAGCCTTAACCTTCGTCTGTTCTTAGTTGGAAGTTGTTTTCACGACATCCTATTCATCATAGTGTCTCAACGAGTAACTCAACTGTGGGCCAAAGGTTTACTCGTCTTTCAAGACAAACGTAAATGTAGTCATTGGCGAAATCTCAACGTGCTAAGCAAAGTTAACATTAGCAAACAAGCTCAAAAGCTAACGAATAAATTGCTACAGATGAGTGGAAGTACCATAACACAGAAGCTTGACAACCTTTTGACTCGTTTGCAAAAAATATTAGCATTAGAAATGAGGTTACAAATAGTAATTTTTAGAAAATATAAAACTGAACTCCAGAAAATTAGCTTGCTAGCATAGTGAACTGGATTGAATTAAGGGGACTGTTTTGACAGCTGACACCCCTCTTCTCGGACAGAAGAAGAGCTATTTTGGAGTTTTGCAGAAGGATGAATGCATTTCGACGACTGTACTCCTCAATATTTAATCTTTGGCTCATATATTTTGTAAATAGGTGGTCATAAATTTGAAACACCATTTTAAAATTGATTAGTCACTTGATTTCCTTATTATTCCTCCTGTTACTTTTCAAGGCCTTGCGCCTAAAATGTTATTTTTCAACTCAAGTATTTTAAAACATCGTCTCTGTTTTTGTTTTTTTTGTTTTTTTCAAGATTGAAAATTTATTTTTGTGTTTGTTTTAAACAGCTTCTGTTGTTTGAGAGGCATAGTTTTTGGTTTGTTGTTTTTTTTTAGAATAAGTGGATTAAAGGTGCATTAGTAGAGATTGCTTTGATGTTGCTTCATGCCAGACAAAATTAAACTTGAGAAACCTGCTTAATATCAATTGTTGACTTTTGGGGAGTAGCTGCAGAGAGGCCTAGTGTTAGATCTAAAAATATGCAAATGTATATTCATCATTTTAAATTAATATGTGCAGCATTTTATACATATACATATGGTAAACAGTGGTTGGAACAATAGCAAAAGTAAGGATATGAAAGCAATTCATTACTTTAACATAGTTAATGTTGCTGTAAAGTTTGAGAGTTTTTTAATGTCCTACTAGCCCTCTTTATATTTTGCAAGTTGTATAAAACATGTATATCCAAAGTAAGACTTGAATGTTTTGCAAACAGAGAATGTAAAAGGCTCTCTTTGCATCCTGTTAATTTTTGTATTGTGTTGCTCAGCTGAAGGAGTTTCAACAGAAGAGCTCTCCTGCTTCTGTGGGAGGAGAAAGGGGAGGAGGAGGAAGTGGAACAGGATCCAAGAAGAAGCGAAAGGTGAAGGAACTGAACCAACTTGATGCAGACAGAGAATCCCCAGACAATGTGAGTTTTTCTATAACTTTCTGTTCATTTAGTCTTTTTTTCTTGTTTTTGTTGTTGGATTAGATTGCCTCCTAATGCTACATGCGCATTTTACCCCTCTATTTCGTCTTTTGTATTTTGTGCACTAATTATGTTGATAGTTTCAAAACTATGTGACTAATTTCACAAATTTCAATTTCTTGGCATAGATTGCTAGCAGAGTAGTTCTGTTTGATATTGTCTTAAATATGCTCAGAAATAGAAAATGTCAGATGGTATAGAAAAGCTTTGTGATCATTGTCAGCCATAAGAAAGGAAATGTATAATAGACTTTATACAGTAGTTCTAATAATGCTGGTTACTATACCAGTTATTGTAAACACACGTTTTGTTTTTTGACAAAAGTATAATTGAAGCAGCATATCGACATCAAGCATTGCCTCTTGCTTTGTGTTCCAATTTCAACAATCTGTGATCATATTAAAAAGGCTAATGAGGACGTGTGTGTGGTGCTACTTTCAGACAGCACATGCGCATAACTTGGCTCTGCCTCATGACATTTGACCTTACAGCCGTTCTTTAGACAGCTGTCGACGTTCTTCTCACCGTTACAATAACAGTGACTTCACTCTGCAGCAGTCACAAACATGACCATTGACTTAAAAATGCCATTTGTATTGTTTTTCAAATATAAGCATCTTTTCACCTTTCCTTTTTTTCTTAAATTCTCCTCTCTCACAACATATCACTTATTAATTTTAACAACTCTTTGGTATGATTGGAAAGCCTAAACTTATAAGTGTAAATTATAAATTTAATTTCAGTTTCTTGCATAGAATTCATATTGAAAAGTTTAAGAAGCTTAGTGATAGTTCAAATACAGTTTAATTTAGGGCTAATTACGACTAAACGGAGAGGAAAAAAGAGCTTATAGACATGATGGCAACATATCTTGTGGTCGCTTTATTCTTGTCACACACTAACCTCTGCAGCTCTTCCTTGTTAAAACTGCTTCTATCATTTATCTCTCTGTGACTTTGAGTTGTTTTCTGCCCTGTCACTCTTCTCTTTCTGTCTGCTGCTGTTTCTTTTTGCTGTAGTTTGACAGTTTTCTGAAAGCACTTAGTCAAAGCAATGGAGTAGTCATCCCACCTAATGGCAACTGTCAGGTGAGCCTTTGTCCCTCTCTTTCTGCTTTACCCTTGTCCTCTCCCCTCTCTGCACTTCTTTCTGTAAATAGCTGTTCCTCATTTTTGGTGTATAAGATTATGCCTTGTCTGCTGTTCACATTCTTTCACATTGACCAAAACACACAATCAATTAAAGCCCAAGTCTTGTTTTGCTTTTGTAAGCTCATGTCAAGAAATTTTATAAAGAATTTCAACAGCTGGAGTGTGGAGCATTCTTTGCTTATTGCATGTCAGTACATTGTTGTTTTTTCTTAAGAAATGTTGATCTTATGTTTAGTGTTAGTGGTTGGTATTTGCACATTCTTTAGCTAAACATAGCTGTGATTCCTGTTGCTTAATGATCAATGCAGATGAATATCTAGGTGAACAAGAACGGCGCTCACTTTTCAGCTTGTTTCTTTTTTCTTTGATGTTGAGTGTGTCTGCTTTTGAAATATGCCTATTTTCATCACCTCAAACACATTAACATTCAAACACTAATAAGACTGCAATGTGTTCATAGTGCAGTTCACAGTTACACATAATTGCAAGAGTTAGTTACTAAACCATTTAACAGCATATGTTTGAGGATTACACTTTTTGTCCTCTAGTTTATTTAGTTAATATTTAGATATAAACTGTAAAGTGCATTAACATGACAGGTTTTTATGTCCCAATACTTGTAAACACTTGTCATCTTATATTAAAAGTGAGCTGGCATTTTTGTGTATGTTACCTCAGACCTTTGCTGACATGGAGGCCATGGGGTCCCCTGTTCCTCAGCTGCCAGAGGAGCTGCACAGCGAGTCTGGCAGAGACTCGTCTGTGTCTCACTCTGCTAGTGCTAATGCTGCTACTAACTCTGAGCTTGTCAGTCACAACACTGAGTTGCAGGTGTGTCTTGTTTTCTGTCTGCATGCTTGTTTTATCGTTTAAAATTCACCTAAGCTGCCATAATAGGTCATGTTAACATACAACATTTTCAGCCTAAGAATTTGTGAACTTGTCTGAAGTTAAGATAAGTAAGATTTTTGGCATAGTTATAGGAAAATCCCAAAATGTATATATATATATTTTGTGATATTTTGAAGCGCCGTTGCAGCACACTAATTCACCTGTGTGTTTGCTGACTCTCCTCTGCTTCTAATTTTTCTCTCTGTACAGGATTTTCCAGATACCAATGGTAACCGTAGTCTAAAGGAGGAAACTAGGTGCGTTTTTAATTTTCAGTGATGTCATTTAACTTGTTTTATTCAGTCATCTCACACAGAATATTTGTTTTTACTTTAGTAGATGTACCTTTTATTTGATATTTGTTGTAATCTGTCTTTTAAGGATTTGTTTTTATGTTTTGACTTATTTAGTCTTTTTGCTGGGAGTTATCTTTTCTTACCTTTTTTTCTACTATATGTGAAAAACTAGCATGTCTTGTACTTTTAATATGGTTTCTTCTGGACTATTTGGTCCTTGTTTCAACTTTCAGTGCTTTTACAAAGTAAAGTTAGAGAGGTGAAGGTTGTTTTATTTTTGTGTTTGAAGTCAGTGGTTGTACTTCACCTTTGCAATAACTGAATGCTGATCTATTACTCAAACACACTGCTGTGCCGCTGCTCAGTTTAGCTCCATGTCAATAATTTTTGGGCGTTCTTTCAGCATATTTGCTTTTTCATAATCACTGCTCAAAATTGACTATCAACATTCATAACTTATTTGAGTTTCTCAGACACTCTGTAAAAGCAATGCTATCTTTTCTCCACTGTTATTTTGAGTGGACCCATGTTGCTGCTTGTAGCATAAAAAAGGAAAGTTTATAATTTGTGTTCATCTGGCACGTCTATTTTTGCAGACCATTGTCTTCCACTGAGAGCCTGCGGCAACTCTCGCAACAACTAAATGGTCTGGTCTCTGAGGTAGGGTGTTACAGACATCACTATCATGCCATGCCTTTCCATCTCTCACTCTTTCTGCCTCACACTTTGTCGTGCTGTGTTAGGGTTTTAACAAAACACCCTGCCCGTCTACATTTCCAACCAGTGTGTGTGTGTGTTGCATCTATTGTTTGCAAGAATGCACTGGAAGCATTTTCAGCTCTGCCAGTCCTAGCATACTGACACCATCACCTTGCATTCTTATCAGATATACAGTATCCTTCCTGAGCTTTGTTTGGTACTGGAAAACAGTACACAACAGTTAATATCACAGTGTGTTTTATGTTAAATTTGCTCAGTTCTGAGAAAGATTAATTGAGTAATCATCTCACCTTTGTAAAGATAATGTTGCTATCCAAAATATGAGAAAACAAATGTGATTAAATTAATTGGGATTGTTGTTTGCTGCACAACATTTGAGGGTGTAATATAGTTTTTGAATTAATCATTTTATCCATTAATATTCCTGCTGAGATAGACTGTATGGGGAGATGTTGTTCTCACACTGTCTTTTCGATCGCAAATATGTAAAGTGTGTCATCAGTTCTGTTGCAAAGCTCATAAATTGTGATTTTATTATCATTCCAGTCAACATCTGCTCCATATGTGAATGGGGAAGCTGCACCTTCTGAAGAACTGGAGGTAAGATGGAAAACTTTTTTTTTTTCCACTTTGGATTTGTTTAGTATATTTTTACTCCTGAGCTTCTCCTACACAATTCAGAATAGGATCTACTTTCTCCAAGCTTAGTCCAATTGCCTTCAAAATATTTTAAAACTAGCCTTTTTTTATTTCAATCATCTGGCATTTTCCATCATTGAAAGCATATTACCCACCACTTGTAACAGTAATATTATTTGCCTCCATGTTAATATTTCACTTTTAAATATTTATCTTCCTCCCCTGTGTTCTCTGTTTGACTTTTGTTCCTTCACCTTATTCATGTCTTTATATTTATTATTTTCCTTTTTTTTTTTTTTTTTTTTTTTTTTTGTTTCCCGGATGCATGTGTGCACGTGATAGAGTCGGAACCAGGAGCTGGCAGCCGCCCTGGAATCTAGCAAGCTAACAAACTCTCAGCTCAATACCAAGCTAGACCAGCTGGTAAGAAGCTGTGTGTATGCATACCTGTGTGCCCTTACTTTTTGCATTGTTTCTCCAACCTCCCTTTCAGTTATTTATTTGCATTACGCTTTGGATTGTAATGCATTTTGCATGCTATCATAACCACCAAGCCATCACGCTCATCTTTTGTTATCTCTCTCATTTTTATCTGTTGCTCAGGTGGATTAGATGCATTCTCCACCTCTAAATATAGCATAAGCACCCCATTGGGTGCACATTTTAATCAGGCATCTTAACACTTGTAGTTGCATGATGTTCAGGGCTTATTGAGCCAGTGGACTATTTACAATAACATTAAAGCAAACATTAAATAATATAACACATTAGGAATTACCAAACATGTCTATTATTTTTGTTCTTTGCACAGTAGTTGTGTGGCTGGCATGTAAAAAATCTCATCTGCAGAATTATTATTATATTTCCTAAGATAGAATAGTGTACTAATTATTGGATTACTTTTTTTTCTTTCTTTTTTTTTTCTCCTATTCCTAATTTTACACTATGTTGTCTTGGCAGGTACATACAAATCAGGAGCTCACAGATCAGATGCAGAAGGTTGGAAGTTCTTCTCATTTTCCTACCTGGAGAACATGTTTTACTCAATTCCATCTTTTATGATCTATGCCTTTGAGCTTTAACATGGTCAGTCATGCATTTTGTAATTTTTTGCCTTCAGGAGCGAAAGGAATTTGATCAGAAATTTTCAAAAGAGCAGGGAGCAATGCGGGAGCAGTTACAGGTAAATCCCTTAGAAATAATTAGATTTCTTTAAGCATTCTTGTGGAAATGTACCAGCAAAAAAATTACAATTGCATGGTGTCCCTTTTCCATAAATAGATGGTAATGTGATCCAAAACTCTCTTTCTCCTCAATGCTCAGAGTGATGCGTGCTAAGGTTTCAGTGTATTTTGTTTCTCTGCACTAGAACAAACTGAAAACCTGAAATGTGCCAAAACTGCTGGTTCCTTTGAAACAGGACTAAAAGCATTTTTGTTTTCAGCAGCTTTTGATCAAAAACTCAGACGTTGATAATGAAGTGTTTGAAATATTTGCTTCTTTAATTCATTTAAGATTATATTTTGACATGTTTTTGTTTCATGCAATGCTTTTGTGTTATTTTTTTAAATAAATGGTGTGGTATAAACAAGTAAAACCCACTCTTGGAAACTTAAATATTTTAAAATTTGTTTCCTACAAGGTTCATATCCAAACCATTGGGATTCTGGTATCAGAGAAATCTGAGCTACAAACAGCACTACAATACACACAACAGGCTGCACGACAAAAAACAGGTGTGTATGAGCATAAAATGATTTTTGGAAGATTTTAGGTTTGCACAATCAGTTGGTCAAGTAACTGTTTGCACGCTTGCAATGATGTGCTCTGACTCCATGTGTGTTTGCAGCTGAAGCAGAGGACCTCAATAACCGTCTGCAGACAACGAAGCAGAGAGTTTCAGAGCTGGAGAGGACTCTCTCTACTGTCTCCACACAGCAGAAGCAGTTTGAGAGGGTAACATACTTTAATGAATTTGTTACGAGACAAATGAATAAAGCTGTAACTTCTAAAATGACATTAATTTTCAATTAATTTATAAATGTCAAACAGAAATTAGTTTAGCTGAATGTATGCTGTCATGTTAAGTATAAGCAATGTATGTTTTGTTTTTTTCATTTTATCTTCAGCAAAACAAGGAGTTTGAAAAAGAAAGAGACAACTTAAGGCTAGAGGTGCTGAGACTCAAGTAAGTTTTTTTTTATTAGTGAGCATATTATAGGATTATATTTTTATATTATGCTGCTTTAAATTTGTTTTCACCAACTTAGTCTCGTTTAATGCAAACAAGTGCAGTTCAGGCAATGCAGTTCCTGAAAGTATCAGGCAAGTGGGATGTAATTTATGTTTGTGTGTTGACAGCAATGTAAGTGAGGAGTCAAAGCAGCAGAGTTCTGAGCTGTCTGAACGGCTGAGACAGATTACACAAGATAATGCTGCAATGAGGCTGGAGGTAGACGATCTTCACAAGAGGCTGGAGATGGCAGACCTCATGCTACAACAGGTGCATGCTTAGTTATTCAAGAACATCACATCTGGCTCTGATTTTTACTGTTTAAATTATATTGATCATTTATAATACAAACAGATATTTATTCTTCATTGCTCATTCAAATTTTACATCAATGTGTTTTTATTTATCTCCAGTACTCCAGTCAGTCAGATCCCCCTGGTTTCAACCAAAAAGTGGAGATGCTGCTGGAAGAAAAGCAGCAGCTGGAGTCACGTAATCACCAGGTCTGAGGCATCTTCCTCTTACATGTACATCATGAGCCTTACGGTAAAAATAGGCATTACAAACCTTCATGTAGACCTTATCATCTTGCATAAACTTTTATCTGCAGCAACAGAATTTCTCCTTCATTAATATCATCCACAATTCGCCTCCTCAATATAATTAGGTAATCTGTTATGTTACAAATTACAAATTCACCGTCAAATACAGTTGATGATTCAAAGTAACAGAGGTTGGCTCCTAGATTTTAATGTTAAAGTCTTACTTGATTTATAAAGTAGAGTGGAAAATGAAGTAATGTTTGTTTGTTTAAATATGCAAATACATTGAATTTGGTTAAATTTGAAAAGTCCCACTGAAGGATTGCTAATTTGAAATTAGCACATCAGTTACGATAAAAGGCAGGAACAACATTTGTCTCATTCAAAACTTGATTATTTAAAAACGTAAAGGTTAACTTTGACCAACGTCGACTAAAATTGTTGCATATATTTGTTGTTGTAGCTTCTGGAGTCTATAGCCCAGCTCAAGACGGAGCGAGATCGCTTTGTGGAACGAATCCAGGAGGAGGGCCGCGTGTGGAAGGACAAAACCGAGCAGCTGCTTGCACAGGTATAATGATCAAATGTATTCTATGTCGGGCTGTACTGCTGGAAATTTAACCATGTGAAATGATTTATTTTAATTTCTGTGTGAAGGTTGCTTTGGTAGCAGAGGAGAGAGACAGAAACATCAACCGAGTCCAAGAGCTGGAGGCCAGCATTGTAGAGCTGAAAAATGCTGCGGGTGAGATTTGTTTTCTCAGTTTTATTGGGAAATAAACAGCATCCACACCACAGTTAACTGAAATCAAACCATAACATTGGAGTGCTTGTTAAGTGTTATTATTTCCTTTACAGCATTATTGTCTGTGGAGAAGGAAGCCCAGGAAAATGCTGAGCTTCAACCTTCAGGACCATCAGAGGCAGAGGTGGCTCTGCAGGAGGCCCTCAGTAGTTTACAACAAGAGAAAGATGCCATTACTGCTCAATACCAGGCTCAGGTGTGCATTCAGTTGTTTTATTTAAACATGTGGATGGATAAATAATAGCAAATCCTGTATCACATGGGTCAATTATTCCTGATATTTGAAAATGAGACCAAATATATTTATATATATATTTGGTGTTCCCCCAGCTTCGAGATAACGAGCAGCTAAGTCGCTTGTGTGCGGAGCAAGAGTCACGCCTGGAAGAGTTGGAGCGGCAGGTGGAGAGCCGGTCTCAGGAGGAAGAGGACCGCAGACGCATGTTGGAGGACGTCCAGTCAGACAAGGCCACGATTAGCCGAGCTCTTACCCAGAACCGCACATTGAAAGACCAGCTGGCCGAGCTACAAAATGGCTTTGTCAAACTGGTGAGGCCAAAAATATATTACCACTACTCTGGTCATCCTATTTTGTTCATTTGTCTCCTTTAGCATTGAATTTATGCTCCTGTGTTTCCATTTCTTGTGTTTGTTTTCTACTGTTGCTTTCTAAAATTTTAAATTAATGAAGCCCATCCATTACTTTAGTGCTTCATATAAGTGACTGAGAGCTTGTTTTAAATCCAAGTTTCCTGTTACTCCATCATTATGACAGACTAATGAGAATATGGAGCTGACCACTGCAATCCAGTCAGAGCAACATGTGAAAAAGGAGTTGGCACGCAGGATGGGGGAATTACAAGAGGAACTGCACAACGTCAAGGAGCAGGTAACACACCCACATCTGTTAAAGCCTTGCAGTTTCATATATATGTATATTTGGGGATACAAGTATTAAAACTGAGAATTACCTTGCAGTTTATTCTTAGTAAGCATTAAAACTTACTGTCATTACTTCAAAGCAGTAACATTTTTGTATGGATTAATGTACATTTTTCTTTTGTTGCCTCCAGCTGGAGCTAAAATGTCAGGAGACGCAGGGCGTTCTAGAGCAGAGAGACTATGTGGTGGCCCATCTGCAGCAGTACTGTGCTGCCTACCAGGCCCTGGCTGCAGACAGGGAACAGCTCCACCAACAGTTTCTGCATCAGACCCAGCTCATGGATCGACTGCAGCATGATGAAAGTCACAGCCGTACACAGCTGGATGTCAGCCAGAATCAGCTCCAACAAGCAGAGGTGTGTTCGGACCCTGAATTTTAAAATCATGACCAAGGTTTTTACCCACCTCAGCTGCCTAAAAGAGACCTATTCTGCAAAATTCACTTTTTTCACATTTTTGTATACTCAACTGCTTCTAAAAGGTTCTACGTCTGCTTTTCAAAGTTGTATGGTTGTAAAATTGTGCATCTATTTGCAGCCATTTCCACATGCGAGTGTAAATGTTGAGTTGTAATGAATCACAATTTGGTTGTTTCTTAGAAAGGCTAAAAACATAAACACTTTTTGTGCAAATCAAAGAGTCACAGCAGTTCAATCCGTCCTGCCAAATAAGTGGCCTTCAGCAGCTTATTTGGATTTGAAGTGACTAAAAGCCCTTGATCCATTCTGAAAGGAGCTCAGAATAGAAAGAACTGACTAGACTAAAGTCTCTTTATCTAATGATGATTATGTGCAAAACATATAATGAACATGTTTTCTATCACTGTATAGAGCTATACTATTTCAAGGAAGCATAGTAGGTCACCTTTAAGGTACCAATTCTGTATATGAGGCAGGATTTTGATTTGAGCCAGGTATTTTAAGGTGCTGTAATAGTTGTGCAGATAAGATTCTGAATAATTGCATCAAATTTTGAGGCTGAACTGTCACTTCAAAATGCTTACTCATAGCACATTTAGTGTTTAAACATTTACATAAACAAATTTTAGTTTTAAAAGATACCCTTTGTTTCTTCTTGTAGAAGCATTTGGAGCACTTGGTCAGAGACAACGAACAGCTGAAGGCTGAGCTAAAAGAGCTGCTCAACAGTTCAGCTCTTGTGGTGACATCCAGAGACCAAGGTATGGGTTTGTTCTGTATTCGTGCAGTGTTTTTCTTTTTGTGCTCATATTCTTCTTTAGTGTGTTACAGTCTTGTATACATTACATAATCCAGTTTTAACATTGTTTAATGAATGTTATTTAAGTTGAATTAATGGACCTTTTAAAGGGTCAGTAATCCCAAGAATGTTTCAGAGTTCACCATCATTTGGTATTCAGAACATTTGATTAATTCATCTGGAATCCGTCTGATTTGAATTTTTTTAATCATCTCGGAACGTTCAAACTTCAACTATATTTCTGAACCAGAGTCGTTCGCCCTTGTGAACGCTCCCAGAAGTTGTTGTCTGCCTAAGAATGGCTTTAAAACAGCTAAAAGGTGCTTCACCAAGGACTAAAAAGACAATTTCGAGGCCAGTAGTCACCTATTTTTATTATAAGTTGTGTTGAGCTATTTGAATTGTACTTGGTTGATTTTGTTGCAAACAGCTGCAAGTTCATTTGTGGTGGGAGTTGAATAATTTCATGTGAAACATGATGTGAAACGTCTGACCAATTGTGAAGTAGCTTGTGTAATTTTAATGAAACTGACACTTTATCCGAGCAATAAGCAGATAGCTGGAACCACTCAGGACTTTCTATAAATACTGACTTATTATTTGCAAGATGGGAAATGTTATATACATCAAATATTTTTATTGTTCTACTTTGTCATGTAATTTAGGAGATGGAGTGGAAAGCCAATCAGCAGAGGAGAGTCCTACAAAGTCTTCAATTGTTATCCCAGAAGACTTTGAGAGCCAGAAAGAGATGGTAGGTACAGAGATAGAAGTCACATTGTGTCTGACCTGATTTACATAATTCGATAGTGATTTTCTTTTTCCCATGTTAGGTCTTCTATATCACACTTTTTCATTCTTTCAACAGGAGGATTTTATCCGTGGGGCTTTAGCTCAAGTGGAAGCGGAGAGGGACGAAGCCAGAAGGCAGCTGGAGGAGGAGCACAGGCTCCACATGGCAGCCCGGCGACAGGCGGCCGTGGCCCTGAGACTGGAGCAGCAACACCACAACTACACACCTGTTCACGAAGACGGTCATGAGCACGATGATTGTCAGGAACAACACAGTCACATCGAGCACAATCATGAGCATTCAGGTCAGAAAAATGAACAATTTTCAGTGTTTATATTTTTTGTGAAAGTACCATGTGGCACTGCTCTGTAAATTAGTTTCACCTGCTGGCTCTCACACTGTTTTGTTTATAGCTATGACGGGTTGGTCACTATGTAAACTCTCAGTATCCTCTATGCCACCTCAGCAGAAGGAGTCCCAGTTGAAGTTCATCAGGCGCTGCAAGCTGCGATGGAGAAGCTCCAGCAGCGCTTCACCTCCCTCATGCAGGAGAAAGCCGACCTGAAGGAGCGGGTGGAGGAACTGGAGCACCGCTGCATCCAGCTGAGTGGAGAGACGGACACTATAGGTACGAACTACTTGCTTTTTAAAAATGTTAGATTTATAGTTGATTAATTTAATTTTTGTTTTTACTCATTGTTATTTTAAGGGGAGTACATCGCCCTGTACCAAAGTCAGCGGGCCATAATGAAGCAGAAGCACCAGGAGAAAGAGCAGTATATCAACATGCTGGCCCAGGACAAAGAGGAGATGAAGGTTCTGTACTGATTAGTTCTGATGGAGAGGCACATTTAAATATTTTCTGAAAGAATTTCATCAGCATAAAAGTCCTTTCAATCACTTTAAAGATTGAAATCAGTTTTTGCGCCAGCAGTAATAATAATTTGTTTCATTTTGCCATCAGGCCAAACTGGCAGAGCTGCAGGATCTTGTCCTGAGGCTTGTGGCCGAGAGGAACGACTGGTACAATCGTTACACTGGAGCTGCAGCCGGCATGGGAACAGCGAACCCCGACCTGCTTCCTGTTGGGGAGGAGCACTCTCACTTACAGCAGCAAGCACATAAGCATGAGCTTAATGCTGTCGATGGAGCAGGTAAGAGCAAGCAGACCGAATCATAAAACTAAAACTTTGCATTTTCATGTCTGTGGAGGTCAGAGGATTAATGACCAGTAATACAAAGGAGGCTCATGGGTCAATTTGCCCCACCTTTACTTTTTATGTGGCTCCCTAGACTGCAGGCGCTAAATTACATCAATCTGACCTTCCAGTTTTCGCAGTTTCACAATTGTGTAAATTCAACAAAATTTTAAAATCCCAGCATTTTTTGTGCTAATGCATAACTGAGTTTGTTGGAATTGTGCTCATTAGTGTCATTTAACTTGGTAGTATATTTTTTTTGTTTTGTTTTTTTATGTGGTTCATTTACTATGTTGAAAAACACTGGTCAGGTTAAAATCAACATATTTCAGTCACCAGCCAACCTCTCAGTGCATCTCTAGTGTATTTGATGTGTTTTCTAATCGACTTTATAATCCTGAAACTTTATGTGTTGTTCTCTACAGAAGCCATAGAGGTCAGCCCACTCTCTGAGCCCTCCCCACTACAAGGTCTAGAAGCTGCCTCATCCCAAACATTACTATCTAGTTCTGTTCAGACTGAGTCCAAACCTCTGGTGCCCAGAGAGGACGGCACCGCCCAGCAAATCATGCAGCTTCTCCAGGAGATCCAGAACCCGCAGGGAGCTCCACGGTCACTGCCTTTCCTGGGCGAAAATCCCTGCATCCCCTTCTTTTACCGGCCCGACAAACAGGATGAAGTAAAGATCCTGGTGGTGTGAGACCAGAGTGTGACTGAGGTTCTGTGGTTGAATGATTTGTAGCTTGATGAACATATTTACACATCTCAAGAAGTTTGACATTTTAACAACCGTCTCACCCAGTTACACTGAAATGGCCCCTCGTTCAGTTTGTCCCCCCTTGTTTTGCTTTGTCTTTTTTTTTTTTTTACAGATGGGAGATGATTAGTATTCAAAAACAAAACTTGATTAATCTCCTTATTGCAGTTTTTAAACCCCATCCTCCTTTTGTCACTTATCTCATACATGTGCAATATTTGGGCCATATATTCTGCCCCCTTTTGCTGGTACAGCACTCAAAGAGCTGCTAAAAATGAGCAGTTCTTGTGCAAAAATCAGTTTCAATTCACTGTACTTATGCCAAAAGCATCAGATTTGAATGTAATAAACCCACGTTTTTAAATGTATGTGAAATCCGAGGAGATGGGTGCAGAGAGCAGACATCTGGTTGGTTGGAATAACATTAAATGCAGAGAGCTGTAGGGCAAAGTTAAGTCAGCGTGAAACTTTGTGCCGTTCAGTTTTGAAGTTACACTATCAAGTTCAGGAAGTTAAAGTGGGTGTTGCTGATTGGTACCATTTAAAAAACTACATTCATCTCCTTTGTTTCCTACTTCAAACACTGAAAATAACTCTTATGTTTGTACATTACATAATGTCAATACTTGTGAAATCTATTTTGTGTCGATGTGTTTTAAACGTGCTTAGACTGAGATGTCAACACCGTTACAAACTGGTGGTTGATCAGGTGAAAAATGGGCATGGATGCAATTTAACAGACCCCTTGAAGTTTAACAATGACTAAATACGTTGAAGGCACAACACACCTCTGTTCTGAAAGCTTGGGTCGCTGTGCTAAAGGTTTCTTCCCAACTTATTTCTTTAAATTTGTCTTTTCTTTGGTAGATATTATATTACCACATGTGTTATGAGGCATTTTGCTGGTTTCACCACAGACATGTTTCACATTCCAGCCACTTTCTTCTCTTCCTCAACAGAGCGTCTCAGCTAAAAAATTATTTTCATGGGGTATTTTGTTTGGGACACTATTCTCCAGAGCTTGTTGTGTTCTGTTACGTTCATGTGTAGTTTTACATATCAAAGGATTCAATACACATCTTTGACAACTGGAATGCCTGAGGTTGTGTAAGTGAATTTTTTGCTTGGAATCCAGATTTTCTCTTCGCCAAAAGTGCATCTCTTCTACTTTGCTTTTGTAAAATTTTGTTAGACTATACAAGTATAATTGCACTAAATCTGTACAAAGCTTTCTCACACAGCTCACTCTGTGCCGTCTGGCCGTTTGGAGTTACAGTGAAAGAGGACGGGGTGTCCTATGAAGCTTCATGCTGAGGATTCCCCTGAATTTAATTGCTAGTGTGCGCTTTGCCGCACTCAGAATATGGCCATGGGATTTAAATAGGACAACTTAAACTTTAAAAAGTCTTTTCCATAGGTGAGGGACCAATTGGGTAAAGCAAAAGTATTGAACTCATGAAAAAATGTTACATTTGTCATCTCCATTCGGCAATAGGACTTGGGTAATAACAATTGTGAATATATCTCTTTTGGGCATTAAAAGCAAGGAATTAGAGAGAATCTCAACATAATGCAACTCTGGCTTGTGTTTAGAGAGTAGCAATAGATACTTTGTTTTTTTTTTCCTTTCAAAGCAGATCGTCTTCCTATAACTTTGACTAAACAAAATTGGAGCATTTCTAATTTGAGACCCATTTATATTGGCTCTCACTTATTAAGCTTTGAAATTGTACACAAAATATTTATTGCCAAAAGTATCAGAAGGCAAAGTGGTTGTGCAGAATGTGGTAGTTTTTGCTCACTCCTCAAAGAAAACCAGTAAATTATTTTAAAAAAAATGTATGGGTACAGTTACAGGAATTGCAAAAACCACCAATAGTAAAAACACATTACTGTTTTAAGAACCCCTACGTTTTCTATCTTCAGATTTAGTTTTAATATATATATTTTTATTTGAAGGTTGTTGTTTTGTTTTGTTTTTGGGTGGTCCTACCAACAGAAAATGCAAAATACAATCTGCATTTCCCTCCCACCTCCAAGTTGTGTGAAATCAACAATGTGGATGAAATGATTTCCTACTTCACTGCTTAAAGATGTCATGTGTGATTGACACCAAGAAAAACTGTCTTTATTGTAAAAGAGGTGTTGTATATACTGTAACTGTGTAATATATTGTATATTCATGCCTGATGTGTGGAGGGGGATTCTGGGAGAAGCTGCTTTGCCAACAGTAACTGGCTGTGTGGGCTGTGTGGGTTGTGTGTATGTCTGTCTGTGCAGAGTTGGGATGTTGGCCGTTACTGACTGGCTGTGGTTTATTACAAACATCAACAAAATGAAAAAATATATATTTATTTGGAGTAAGCTAGTATCTCATCTAATCAGTTTTAATATAAACTTGAAGTGAGTTTAGGATGAAGGATCACAGAGAAGCCTGATTTTTGAGTACTGCTTCAAACCCAGCTTTTTTTTTTCTCTCCTCTCTTGAATAATACTTTCCTCCTGAATAAAACTGATTGAGCAACTGAAGCCCTGTGGATTTACTTTTTGTTGGGATTCATCAAGTTGTTTGGTATTATAATCACATTTTTTTTTCCAATAAATACATAAACTAGTTTTGCCAACCTTAATACCTCTTTAAGAACAACTATGTGTTCATATTCTTTATTCCAACAGAAAATGATTAAAAATAGGTTAGACTCTTACTAAGCAGCAAGTTTTCTAATGAAGCTAAATTATAAAAGCTACAGTATGCCATATAAAGCTAAATCTTTATATGGCATACTGTATCTTTATTTTTACTCATTTATTACCAATTTTAGCTTTTATTTCCTACTTTTACCATGGAAAACTTTGTGACCATTATTTATAAAAAGTGCCAAATGTTGGAGAAAAACAATAAACACCAAAGTACACAGAGGTCTTTTAATATGTAGTTGAGAGTACAGCAGTCCTCCAGGATAACCTTACAGTTTCTTTCACATCAGCCAGTTTACACACAGCGTCCGTCTGTTTAACGTTTTATAAATTCAGAGAGAAAACACAAACACATCCTCCCTGACGGAAACAAAAGTATCAACCTGTCAGCATCCTTTTACAGCACAGTTTTTATTTTTTATTTTTTATTTTTTATGATTTATTATTTTTCAAGTATTCTGTTATGCTCATTTACTCATGGTTTAAATATTCTGATGTTGCATACAATGTAGACTAAATTATTTAAACAGGAGAGAGTACATGTCTAGTAAAATGCACCACACGAATACATAACACATTAATAAATTAAATGAGATATGACTTCACGTTTGCTTTGCAGATGTTTAGATCAGAGATGAACAAATAGGTGATTTTTTTTTCTAGTTATGATCACAGGGTAAAGATGTGTGGAAGGTAAGGCTAGTGGGTTGTTTGTGTTTGGGGTCAAAATACAACGCATGACACTGACAGCAGAGCTCAGTGGCAGAAAAAGGAAGGGATTAAAAGGTGGTTTCTGCTCAGTAATGTGGTACACAAGCAACACAAGCAGTGGTACTTAATGCATGTTCTCACTCACCCCCGTGACCACTGAGAGAAAACAGAGCAGGAGAAAAAAGAGAAAGAAGAAACGGCAGATCAGCAACTTGAATATATTACATTTCTTTTTCTTTTTTTCCTGCTTAATTTAACATTGGAGGCATCGTGTGCTCAAACCTGACTAACCTCAGTTACTAGACCATCATCTTGATTTATACTCGACATAAAGAGTTAAAGAAACAACTCAGGTCACAAAGTCTCCTTCTCTGGTCTCGTTTTGTTCAGTTTTAGGAGCGGTGCTGCTGCAAAAGCATTCAGACCTCTTGAAACTTTCTCACATGTTGCTGCAATAACCTCCAGTTTGCTTTAGTGGAATAAATGAATAAAAAGTACATGATTCACCAGTGGAAAGGAAGAATGGTTTTGACGAACTGGAACGTGGCCCACTTCAGGTTGATTAAATCTCTTACCATGCGCCTATACTTTGCAAATTGGCAAGAGTGTTAAAAGAAAGTTGGGAAAGGTCATCTAGAAAATTTAGCAGTAGTAATAATGCCTTGATAAGCAGAGGAACAAAAAGGGGAAATAAACTACATTAGATGCATTTTTTTGCCATAAAAAGACTGAGAAACCACTTTTGTCTTTTGCATAGGTCGTCTGAGAGCAGGAGTTTAAGAAGAGGATGTGACACAGCTTTGTAAGAACATAAACAGTGAAACTTTCTGAAGTGTGCGACTGGCAAAATCAGAGGGTCCACGACGTGATTCTGACTTCTGCTTTACAGCAGAGGAGAACGATGGAGAGAATGAAAGGGAAAAACGAAGGAGACTTTTGTCCATTCAGGTTTTTCAAATTGAAGCATTCAAATGTCAACCACGTCTTCCTCACCTGGGTGGTGCTGCTGTTTAATAGTTTTGGACAGTGGGAAAGCATGCATTAGCTTAAAAAAGAGAGAGAAAGGAAAATGGTATTTGGGGCATCTGTATGAAATGGCCCACCCTTGTTTGACCAAACTGTTCAAGGAACATAGAAAAATCAAACAAGAACTAATTTGGCAGGACGAGAGATCAAAAAAGAAACTCCATCAACCAGAGAAGAAAGTATGTTAAAACAGAGATGATAAAAATTTGTTGTTTTTCCTTTTTGGAGGGTAATTACAAATTAACATATTTTCAGACTGAATTTAGTTTGCATATCCTCTCTTAAAGAAATCCTTCTACCACTGAGCAGCAAATGTTGCAAAGAAAAACAATTTTTCCTAATTTCTTTACAAAAAAAAGATGGAGTAAATCTTTCACGATCTCAAAGCATGCACCACGCTACTAATATGACATTTATGTGCAAAAACTTCAAATCGAATAATGTAATGCTTCCATGTCCCTGGTTTACATCATTCTGTTCCTCAAAACAAAGGTGAGCGAAGAAATTCTGATAAAAGTAAATGAAACAAATGTTCAGACTGAGACGACGCTTTAGAAAAGCTCAGGCGTTGATTCATGCTAAACTTGCAGATGTTTACCCCTCTTGATATAAGAAGAGGGGAAGCACTTTGCTCTGAACTTGCGTGGATATACAATACTTTGACTCAGTTGTCTAATATGATCATTTCATGGTCTCTGCGATTAAGCTGTGAAGAACAAAGTTGTACGTAAGTCATGCTTTCAAGTATTTTGCTTCTCTGTGTGAAAACAGAGGGGTGGGTGGGTGGGTGGGGATGGGGGGCACAGGGGCAGGAACAGGAGGGTCAGACCAGGCGGTAGACGAGAGGAAGGTGGCGCCGTTGTCCGAAGCGACTCTCTCTCGGGAAATAATGGAGGGAGGAAGGAGCTCTGGGGTCTAGTGTGTTGGAGAAGGTGGGGGTCTCCGACTGGCACGGACAAACAGAGAGGGAAAGACATAAAGAGAAGACAAGAGATCAGATTGTTCTTCATAAAGTGGATGGTTTCTTGCTATTTTGCTTTCTTCACCGACTCCCTGGACTAAGTTAGGTTCTCCAAGGATTATTCATCCAGGTGCACAAAATGACTTCACAGACCGGCACAACTATTTGCAGTGATTTGCAAAAGTATCCACACCCTTGAAGGTCATATTTTGTGGTTAGAACCATAACTTCTTCAAATTTTAGTGGAATTTTATGTGACTGTCCAAGACGAAGTCGAGCATAATTGTCAAGTTGGAGGAAATTGACTTGTTTTCAAAAAGCTTTGCAGATAAAACCTGAAAGTTGTGTGGTGGGTTTGTAGTAAGCCAATTTTAAGTGAAGCAACCAGAGTGGCAAATAGAGCCCAACTTTGTGTAATTGAATCTCTGTTTACAGTTGTCCCAGAGATAACTGCTGAAAAATTGAAATCGTCTCTGGACTGTCATAAAATTTCCATTCAGTCTGACAGTATTTAAGGAATTTTTCAAAGAAGACTTTGAAAAATATTTTAGTCTTCATTTGTGCAAAGGTGGTGGAGATAAAATCCAAAGCACTTCTGAAAGGGAGCGCTAAATACAAATACATAACATTTTAATTTTGTAATCTAAAATGCAAGTATAATTTTCCTTCTACGCAGCTACGCATTAGTTTCTGCTCAACAACATCAAATCTCCATGAAACAGTTGTTTTGATGTGACATGATTAAATGTAAAAAAGCTTCAAGGGTTGTGAATTCCTTTGCTCAGAACTGGATCTTGTCGGGTTGCGCATGGATAACTCACAAAAGTACCACCATCATTACAGAGTTCTCAGTTCTCTGGTTTGTGGAAACAAAGAGCGTAATGAAGATGCTGCGACTGCACATCCGACTAGGGGTTAGCCTGCGTGTCGCTCTGTTGTGCATTTTCTCCAACCAACAGAGATGCATCACAGGACAGGTGGGATGTCATGGTTCTTACAACCAAAATTCAAGAAAAAGCACAAAAGCTGCGCTCCTGGGCACTAAAGGTAACCCACACTTTTCTGTTTCCTGTGACCTGGTTCGGATGAATAACTCCTAAAGATTCATGCACAGCTCTGAGAAAAGAAAAGTGCGAGAAAGAGAGAGAGAGAGAGAGAGAGAGAGAGAGAGAGAGAGAAAAAAAATGCCATGCAGCAAAAAGATGAAATCCGAGGAGTTTTGTGAACACGATGAGCATGAGGGGGACACACAGCGACCAACATACCGAGAAACGTTAGTCTTCATCGGTCAGTGATAGTGATTCTGCAGGAGGAACCGTAGTTACGTGTGTGACAGAGGTGTGTGTGTGTGTGTGTGAGAGGGAGAGAGAGAGAGAAGGACAGGAAGGAGCAGGGAGACAGAACAAATGCAAAGAGTTACAGTGAAGGGGGCAGGCGAGCGATGCATGTGCGCAGCTCTCTTTAAGAATAAACCCGTGTTCAAGATCCATAAAGAGATTTTTAGTCAATGTTTGGGCTTTTTTTCCCAAACAGAGCTTTGCACAGAGACTCTCGATTCTACAGTAGGAACAAGAGGCAAGTGGCTTTAAAACAATTAGCTTTAAAAACGTTCATAAATTACAAATACAGGAAAGCACAAGGGAAACATAGAGGCCATGGACACCAGGCGAAAACAATTATCTGCTGTGACATAAGCATGGGTGCAAATAATAAGTTGTTCGTAATTTGTAGCCGATGAAGCATTATTGTGTTTAAAGTTCACTCAGTTACAAAATGAAAGGAAAAAATGCAGTCGGTATCACTTAAAATGTATCTACTTAAGGATTTCTAACCATCTGCCTATTTTATCTACTATCCTCTATCACAAAGCAGTATTCTCTAGTTTGATTTACCTCATTTATTCCCTCATCCAGGCATCTTCACATTCCCCTGACATAGAATATCATAAATATGGGTTGAACGTCCAACGTTTTGCAACATGTTTCCATTTGGGGGCTCCTGGGTTTAAAAGGCTTCTCGTGTTTCTGCTCACCTTGGCACACTTGGGGGCGCGCGGTTAGGCCGGGAGGGCACGGTGGGAGGCGGCCCGCCGTGAGGATCTGGAGATGCTCCAGGGCGAGACGGTACAGGGGGGCCCCCAGCAGGAGGAGGCCCCGGTGGGGGCCCACGGGAGCCAGGGCGAGCTGGTGGGCCCGGTGGAGCCCTGCGATTTGGAGTCGGACTGGTTGCTGGGGACCTGGAGAAGTAATGGAGACGGGAAACAGGGAGTTTTTAGTACCGACTTGATCGGTTTGATTGATTTTCTGGAGAGGCTTGAATTATATACTCACAGCATAAAAACTTTAAAATGCTAGTTTCTTTGTTTTTTCTGAAAAAGTTGCTTAGCTCGCTCTTTTTTTTTTTTTTTTAAGTTTTGAAGTTAACCCACCTGTCAAAAGTTAATTTGCATAAAGAAACCTGCAACCACTGCAAGGGGCAGAATACGCAATTTAAGAAAAGATTCAAACTATTTCACATTTACATACCTTCCTCCGGATCCACCGCGTTGGACCTGCAGCCAGGAGTCGTCCACTGGAGGCGGCATTGACGTGCTCACCGTGGTGGTGCTGATGTCGCCGATGATGCTGAGCGCCTCCCGCAGGGCGTGGTACATCCTGAGCATCTCATCGCGATGCTGCGCCTGCTCCTGAGACTCCTCCATCAGAGTGTTCTGGTCACCGCATGAGTAGAGCTGGGCCAGCAGCTCAGCATTAATGAACTCTTTTGTCTTAAAAAAAAAAAGAGCAAAAATATTTAAAATGACTTTTTTTCCGCACTTTTAAATCTTAAAAGCTTTTGTTACTTTCGCAGGAGTCCCGCTGACGACTCACGCTGTTAATCATGAGATGCATAACCGTCTTCGGTATCAGGTCGCGCACGGTCTTGTTGACGATCGCCATGTAGGAGTCGACCAGGTTGCGGATCGTCTCCACCTGCCGCTCCAGCTGAGGGTCCATGCTGTGCATGAAGTTGTCTGAGCCGTTTTCATCGCTGCCTTCGCTCTGCGGAGACGGATTAGAGACGATTCACGGGAAGCAGGACGGTCAAAAACCACAAATCAGACACGTGGAAGGGAGGACGGTGGCTTTCTCTGGATGTTTTGTCAACTTGCAGCTTGAAAACGTGTCGTTTCTTCACACCGAACCTCAAATGCAAACAATGCAAGCAAAAGGTCATTCTGCGTCCAAATGAATCAGCTGTAATAGTTTGTTTTGGTCCAGCATTGCAGGGAATTTTATTGGTGTCTCACTTTTAATGCGGGTGTTTCAACCATAGCTATAATTGAGCACGGCAGCACTTAAATAACTTACATTAAAAAATTTTGTTCGACTTGCGTGCTGAAAATCCCTGCATGTAGGAGTATATAGAGCTAAATCAAGCTTAGAAGGAGGTATCTATAATAACAATGTTGTATATTTCTTTAGACTGCAATAAATGTCTTTACTAGATTTATTTGAGTTCTGTAACAGGATTGCAATCTTTCATTTTTGCTGTGAATATTTGAAATTAATTATGCATTAATTACTTTGACAAGAAAATAAAACAATGTCCTCGACCCCTACTGAGCAAACACAATTATGTTTCCTGAATTTATGATGATTTCTTTTTCATATTAAGTATCCTCAGTATTTTTGAAATACCTACAGTTGTTGAAAATGTGGGCTACCTTTACTGATTACTGTCAGTTTATTAAACTTAATGAAAAACAAGTTCAAAACAGCTCATAATAATGTGGGAATGATAAAAAACAAAAACAAACAAGAAACAGGAGGGAAGGATAACGTACCTTTCCTTCCTTCTCCTGCGCGGAGCACAACAGCAGTGCAAAGACATTGAAAAGGACACACAACATGTGAGGCATGACAACAATGAAAACGACGATGCAATCGATGAACATTTTCTGATGTCTGATCATTTTCAAATGTGAAAAAAATCGGAGGGATTCTATTCGTGCAAATGTTGCATGTTTTTTAGTACTCACGATTATATTCACGTCATTGTGGTCAGTAAAGACATAAGGCTTACGGTTACGCGTTCAGGATAAACTCCAGCTCTGAGGAAGGAGGCCTTCCAGGCATCAACATCTTCCTGGCTCTCACAGGCCAGCTCCAGCTGACGGTAGTCCTTGTACACATTTCTGTGGATGCAAAACCGAGGGGTCAAAGGATGCAACCTGAGCAACTTCACACATTTCCACTGAAAAGTTTACTATTATAATAACAACCTTGTAGACAACACAATTTTATTTTGAAAGTTGCATTTTTTTACGGCATCAGATATATTTTTCCAGTTGTTCGCATGCTACAATTTATAAACCTGGACATCAAAATATTACTATTTTTGAGTTATTAGCCAATAACAAACTGTGCTCTTTGAACTAAGGTGCAACTTAGTTTGTCTAATAAGTGTTCAATAAGTGTTTACATACTTGGTAGTATTTGCACAAGTATTTGCACAGTATTTACTCATTTTAAATAACATTTCTACAGATAACGTCACAATTCTGCTGTGCAGTTGACAAAACTCTGCAGTTTTATTGTAAATAGTCTTTATTTTGATCTTCTACTTCTGGAAACCACAGCACATTCCTTTGGACCAGAATAGCTATATTTAATAACTGCACAATACTTATGTTGCAACTTACTGTACAGTTTTTATATTCTCTTTTTAATCTCTCCAGCCTGGGACAATGAAGGAATTTCTTTTCTATCCTAAACAGACGCTTCTGCCAGCTGCTTCTTTATGTCAGAACTCTGAATGTTGCCTTGTGAATTTTCTCACATCACTTTATTTGTGTGTAGTCAGAGTGTTTTTGGGCAACAGCACCTCTGCTCAGTGTTGAAGAGAGCAAAGATGTGCTTGCTGGACATGAAGCCCTTCTCCACATCCCGCAGCCTCAGGTTGTCCACTGGAAGCATGTACTTCTTCTCCTTCTCCTGCAGGGGGCGAAAAAGGAACACTTTGATGACAACAATGGCTGCTACATCTACTGAGGAGCATAGCAGCACAAATAGTGCTTGAAGGCTAAGCTGCTGCTTTGGCAATGTGAAACCAGTGGCGACTGCAGTGTTAGGTCTCTATTTAAATGTCTTTGAAACATAAAGAAGAGAAAAAAGAAATCGAGTAAAAAAAACTCAAGAGACTTTGTGCTAAGTTCCCAGGCTGATGAACTGGGACCAAGACAAAGGAGTCTCTGGTTTTGATTACAACTTTGGGTATTCAACTCACACACATATATACAAACACAGCGGAGACTCGAAATGTCTTGTACTTGTAAATCTGCACACAACTATGCGGTATACAAACGCCCAACTGTTGATGTATCAGGGAGGGAACCTCAAAGTTAGTCACCTCAGTCGGAGACATGCCGGCTCTCTCTAATTCACACAAATGTTGTGGTTGAACTCCTCGGGATCTATTGTTGGAAAGTTTGTATTTTTTTTTTTTTTTACTACACACAGTAAAGTAAGAATTAACAAAATTGCGCGCTAAAAATAAGCCAGGGTGACAGAGTTTCTAAAAACATGCACTCAACGCACACACATACGCTGCTCTTCTTATAGTAGTCTCTAACTAACCTTAAAACCATCTGGAAGGCTGACCGCAGGCGTGCCCTGCCCAACCGTGTGTGTGTAGGCGTGTGCGTGTGTGTGTCAAAGTTAAGAAGGAATAGACGCAAGGGATTTCACGTGAGACCAAACTCCTTCATCAAAGGATTTATGACCTGTGCAGCCAAATGGTCATATCCCTGAAACCATATAAAATCTCCACAAGCACACAAAGGAACACATAAACACACATTTGCCAGTGCCAACACTCCTTGGTGTCTACTACACACACTCACACACACATAAGAAAGAAAAAAAAAAAGCAAAAATCAAGCAATTGCCCGATACTGCTCAATGCTGACATCATCATTTATAGCACTCCCATCCTCCCTCCTCCCCTCTTTTCTCTTTTATTTCTTTTGGTTCAGCATTTCTCCTTCTTGGCCTTCCTCATTCTTTTATTTTCTTTTCAGTTCCCTTGTTCCCCTCACTCTCTGGCTTTCCCCTCTCCCGGGGAGTGAGCAGCCTTGGACTGATTCATACATTTTCCTTTCCTCTGGCCAGTAAATCCAGTCAGGAGAACTGGAAAAGATGGAGGAGAAGCAGGAGGAGGAGGAGTGCAGAGGACTACTGGGTGTCTAGATGTTGAGGGGAAAGTGAAATGAACAAAAGCAGACATAAAGAACTACGGTTGCTGGGATGTTTTGCTAGATTTTGTGTGATTCAGCAGGTATAAACGATGCGGCAACGTGGCATCATGTCAGACTATTGTTTTCTTTCTGACAATTGGATCAATTTTTAAGGATTTCTTTTGCTAGCGTGTGTTCAGGCATGTAGACTGAGTGCTTTCTCACATGCTCCCGTAAACTGAAAGTCAGCGTGAGTGGGCAACGATACAGATTTCAGACATTAAGCACACTCACATGGATACATGAGAAAACAAACAAAAGCACGCAAGCACTTTATTTGACCTTAGCCTGTAGAATGTAGTCTACACTTTGGGACTGATTCAAACAGACAGATGCAAAGGGGCGCTATAGGCTGACTTATAAAATACTTTAAGGCCTTTAAAAAGTTCTTGAACTTTTCCGAATTTTATAACTGAGCAACCAAAAGCTTTTCTGTTTTGTTGGAAGTTTATGAGACACACAGTGGAGCCTACTTGTAAAATGGAAGAAAAGTGATAATAAATTCTAATAAGGTGCGACATGCATTTATATTCAATTTCCCCGTGTCAAAACTTTGCAGAACATAGTGTTAATGCAGTTGCAGCTGCAGGTCTTTTGGGGGTACGTCTCTAACAGCTCTGCATATCGAGAGATTGAAATATTTGCCTTTTCTTTCTCACCAAATAGCTCAAAGTCAGTCTGATTCAGTTCTGAACTTTGACTGGGCCATTCCAATACACGATTTAGCCTGAATCTAAATCATTCAATTACAGCTCAGGCTGTATAATCAGCTTTGTCTTTTGCAGATTTCAAAAGATTTTCTTCTGAGGCTGCTCTACATTCATCTTCCTCCATCTTCCCATTAAATCTGCTGATGCTGACCCTCGCTGCATGATGATGCCACCACTATGTTAGGGATGGAGTCTTGGGCAAGTTTTTTGTTTTGTTTTTTTCCTAACACAAAAGAACTTTGCATGAAGGCCCTAGGATGGCATCATGGAAAAGGAGATCTTTGATGAATTTTAAGTCAAGCAGCATTTGAATCGTTTTATGGCTTCCTTTCAACATTTCAACCTCCGAGGGCTTCAAAGAACAGATGTATCTCCAATGAGAATAAATTACACACAAATGGATTCCAGTTACCAGGAAGGAGAGTGCTCAGGGAAGGTGGCTGCACTGGATTTAATTTATGAAGATTAAAAGGAACTGAATGCACGTTTATTTGCAAGAAACATTAAAACCAGCTTCAAATTTTATTTCAATTTGCTGTTATGCACAATTTGCTGTTATGCACAACTTTGTGTTGGACTATCAAAGAAAATACCACTAAAACGCAACCCTGTGGTGCTTACTAGGTTTTCGAGCCAATTTACTTTTCTGATACCCAAACTCTGACTTTCAAATAAACATATACTTGGAAATCTGTGTTGACTGAACCACCAATCTGGCTTTGGAGTGGACTCTTCCTGTTTCAACTTTTCTTTTCAGTGTTCCTTCGTCCATAAATACACCCCAGTCAGCACATGTTGTAGTTGGTGTGTGAATAAAGTGTAGTTTGCATGGTTCTGTTGTGTGAGTGAGTGAGTGAAAGCTCATTCATTAAATCCAGGGGAAGTTTCCTCCTGCATTCATACATGCATTTCGCCCTCCTGCTCACCATTCAAAAAATCATAAATAAAAACAAAACAAACAAAAACAACATCTGAAAATCTGAAAAGCTCAGGCACCGTTTCTGCACGTTAAACACACATAATCACGCGTGGAAACCTAACACCCCACAGAACACGCATGACTACATGGTGACCTTACACATCCCGGAGCCAATTAACAAATCGGAGTTGATTGGTTGGTGAAAAAAAAAAAAACAGAAAACGAGAAGACGCTTGTTTAATGCCTTCACGTTGTTTTAAGGGTCTGCACGCTCGGTGTGTGTTTGTGTGTGTGCGGTAACGTGCAAGTCGATGGGAGTTTGATAGAAAAGTCCTGGTGACTTGGGCCGTTCATCAAAGCGATGTGGAGGAGCTGCGCGGCATCTGGGAGCAATAACGCTGCCTCTAACCCTTCATTACCACAAAGACCGGGCCCTGGGTGGCAGCCAACGGCAATTTTCACAACCCTCCTCACCTCCCTCCGTTTTTTCTTTCCCTCCATTCTTCTGCCATTCCCCCATTGAGTTGTGTCTTCAAAAAAAGAAAGTTTAACACAAAGGGTAGTTCTGTTGTTCCGACATGATGTGGATGCAGGAGGAGAGTTAGTTAGCGAGGATAATGAACCCGCTTCAGCTGGTGAACTGGTGAAAAGCAAGAAGTCATTTTTCACCACTAGAAGACTTTGCAAATGTGATAAAGGCTGGACATTAAAAAATTAAAAACGACAACAGACCTGTGAGAAAGAGCAGAGGGAACATCTGAGGAAAACTTAATTAGTCTTTATACAGTTTGGACTTTATTTAAAGTAAGACCACATGTTTACAGCATTTAAATCAGGACCAGAGAACCTTAGTGGAGAGACGTCCAATGGGAAACTATTAAAGTGGAGCTATTTCAGGTTCAAGTGTAAAAACTTGCAGCTGTTTATGACTCATCAGTCTGCAAGGTTTGTTCAATAATCCTCCTAACAAATCACCTTGGGCACCGGACCAGTGTCCACACACTCTCTAATAGTTCATCAATTATAGTAAAGTGTTACCTGATAACACGGCAGGAATCCTCCTCACCGGACTGCAAGCTGCAGCGTCCAGATTCCCGAAAGCAACAACACCGAAATCCCACACATGATTGATTGAGTTTCGGCTGCTTGCTCTGACCGTCTCGGTCTCTCCTCGCCGTGTTTCTCTACTCTTCCTGTGAAACCGAGCGCAACAAAGAGCAAACTCCTACATTAAGACAGGAAGCCTGATGTGCAACAGCTGGCAGAACCCAACAGGTCATTCTTCCTGTTTAGCGACTCACTCCATGGATTTGGAGGAGATACTGTGTGGGATTTACATTCAGGGAAGGAAAGAAGGAAGGAAGCAAAAAAGGAAGAAAGGAAAAAAGGAAGGAAGAAAAAAAGGAAAGAAGGAAGGAAAATATCTTTGTTTTTCCTTGCGCATCCAGTTCACTTTTATCAAATTCTGGACTTTTCCGGTGATTATTCACATCTGACCATCAAAACCCTAAGAAACAAATAAAAACCTGAAACCTCTGCCATGGCAACACCTTCGCCATCACGATGCTCCCCACATGTGTGTTTGACCAAGTGTTCAATTAGTATTTCTGGCTCACCGGTTTCACTCACACTAAGACGTTCGCTGTTCTATGACGGCATGAAATCTGAAGAATATTTATAGTCCCCTTTCAGAGAGTCACGTAATCACAGCATCAGAGGTTCCTGTATTTGTATTACTCTGTCAAAATGATGAATGGCAAATGTGGAGAGTCTCCTGGTTTATACATACGAACAAATGTGAAGTCTCCGTTGCAAAGTGTAAGACAAAACAATAGTGATAAAATGTAAAACTTTGCAGAAAAAAAAGAACCCAACTCTCGCAGCAATTTGTTTTTTGTTCTTTTACTTTGCTTTTGTTTATTGTTCTGGTACCTTTTCATCCTTTTCCTCTCACATGTGCTTTTTATTTAAGCATACTGAAAAATAATAGTTTTTTTCCTAAATAATCTGATTTGTTAAATGTCACATTTTTATGTTAATCGTTTGCTTTTACTGTGATTTGAAAACAAAATGTGTTTTCAAATGTGTTTGTCCCAGATTTTTTTTACCCCCTTTCTTTCTAAAAACAGGGGGGGGGGAATAACTATTTCTTCTTGGACTTTTAAATTTCCTTGGGTTTCTTCATGAAAACCACATTTGCAAAACTGGTTGAAAAGTGCGAAAGCATGCAGCGGTGTAAATCTCAAAAGTGCAATTTTGATCTGAACTGAACATAAAAGTCAGAACGTACTAAAGTAAAACATCCACATGTGTAAGCTAACCTGAGCCTAAAATGCAAACAAGCTTTGAAGGCACACATGGTTTTCATGGTGCACCATTTTAGAAAAGGCTTTCGTTCGACTCGCTTCTTATTAGAGTTCTTGCATGCCTTTCAAATGTGCAGGAAAAGAGGTTAAAGTATGAAAAGACGGAACAAAAGAAGTTAAAAAGAGCAGTAGCTTTTAGGGTTTCGTTTTTTTTCTCACATGCACAAGTTAAACGACAGTGTGAGTATATTTCATTTGTAGTTTAGTTCATGACAAATGAGGATTGGGAATTTTTCTTCTTCTTGACCTTATGCATTTTCAGCAAATCCAGGGTTGTAAAACTTCGTTTATGAGCAGAAAAATGTCTCACTTATGTCAAACTCTTAGGATCCAACAGTGCGTCATTCTCAAAATCATGGAAAAGTCAGTAACTAAAACAAGGTGTAAAATTTTGTATATTATGTGAGCTTGAATTAATAAATGGAATTAAAAAAAATAGCAAAAGAAAGAAAAGCTTCACACAACACTGACAAAAATCAAGTTTCTCTCACCTCCAACTTAAGATTCATTTGATTCAAAAATATTTAAAGATATCTCATTCAGCAGCAGAATAATAGAGTTACTAGGCTTTTTTCACCCCCAAGAAGCTTTTTATTTAACTGTTCCACGCGCTTGGTTTTCTTTCCTTCATCACACACTAAATTTTTCCTAAATCAGCTCCTTTCCTCAGTTCCTGCTGGAATCAGCACTTATTTTGCCTCTTTTGTTTAATCGTGAAACGCTTCAACAAGTGCTCAGTGGAATGCTATAATTCATTGCGTATAGAAATAGCACTATTATTCATTCAAATTGCTTACATTTCTTATTATCTACCAAAATATGTTAAACATTATTTCCATTTCTATTTCATTCCTTAATGTCGAATGACTTCACACCTATAATGATGTGGAAAAACTCACGGCTTATTTCCTGTGAAACATGTCTGTTGATTTTTCCAAATGTTCTAGACTGTTGTCCTGCTGGAAAGAAAAACAAAACATTAATGATTTCTCAGTTGTCATAAAACTACCAGAGTTTCAAATTAAATATTTTTTGTACTAAAAGAAACAATGACGCTACCGTAGCAAGTTTCCCAGTGCCGTTTTGGGAAGACAAGCAGATCGTCACAAATCCTCCATCATCCTCAGACATGAGGTGATTCTTTTTTTTTTTTTTCCATGTCCACATTGTATTTTTTGTGCCAAGTCCTCTTAAAGTCCTAATGCTATTTAGGACTTTAAGAATTTGGAAAGATGCCAAAGTTTGTATGTAAATAACAGTTTGTGAACCAAGAAGCCACTTTTTGTTGTTGTAGTTTTCTACAATGTATTCTTCTTTACCATCTTTTCTTCTACTTTGCACATCGGCTGAGATAAATGAGTTCTCATCCAGCTTCGAGAAATTGATTTATGCTCTGTATTTAGCTCTGTCTATCCTTCCATCAACTCTGACCATCTTCTCTGTGCTTTCTGAAGAAAACCATACCCACAGCATGATGTGGCCACCACTATGTCTCACCCTACGGATGCTGTGCACAGGACGATTTCACCATCTTATACATGTAGAAAACATATATACATGTATGCCTTACTGGGCTTGTAGGAAACCAAAACAGGGACCTTCTGACTTTTTGTCATGTTGTAATTGCTAGATATGTCAAAGGCGACCTCTTGGCTGCCACGCAGTTTGGGCTTGTAGCCATGTCTTGGTCCTTCCATTTTGCTGATGATGGCTCCATGGGATGTTCAAAGCTTGAGAGGTTTTCACACAACCCACTGATTAATTTTTAAAAACTTCTTCTTGCCAATGTTGACGAAGACATCAAGAAAGAATCTGCTTTGCCTGGTCATCCAAACAGTGGAAACAATGCTGCTGTGACCACAGAACTCCTCCCTCCTTCCCAATAAATTCACTCTTTCCAGTCCCCAAAACCCTGAACTCGGCGAGGCCTGATTTCTGTCATTCACACCCACTCTATTGCTACCAGTGCTTGCTGGGAATCGTTTTCTCTGCATTCCTCTTTTATTCCCTCTTCTCCTTCTGAAAAGCTCAGAAAGTCCAAGGTGGAAGTAAGTCTGAAGAATAAAGTGTGAAAGAAAGAAGGTGAAGGAGGCAAACTTTTGGTGCTCTCTTCCTCAGCATCTCTTCCTCTGGTTCTGATTTACTAGTAGGATGTCAACCCCTGAAACCAGTACCCCTCTCACCCCACCCTCCCGCCGCCACCAGTCCGGCTGGAGAGCTGCATAAAGGGCTCTTTATTCCAGTCGGACAGGGAGAGGAAATCAGCTTTAGAAGTAAAAACAGAGGGAGCAAGAGTGAGATGGAGACCACAGGGCTGCACATCTGGAGTTATTACAAGGCTCCCTCCCGCTTGCCAAGAAAACGCCGACATTCCTGCCCTCACTACAAAGACCGCGGAGTCTCCGCTCTCATTCAGCCCCACGACTCAACACACATCCATCAATCAAACGTCAAAAATAAAACCAAACACGTATATGCTTCAATGTACAATAAGCACGGGACTAAAAAGAAACACATATCTAGGTCTAAGAGAGGAGTCATCCTGCCCACTCTATAAAGTTCCCTCCCTTCTGCCGCAAATCCTGCACTCCCTTCCAAAACTTTACAACGCGCACGCCAAATGAAAGCATCTCACTTCCTGTTCACCTTTGACCTGCCACTTTCTCCCCATAAACCAGACAAGAAAGAAAAGAATATAAAAAAAGAAAAGAAAGAGAGAGGTGAGGAGGTGGTGAGGGGGTTACAGACGGGAGGGGAGACAGAAAGAACGAAGGAGGAAAAGGGAAAAATGGGGGGCCGGGAAGCTCCACCTCTTTTCTCCTCCATATCTCCGCTCTCCCTCACTCCTTTTCTCCTTCTGCCTCTGGAAGCAGGAACTCGGCGGCCAGTCCCTCTGCCACGTCGAACCTCCAGCCGGTCCACCTTCCCATCTGAAGGAGAAACCTTCGCTTTTCCTTTTTCCTCCCCTTTTCTCATGTTGGACAGATGCGTTTTAGGCAGCACTCTGGCATTGATCGTGAGGACAGGGAGGCTGACTGACAAAGGGTCGCTCAACCGGAGGAGATGGGAAAACAAACAAGAAGAAGACCCAAAGAAGAGAAAGAAGATCAAGATGTTGCAGGTATTCCATCTTCAAGAGAATTTTGTTTTTCCCATTAGTTTCGGCATGCTGGGAGACAAGAGTGGGGTTATTCCAGTGTTTCAGTGGGATCTGCAGGAGGAAACTGATCGGGATCTCAGCTGACCACAAAAATTCTTATCCAAGCGAGAGTGAGAGTCTGAAAACGATTCAGTGTGTGTGTTTTTTTTTTTTTTTTTTTTTACTTATCACTTACTGTGCTTTTTGGTTGTTGTTTTTTTTTTTTTGTTTTGTTTTTTTATTCTGGCCTGGAGCTGAATGGATAAGGGCTCACAAATATGGGCCTACAGTGAATTATTCACCAACCAGGAAATGTAAGAAAAATACTTATTTTACCAAATGTCCCCAAAGAAAAAAATGTTTTTTAGTTTAAAAACTCTAATTTTGAGCAATTACACCCAAATATAATATATTTTTTATTTTTTTTATTTTATTTTTTTCCATACACACATCGACTGTATTCATTTTATTGAGTTTTGGACAACTGATACGTTTGTACTATACGGTCTTTCTGCAGCTTGTCTTTCTCCTGAGAGCCCGACGTGGACTGCTCGTCCTCACAGCGGGAGACGGGAGAGAATGTCTCTACATTTGCCCGTCAGTGGCCATCACCTCTATTTAACCCCTTCTTCCTCCTCTTCCTCCACTCATTCACCCCTTTGCAGGCAGAGAAATGGGGACAAAACTCCATCTGGATTTGCAGTAAGTATCCGTCTGAGGCTTCTCCAGAGCGTCGCTGAGCTGCCTGGCCCGCCTGCCCAGTGTTCAGACTACCTGTTCAGGAAGTAGTGGTTGTACAGTAGTCTGCACATTGGTTAGGCTGGCCTGGGAAACACACACGGATAATCCAGGTGTCGGAAAAGAGAGCATTTGGGTTTGAGGAGGATCCAAGTTACGGAACCATGGAGCATCCGATTTAAATCAACCGACCAAGCCTCGGCGCCATCAGAAAGGCCTAAAGGATTAATTAATAAGTAGAAAATTTATGAATGCTATTTCTATGGACTGGTTTTAGTTGAAGCAATTCGAATAAAGATTCTTCTCAATGATATTGTCTCTGTTTTTTCTTTTTTTTCTTTCTCCTCAAATACTTTCCCCAGATTTGATAGAAATGTCCCACTCTCATAGATCTAAGTAAGGGTTGCCTGACGATGTCACCATATTGTTTATTTTTCTACAGCCCCAAAGAAAAAAAAAAAGAAAAACGAATGCTAACCCGAAACGATAACTAAAGCACAGAGTAAAACCCCCAACGTTAAGCTGCACCCATGATGGAAATGTGCAATTATGCGTCTGTTTTCCCCTGTGTCAGTTTGTGGCTCCTTTACCTCAAATGACCGTGTGAGGAGAAGCAACACGGTAAGCCACCCGGGGGAAACAGCGGGAAAAAAAAAAAGCTCCACTCTGTTATTCTCCAGTCAACATTTTTACAAGCCTTTCTAAAGTTCAGTCTGAAAAAAGTAATAAAAAATACAAAAAAATTAGAGTTTACGACTTTAATGCTTGCAAATAACGTCATAAGGGAAATAAAAAGCTTAGTCCCGGCTTTTTATCCCAATGGGTTTTTTTTTTCTGCCTCCTTTCTGGGAGCCCCCCCGCTGCCCCTTTTGCCTTCCAGCCTCGCCTGCGTTTGATGAAGTAAACCCACACGGTTCAATCTTCAAAAGCACAAAAGCAAAAAAGAGGGCAGAAACATTCACACGGTGTCCCATCACAGTGCATCATGTGCAAGAATGCGAACCACAAACCAACCTGTTTCCATTTAGAGCCCCGCCACCGTGAGCCCAAGTTTTTTTTTTAATAGCATGCATGAGTTGCAGCACAAAGAGAGTGCATGCAAACACACATAAAAGAACAATCCCTTACTCCCCCACCCGCAAGGATATTTACAGCTGGGATCCACCAAGCCGACTTTTGCCTTTCTGGCAGCTTTATGGCAGGAGAAGGGAAGCCCAGGCTAGCCCAAAGAAAATATACCCTGCATCCACAAATTGTGTGCACAATCTCGTAGGAAAATGCTTATATGCCCTTATTGTTTCCTCATTAACCGTTTTTTTTTTTTTTATCGGCCTCAGTTCACTCTCCTCTGCTCTGTCTCTGCTTTGGAAAACTTTTCAGCCAAAGGGATCGTCATGATTCGAGGAATTGGCACTCGCTACAGTAATACAGACCAGAAGGTTCCTAAAAGCGCACACATGCGCGTGTACGAGCACTAACCAAAACATCCTGGCATCAGTGAGTTGGGTTCAAAGTTATTATTAGTGTCAAAGAGTGATGTGTGTGTCTGCGTGTGTGTGGGCATATGGTTTTCTTTCTCCCTTAGTGAGGGTTTTCCCCAAGTCGAGATGCAGCCAATGAAACAGCGGCGAAGAACATATGTTCCTGCTAAAAATCTGCTTTCAGTGATACTTTTTTTTCTCCTTTCTGTGAAACACACAAAAAAAATTCATCAACCGTGTTTATTTTGGCAATGTCTCCACCCAGGTTTGTACTATGAACCCTCAGGACGAGTCCAGCCTTTAGTGTAAGTGTGACTGAGAGGCCAGCATGTAAAATGTTAAGCATGGATTGAAAACATGCACAGCTTTGCAGTGCCCTCAAGGTTCACTGCAGCACCAAATGCTGAGTGTTGGTCTTTAGTCTCCACGCACCTTGGAGGCCATGTTTGAATAAATATACAGTGAAAGAAGAAGAAGCGAGGAGGATGGAGAAAGTAGACGAAACAAAAGGAGCGATGAAAAAAGCATTCACGCCGAAACATTTTTCAATTTTTTCATATTACAAAAACACACTTAAATGTACTTTTATTTTTACAAGTAAATATCTGCAAAGTGTGGCATGCATTTGTGCTCAGTGTTGCCTCTTCTTACTTGCTCCAGTGGAAGAATGGGAATGAGAAAAACCGCTGAAGTCAGATCAAAGCAGATATATGTGTTAGAATGGTTCAGTCAAAGTCTAGATCTAAATCTGAGCAAGACTTTAAAATTGATACTCAGAGATCTTCATAGCTCAACTTCATCTTAGTGTGAAGCTGAGCTATAATGCAAAGATGAATGAGCAAAAATGTTCTCTGGTTGTGCAATTCTTGTACAGACAATCCCTAAAAGACATGCAGCTGTCACTGCAATAAAATATGATTCTGCGTAGTATTGGCTTAGGGAGTCTGAATACAAACTGATGTCACATAAATTTTTTTTCCAACCATCTTGTGACAATGTACTGCTGTGTTTCTGTCTCTAAAATAAAATCAATATCAAACACTTGGAAGTTTCTGGTTGTAAAACAAAATCAGGAAACGTCGAGTAAACAAAAGCAAAGATTTTAAAGCACCAGCTCTGTCGGTGCAAACTCCTTTTCAGAAACACTTTCCCTCCTTCCATGCAGTCCTGGTTTCTCCTGCTGCTCGTCTAGCTAACAAGAGCCACTCCTGGCTGCAGCCCTGTCCTCTGCTGCAGTCCAGTGCCCCCTCTTTGAAATGTTTATTAGAAGCAGCTTGACAGTGACTGCTTGTGCGCGTGAGCGTGCGTGTGTGTGTAAAAGGTGCATGGGGTTCTGGTATGCACATGTGTGTGGCAGCTTCAGTGTCTGACATGTTGGGGGGTCTGGCCTCTAGAAGCAGGGGTCTTCACAAACACCCATGCACACCCACACACACAGCTCTGATATCAGTGAGTGGAGTGGCTGTGGCTAAGGGCTGGAGACGGCGAGACTGTGGTCAGAGTAATGAACTTCTGCAGTGCATCACTGGACACCCCTATCACCAGCTGGCTCTCTAGCAAAGTATATCAAATCTTTTTTAAAGACGGTCATCAAACCTGATGGATGAAAAGCATTTTTTATTGGAAAGTTGAAAATGTCAGCGTTGTGCATTTGTCAGTTTGCATCAGTTTAAGTTAAAACACACACAGAAGTGGTTTTGAATGACCCCCATTAAGGGAATAATTGCGCGGTGTTTTATTAATTCCTCATGGAAAACTGCATTTTTAATTAAGTTTTATGTACATGATTTTTTTCCAGTTCTATTGTTTTAACATTATTTATTTTTTATTTTTGTATTGGACAAAGTGATATTGAACTTCTAAATGGCCAAATATTTTATACACAAGCTGTCAAATGGCGTCCTAATTTTTTACCCTCACTGTGTTACACAGGAGTAAAGAAATTTAGTTTTTAATAATTATACAACATAAAGAAAGATCTGGGCCTGTATGTGATTTTCCCAGTGTAATAATAACCTAAAAATGAGAAAGCAAAATTTAATCCTATTGCTAAAAGTGGAAAAAAAATAGGTGTGGGGGGGCACTGTGCCTTATATAGCGACATAAATTTTTCACTGGCATCTCAAGTGAGCAAACCCAGAGTCTTAGCAGCAGCGAGCTCCTCATTGTGTCTATGTGTTTTTGTAGGTATTGTTTGAAAGAACTCGCCTCATCATCTTTGTACCAGGACAGGGACTCTGCGGTGAGGACGAACCAGTACTCTTTGGCTCCTCCCTTCATGATGCCGATGTTGTTGATGGTCAGCCAGCCCTTCCTGATCACCTAAAAAATATAGACAAATTCACACATGAACACAGAAATGATTGGAAATTCAGAAGAATGTTTTTTAAAATCATAGACCTTTTCATTGACAAATCATTTCAGAAATGTAATTTCTGAAAGAGCTTCTAAGGAAGATAGAAAACATCTTTCACACAAACTTTCACCTACATTGATTTTTTCTTTTTTTTTAGACGCCTCCTTTTCTACCTCACTCTCTGGTCCTCATTCTCTCCTCATTACAGACAACATACATGTTTTATTTTCTTAATTTGCATTAATTATTTACCTTGTACCGATCGCTTACTCCTCTCTCCGGCTGAGTGAGAATGTGGAGAGAATGTTACAACATGGGGGGGGATTTCGAGAAAGCCAAATACATAGAGTGGTTGTAGCTGCCAGTACTGCAGCGGGGGGACAGCAAGCAAGGTGGGGAAGAGGAAGGAAAGATGCTAAATGGCTGGAAAATATTGTTTGATTAGTCATGCACTACGGTGCAAAGGCTTTACTGCTGCTCAGCATACGGCATTTGCCATACAGATTGATAAGGTAGCTTTTTAAAGCAAGAAGGTTTCAGGCATTAGGTTACGTATTTAATATGTAGAAAACTCTTTCTAAATACTTTACCGTAATATTACAGTGACCGAGCTCTCTTTGAAATATAAGAAATGGCAGTATTCCAAATTCCTCTTAAACCTTCTATGCATTTCATGACAAACATTTTGTACACTTGCAACGTCTCCAGTTTGACTTATTTCAAATGAATTGCTGCAAACTGGAACTTCATTGAAGTCCTTATTACATGGCGGGAAATAATATCTATCGGGAATAAAAATGTGTCTTCTATAACTATTCTTCACAGCTACAATTAAATGCATTGCAGTGGGCTGGTTTAATTTAATACCCCAACATACAATATGTGCCAAGACAAAACCTACACAGGACTCTTTAAGATGTCAATACAATTTCTTTAGCAAAAGATCTGAATTTTTCATATTTTTCTGTCAATTTAGTGCTATGGATACTTCTCAGTTTCTATGCTGGTGCAGTCAATAGCGAGTTGGTTGTGGTTGCGGCTGAAAATGGGTAGCAGACATTCTTACATACTTTCTGTGGGATTCCATTGCACTTTGTGCTGCCCGATAATGTAACTGATTTCCAACATTTTATTAATTAGGGGATGTAAAAAAAAATGGCTTGTGGTTCCTCCATGCCATTCCTGCCAGAACTGACGCTGCCCCTCAACATTTCCTCTCATCACAACGATCTAATGTTTCACATTTTCACCTGCAGGATGTGAAACTCTTGAATATGTGGTTCAAGCTTTATTCTGAAAAGAATATGCATTATTATGTTTATTGACACCCTAAATGACTTCCAGTTTATTTCCTGAAGAATAAGGGAGGTTAAAAAATTAAAGCCCATTGTTAAACAACATTATATATGTGAAATTATATATTTGCACAAAAAGCTACATTTACTTTTTTGGCATTAGACGTTTCAAGACAGCTGATCATTTTGGAAGTTGCAGTGTATTGTATCAGAAAATTGGGGTTTTTCACTGCAATTAATGTAATTCTTTAGTGTGCACAATACACACTAATCAAACTAAAATTAAACTTTTGAGCATTTTCTCCCTTTACAAACTCACTACCGTGTTGTGCTTTTCTTTCCCCGGTGAGAAGGTGCAAACGTAGCAGAAGCTGTGGGGTCTTAAACAGCAAAGAACACCCAGCTCTAAACAGGAAGTGAAGTTCACCACTTTGTTTACAGTGTGCCCCTGACCTCTGACCCCAATCATGGTGCGTGTTATGACAACTGAAAACAACAGGGGCGCCATATGTGTCTCACACTGAAGGCCTTGTAACTTGTCTGTTCTTTTGTAACTCTGTGTGGATGGAAACAGGATACAGAAATGCTCTTTCGGGATGTTTACTGTTTTTATTTTATTTTATTTTCAGCTTTCTTTTTCTCCAGTTAAAGCTCCAGCTGGTGAGAATCTGAGGGAAGCCCCTCCAAAATTTGACTTTTGTTTTTTGACACGTAACACCACATCAATATTAAAGATGCAAAAACAATATTAGTTTTTCGTTAGCAGATATTTGAAAAATATCATGGATGACACATTTGCTGTTTAGTATCCTAACTGTACAGGTGTGTTTGACAAAAGACAAAAAAAAAGGGGGTGGAGAGGGAAGCGGCTAAGCATCTGCCACCTACAAGCATTTAAATTACAAAAAAAAAAAACTAATATATCCCACACAACATCCGGGGCTTGCTGTCATCTGTGCTTTTTAAAGAGAAAAAGCTTGGACATATACAGACATGATATGATTTACCTCAAGCTCAAACATAATGAAGGCTACTTGCAGACAGACATGCATAGTAAAAAAGTGCAAACTCAAAACTCACCATGATTTCATCCTGCAGTAAAACCCCAGAGAGGACAACAAAGGGGGGGAAACAAAGAGCAAAAAGAGAAAAAAAATACAATTAGGAGAATCTTAAAGCGCTGTGGAAAAAGTATTTTACGTTTTTGCTTTGTTCTTGTCCAAGTTTTAAGTAAATAAACAATTTTATTATTTGGACAAAGATGAATAAAATATATTTAGAAAAGGGGATAAACATAAACAAACCAATGTGGCCCAATGTGAAAATGTTAGACAACAAAAACCTTATAAAACGCTGTGGAAAAAAACTCCAATCAAGTGTTTCTGATAATGAGGAACGTGCCATTAATATCATTATTGGGAATTTTAACCCACTTTTATTTTCAGAATTGTTGTAATTCATCTCTGATTCCTCGCGTTTCTGAACATCAAGGGTCTTTTAATATCATGCCATCGCATCTCAATTGACTTTGAGTTCAGACTTTGACTAGACTACCCCAAAACATTCATACTGCCCTGGTGTTTGAACCAGGATTAGCTGTTGGTGCGTTTCAAACACTAAACCAAATGTTTTTGAGCTTCAGATTCATAAACCGCTGGTCGGATATTTTACTTCAGGATTTTCTCATAGAGAGCAGAATTCATGGTTCATGAATATTACTGCAAGTCGTCCAGGTCTTGAAGCAGCAAAGCCGACCCAGGACCATCAAAATCCCACCACCAAGTTGGACTGTTTTTGTGAATTTCTTTTTCTGGAAGGCTGTAAATAGATGTTCACCTTTCAAAAACGTCCCTTTTTTTTTTTTTCTCGCTGACCACAGAATATTTTCACGTAGGTCTTTTGGGTTCATCAAGATGTTTTTTGGCAAATGGAGAGGGGCTTGATGTTCTTTCTTGGTTAGCACTGGTTTACGTCATAGAGCTCTATTTATTGTTGAATCTTAAACAGTGACCTTAATTTAAGTAAGATGTTGTTCTTGTTTCTTTTGTGACCTTCTGGATGAATCAGCAATGCAGTCTTGAAGTCATTCTGGTGCCCCATTTCTGGGAAAATTTCCCACTGTGCCATATTTTATCTTTCTGTTATTAATATATCTCACTTTAGGAATGTCCTCTTTGCTGTTTTTGAATTACTTTAGTCTTTTTTTTTTTTCTTTTTGAGATCTTTATGTGACCTTCATCTGGCCGCGCAGGTTTTGTTTGAATGGTTTCTTGATTGTAAAAGTCTGGCAGTAATCTGGCAGTGACCTGGGTGTGGTTAGCGTGACTAAACTCGGTTTTCCAACAGAGATTACTCACAGCTAATTCTGAATTTAACTGGGAGGTTGCAACTTTTCACATTGGGACAGAATATTTTGGGAGAGGTTTTATTCTTCAATTTAAAAAAAATAAACCAGTCACTTGAAAACAACCTTTAGTGTGCACCCAGGTTTAAAATGTGTTTGATCTAAAAAAAAAATGTGTTTGATGATTTAAAACTTTTAAGTGAAACAAAGGTAAAATCCACAAGCAAATTAAATCAAAGGACAGATGTAAAAATGTAATTTTAGGAAGGCGCTTAAAAATACAAGGTGCCCTGACCGGGGTTTGAACCCACAACCTGCTGACAACTGCTCCACTGTGCAGCCCGAAACGATTATGCGTCTGATATTTCCCATCAAAGTTCTGATGTGCTGACAGCTTTGACTTTCACCAAAGAGCCAAGAGAGTTTGACGCTCCTACAACTGTTGCACATTATCATCCAATATGTAATACAGACGACTGCTGCTTTACTGAGGAATCAGAAGGTTGCCTGTGGTAACAAAATACTGTTTAGCTGTGCAACATTTAACATGAGAAGAGACATTGAGCTGAGCGCTGACAGAAGGAAGCCTGAAGGGAAATTGAACTTAGTACTCTGGTTCCCGTCTAACAGATCAAACACATTTCATTGAATTCAGTCCTATGTTATCATGAAGCTCAAACGTCTAACTTTCACTTGGAAACCCATATGTTCGACCAGTGAATATCGATTGGGGGATATGAAATTGGGCATTTCTGATCGTGGCACCTGATTTCCAGCCGTCTTTTTCTTGTTCATTTGGTTGATCCTCTGCTGAGCGCTGCAAAACAAAAAGAAGCAAGAATAAGTCCAGTAAACAATCCCATGATGCAAGATGTCTTAGCAAATAATAATAATAAAAAAAAACCTCACTTCGCAAATCCAATGAAGTCTTCGTGGTTTGTATTCATGTAGGACAATTCGATATCAATCAGTAACAGCACCTGCATAGAGAGACGGACAGGAAACTGTCACAAATGATGTTTACTCTGGTATCTAGTGAAGACTTTTTCCAGGTTTACCATAAGAAACATGAATTTCTGACGACATTTTGATGTATTATTTAAAATGCAGTTAGCGTTAAATTAAATAAGTTCCACGTTAACAAACAGACAACAGTGAATAAAGGCCTTTTCACAATATTTTTGTTACATTTGTGATGAAAATGGAAAGCATTGCTACTACTATCTATCACGATCACGTCTCTATCAGAGAAGAATAAAGATAGATTTACTTGATATACTTGAAAATCAAATCAACATGTTTCCAGTTTTGTGGGTTTGCAAACATATCAGTTGTATATTTAATTCTTATAACAATGATGTTTTTCCTTGATAAAAATCATCATCATGATGAAGTACATTTCTGCATAAATGTACAGTGATGTCAGGAGGTTTTTATTCCTGTTGCTACATGCTTTTTCAGCATGGGGGGATTGCTAAAAAGTAAATGGCTTTATGTAATTTGCTGATAACTTCTTGTGAATGTGTGCTACATGAATAAGCTGACCTAAAACTTAATTGAAAACTCATAGCGGACAAAGGCAAAAACTAACAAAATTAGTGTGATTTTCAAGTGGAAACTAGATATCTTAAGTAAAAAAAAATAAATAAATCACAATTAAATTTCACTGTTAACAAGGAATATGTTTTGAGTAAAACTTTGCATTCTCTGCTTTATTCCCAGTTGCAGCTCTGGAGTATTTCCAGTTGTGAAGACAAAACTCAAACATTCTCTTGATTTGCTATCTGCCTGTACAGGCACAATTTAGATTAAGTCTAATTCAAATTTACTAAGCTTTCTTTAACTTTTAAAGAAAATGTTTAAACTTGAAAAATAGGGTCTGATGGCTGCAGTTTCAGCCACACAAAATATAGTAATGCTTATTAAACATCACACTGATAAAGCAGAGGATCATTCACTCTACTATGCTTATATTTTGCTTTCTTTAATTAATTCACAGTGTAACAAAGAATTGGTTTTGGTTTAGAAATTATTTATTTCCATAATCACATAACCCTTTATTTGAAAGTAAGTGGGCAAGTTTTACTTTACACTGTTGCAAGTGTAAAACTTGATGAAACTCTTGTTTTTGCTTTGTGAGTTTCCTTAGTGGCAGCTGATCCAGTCCCTTGGCTGACGAACTAAGAGGTGGAAAAGGAGTGGAGCAAGCCAATATGGAGACCTGCAGATAAACTCAAACAAAAAGTCATGGAGGGAAATGAGATTGGCTTACGTTAGTTTCAGGTTGGGTTTTTACGTGCTCACCCCTTTTGATCAGTTGACATTTAAGTTTCTCTCTGTCTCGATTTGGAAGGTCAGTTTGTTCGAGTTGGTGTTGTTTGGCTGCCAGTTCTCTGAGTAGAGTTTGGTTACCTTGTCCTCTTTTATGGGCTCATAAACTTGTTGTTTTTTTGTAGTCCAGCCAGGTTTGTTTCTAAATTGAATAAAACTCCCCCTTTTTGTTCGCTACGTTAACCTATGCCTGACTGGATCAGTGCTTCAGCCCTCGCATAGGGGCAGAGAAGACCATGATTATCTTTTGTCTCATCAAATATCACATAAAGCTTGATATAAGTGTATTAAAAAGGTGAATATGTCAATAATTATTCTTATCACACGTGTAAATAAGCAGTAAAGCATTGTGTTTGGTTTGTTTTTTGAGCCTTACCTGATCCTTGGTGCGGTTTTCTCTGTCTCTGATGTGCTGAGTGACGATTCTCTCCATCTCTTCTCTCAGCATGGGATACTGGGCCAGCTGTGAGCAAAGAAACCAACAGGTAGGCAGCAAATAAACAGACACAGTCAGACGACAACATACATACTGAAACACATAATTACACATTCAGCTTCACTGAAACGACACCTTAAAGATCTAGTATGTTCTGAGGGTTCTGGGTTTGCCACACACTCTGCTCTTATCCCGACATGCTCTGTGGAAATTTGTTAGATTGAATTTCAGCTCCTGAATATCTATCTTGCCGCCAATATGGGGAAAACGAATAAGAGCAGAATCTGTGATATTACCACACAAAAGACAGAATAAACAATGTTCCTGGCAGAAAAGCTTCCTCTTCCCAGCACACCGCAGGTCTTTTTCCATGAGCTCATTGCAAACCCACAAACACAGACGCTGGTGGGCCTCCAATGACATGAACACATTTGCCGAAGTGTGAGGAAAGAAGAATCAAAACCAAAAAGAATCAAAGTGATCATGGTGCAAAAGAAAAGAAAAGAAGGATCACTGTTTCTGTTCAAGTTACAATGCGTCTCTTAATGCCTGTCTGATGCTTTGATGGACAAAGGGGCGTGTCGGTGGACCACTCTGTGGTCCACAGGATGAATTACTGCTTCCTGTGTCCAATTACATCGCAGATGATGAGACCACAAGCTGGGGGAAAAATGGGTCTGAAATGTTCAGACTATGGTGACATTAAAGGTTGAACTATGACCTTGTAAGAGTTTGAAACAGATGATGAGTGACCATTTCTTTAAGGCCGGTTTGTCACGGATTTCCTCTGTCTACAGGTTACAGCTGCCTGTAAGAAGTTAGGGCTGGCATTGATAAAATTACTTTTAAGATTATTGGAACTTGCTCTGCATGAATATTTGAGGTTTTCTGAATTTCTAATCACTCCATTTTTATTTGAGGGAGATTTCCCTTGTCCAAATTGGAGGCTTATGGATACGAGATGTAATTTATTCAAAGGGCAGCTGTGAGTTAAAAATGTTCATTGTTCCGTCATGAAAGAAAATGTATCTGATGTGAAGGATTTTATGGATTTTGAAGATTTCACAATCACAACATAAGGAGAAACGTTTAAAACCTTTAAAAATGCAAAGTCAGCAGAAGATTCTGACTCACACAAATTAAAGGGAAACATGACGCATTGCAGCTTGAAGTCAGATACAGGATTTTAAAAACCAAATGTGTTTTCTGTCTTAAAAAACTGCATCAGAAACACATCACAGACATAAATTGGGCTTTTTTTTTGTACAAAATATAGGCATACTGTAAGATTGGCATGCGATGCAAGGAGTCCAGGGACAGAAGGGACGAGACAGGGAGGAAGATCTTAAACTGGTCCCTTTGTGGATTTCTCTAAACATTGTGTATTTAAATATAGAATCAATACGTATTCCATGTCCCAGAAAAGAAAATCAAGATAAACATCTGACAGAGCAGAGAAATCCCAAAGAGGTCACGCTTATAGGAAGCAGCAGGTTTTACAGGTGTGGAGGATAAAGAGGATGAAATGGAGAATAAAGAAAAGAGAAATAAATAGAGCGTGCCAGTTAGTCAGTGATTGATCCAAAAAAAAAAAAGGTTCAGTGTATTTAACCAAACTTACAAAGAGAGAAAAACACAAACCTGTTTCCAAAAAAGTTGTAAGGTAAAATATATTACTTATATTTATTCCAAAACTCTGCCAAGGTAACAAGGAAAAGCTAAACTTTGTCTTCTCCAAAATACGGGAGATCTGCAAAGCTGAGCTAGTCATTGAAAAATAACTTCATAATCTGAACAAAAATCATTTGACCTAAGAGATAATTGGAAAACTAAAAGGATTTTCTGCATCACTCCACTTTTATAGCCAGTCTCTATCCAACTGTTTCAACAGTGAATGCAGATACACAAACTTAACTCAATCATGTCACAGCATCATCTTTAAATGCATTTGACACATTTGTGTAAACAATCTGATCTCCAGCTGAATCAGGCTGCCATTGATTTTTGGACTTAAAATTCTGCTGTACAAACATTACAACTTAGAGATGCAATGTAAGCCACACCTATTCTCCTCCTCTGCTATGGGATTAATGCAAGTACTACTTAAATGCTGCAGCAATAACCCAATAATAACAATTAATAATGTTATGCCACACTATGCAGACGCTCTGTTTGCACTGATGAAGTTCCTCTCAAATTAAATCGGCACTCTCTCTTCCTCCATCTCTGCTGAGCTTCAGCAGTGCCTCCATCGACCTACTTGACTATTTTGAGAGAGATCACATTTTCTGCCATATTTTCATCTATAAAACTTTATTTTCATCTATAAAGTTTATGTCATAAACTATCTAAATACTATCTAATTATTGTGTTGGAGCAGCCTAATTTCTGAATGCAATGAATGTCTATGTTTTTATTTCAAACTTTAGCCTAATACAGCTGCCAGATCTGAACTTTTATATTTAATTACATTTAGGTTAGTGTTTTAGCTTTTTTGGAAACAAGGTTAAATAATTATAACCAAAATAAATTAGGGTTTCTAGACATTAAGAAAGAGATAAAATAAAAATTATAATTATCTATTACATGCATTTAATAACCGGAAAAAATAGAGTCAATGACTTAGAGAGTTGGAGACAAAGGACAACAAAAATATACTTAAAATCCCAATTAAAATGTGTAAGGATAGACTGATATTTGCTGGGAAAATCTTGAATCCACTTCCCCTTAAATGTCAATAAAATCTTTATTATTTCCTCTTTTCATTACTGTTTCCAAGCTAATTTATGTAAATGATCTGATTTAAATACATAAACCCTGTACATAGTGAACTCTCATTACTTCTGTGTTATCCATTGAGTTATAAACACCCCATCCTAAAGATTCTATAATTAGGTATTGATTAAGTAAAAAGAAAACTTTTTGATTTTCATCTTCTTATGGACTCACACTGGCGTCAGTATATGGGTGATAATAATGGTTTTTAAGTAAAGTTCATGTTTTTAAAACACTTTGCTATTTTGTCATTTATCACCAAATGTGATACTTTATTATTCTGAATTTAGTAAATGAGAAACGTTTGATGCAAGTCAAAATTACAGTTTCTCAAGGAATTATGAACATGCAAATTACAAACCATTGATAATTGTCTTTCAACTATGCATTGATGCAATTTAAATTTTTACATTCTAATTGTTTTGTGGAAATGTTTGATTTGGCAATTTATACTTTACACTTAATTAAATATAAAGCCTCTAAGGATGTACTTTAAATCAAAGCAACATTAGCTAAAACATCTCCAGCCATCAGTCTACCCATACCTGTTAGCTTAACAGAGATACTCAAAATGTCTTCTATTGACTTTGCCATTTTACCTTGTGACTACACTTCTGAATGGTGGAGGTGAGTTCGCTCACTACCATATCTATACACTTCAGTGTGGGCTCCTTCAGCTTTTGGATCTGCTTTTTCACTATGGCCTCAAAGGCCAGGTCAGGGGTGAATAACCCCGTCCTGTTGGGATAAACAGGCGGCACGAGAAAGGCAGAAAAGGGGACGAAAACCAAAAGAGACCAAGAGAAAAGAACGAGTGAAGGCACCAAATAAAGGGTTGGGGCAGGAGATAATTAAAGAGTGAGGAAATCAAAGGTTGAATGATAGAAAAATAAAAATGAAAGGGGAGAAAGTAAAAAAAAGAGAAACAATAAAATGAAGATAGAGAAGACAAAAGAGATCGGAGATGGGAAAAGGCAAGAAAGAGGTTGGGGGGGTTGGGAGGACAAACAGCACAGAAGGAAGAAACTGCGAGTGAGACATTTGGTTTTCCCTGAAGCCATTCTAAAACAGGACAGTGCTGGAGTCTCTCTCTACGAGAAAAGAGGAAACAGAAAGAGAAAGACCACAGAAATAGTTAGAAATAGAGAGATCCCCCAGCTTGAACAACTCCGCCAGCCAAAACTCAAAGCAACACACAGCAAGATTGCAGATGTGCACCTGGACGTTCAGCCAAGACGTCCCCCCACCCAAACACCCTCCCACCCAAAGCACTGACCCTTTCTCCTCCCATCCTCCGTGTCCTTCGACTTTCAGCTGGAGCCAAATCCTAACATATATTTCCAAAGTTCTCCAAGTGGTTGCAGGCCTGTTGAAATCATTTGGTCACGGTGGATCCATTTGGATAAAGACTTTTGCTCATTGCTCTTGGCCCAGCTCTGAAACATGCTTCCCTGAGGCACGCCAAGGAGCCGCTCGGCCATAACTTTTCATGGCTGCAGGTGCACGACTGCAGTCCCACACACGTGAAAGCTTGGAAGCTGACATCATCCAAGATGGTTGTGGGACAACTTACATCCTTCAAAATGTGTTAAAATGCAAGCAAGGCCAATTAGTAAAACTGAAAATTAGCAAAAAAGAAAACATCTTGAGATTACGTAGCTTTGCATTGTCAACAAACATATTCTGATGACTTTCAGCTTCCACACTGGATTTCTTTTCACAGCACAACCATCAACCATAGGCAGCCTGTCCAGCCAAACCCGTCTGAAGCAATACAACAGGCAGGCGGTAAACTACGGCCCACCCTGCCACTCCAAGCGCCCTCCTCCCCCTTGCTGTCCAACAAACGACAAGGGCTGGAGGTAGCTAGGTGGTTACAGCCACAGGGAGTGAACGACTGAGGGATGAGGGTTGAAAGCAAGACTGAAACATGTGCTAACCGCTTTTTTACCTTCTTGGTACACTGCCTAACTGTATTGACTAGCTCAGAAATGACCATGTCCACACATTTGGTGCAAGGCTCTTTAATCTTCCCAATCTGCCTTTTCACAATGGTCTCAAAGGCCATGTCCGGGGTGAAGAGGCCAGTTCTGTCCAACACGGAGAGAACAAGCCACAGGAGGGCCAAAGAAAACGACAGGAAGGTGTTGAAAATAAGAGAGAAAGGAAGACACAAGGAGGGTCGGGTGGAGAAAATAATGTTAATTTTCAAGATTTACTCTCCATTTCTGTCACCAAGACAATCACACACAACTTTAGAAGAGAAGAAGAGAAATTAAGCAAAAGAAAAAAAATATTTTTTACTTCCTATACTAGAACTGGCTTATTGATTGATTGGTGCAATCTCAATAAATGGATATTTCTAGAGATTTAGTAATTTATTACAATATTAGCATTGAAATAATACAATACGTGGAAACTTTCACACTTCCTTTTTGGTCTTTGTACAACATTAAAAAATATAAGACAGAACAGAAATGGTGAGAAAATATAATTTAAATATAATCCAGTTAAATTCTTGCAACCATTTGGCAGCACATTGACAATATTTAATAAACCAGATCATGACTGGTTATGGCAAACAAGATCAAATAGACTGTTGAACAATGCCAACTATTTTTATTCTTATGAGTTTTTTTTTTATAAGAAAAAAAAAAGCCTTGAGTTTCTAAAACCAGCTGGTTAGAAACTCAAACATACAATATTTTTTCTGGCCAGTGAACAACCCACAGCTAAATGCTAACAGACTCTGGCAGCAGCAACACTTTTTACAGTTTAAAGATATAAATATGAATGCTCCAAATAAGATATCTGTGGATATTAATATAGAGGCATGTTTGCTGATTCTTCAGACTGCCACGTCTGAAACATGGGGTGAAGCTTTAACAGATAAAAGGAAGGATATCAAGATCACAGCATAGTTACTCCTTTTCATCATTTGAGTTTTAAATCACACGGAACAGGTTGCAAATGTTAGTGTCATAATCCTTGTTTTTGTGAGAGAATATTGACAAAATCTTGTTTCACTGTGTCTCTTGTTTCACAGCCAGTGTGACATCACCTCTGCCTTTCACATAAATAATTCACTGATGCTCCAGTCAGAATACATAATACGATATTGTGATGCACAGTTCTTTAAGATAAACTGAAATGAGCTTTTTTGTTTTTTTATAGACGTGTTCAAATCTCACTACATCTCTAATGGTTTCTATTACTCTGTATATTTATGTTTCATTCATCAACACACTAAATTTTCTTAGTCTGAACTTAAATCAAAGTAACATTAGCTAACATTTGCTACTGTTCAGAAAATCAGTATGTCAAGGAGTGAGAAAAAATAAAAGTAGATGTTTGAATTAATTTAATTAATATTAATAGTCTGACGCACAGAAGTAGAAGCAAAAATTGAACCAAAGCTACACAACATGAGATTAGCTTGATGTTTATCTCGAATAAAAAGTCAACATTACAATACATTTAGATAAACATAATTTTACAGAAAGTTCCTGGGCAGAAGTCGGATGTTGGATATTGTCATCTTTTTGCTGTTGAGTAGTTTTTCATTTTGTTGATGGGGCTGAGAATTGATGTCCCATTCACTGATCTCATTCAGTAATTTGGCTTTCAGTGAGAAAATCTGAGAAACACGCCTGATGAAAAACATTTCAAAGCCTTTTCTTTGTATTTTTTTGTATTTAACTAACTGACACTGACTAAATTTAGTTTTTTTAATGAATGTGGCAGCTGGTTGGCTCCATAGTTATCTTTATGTGATGATATATTATGCACATAACATATACTGATCAAATCCATCTGGGTTTTACCAACCAGGCAGACACCAGCATGAATCTGTGAGCACATGAAACGTCCAAACGTAAATCACTATCGGATTTCCAAATTCCCATATTTGAGTGTATTTTGATATCAGCTGGAGGCAGAGCAATTTGTTATAAGAGGTCTTGGCTCAAAGTGCAGCAGCATTTAGAACAGGCAGGAGTAATTGACAGAAAGAGATTGAGGGAGGTTAAGTGAGGAAGGACCGAGGAACAAGTTGAAAGGCGGACGTGCCTGATTCCATGAATGTTCTTGATTGCGTAGCTGATTTCCTTGCGGAGTTCTTTCTCATCAAACTCCATCTGAAAAACAGGAGGAGAGGAAATTAAACATATGCGCACACACAGTAGATTCTGGCAAACAGAGGGCAGGCATCACGGGAGTCCATCTATTAACCTTCAAGCATCTGTTTTTAATATTTTTGACCAAATATTTCTTCTTTATTTAGTGCAACGCCACATTTATTACCTGCATTCCTGAAGCTAAACGTTTTCTTCGGAAACACTCTCAATAAACACATAAAACATGATGATGAATCACCCGAGGCTTCCTGGATTTTCAGTCCACCCTCTGGTTAGGAAGCAACCTGCTCTGTCCTCAGTGGGAAACCCACTGGGAAGTTTTATGTTGCCTCAGTCGACTACAGTGAGTTTTATATCCACAGAGGGAGGTTGAGAGAGGACGCAAGAGAGAGCTGGAAAGCAGGGAGGAAAAGGCGAGGTGGAAACGATCTGGCTATGTAAGAGAAAGGAAGTGAGGGACAGGTACGTAGAGGGGATATTTGAGTCACAACCATCATTCGTCAGATGGATGGTTTAACGTCTCATAGCAGGAAATCCACAGGTTTATTTAGATTGGCATTGCTCAAATGGTGGGGAAACTCCTGCTCTTTTGCCTGCGTAGTCTTTACCATGATTTACTGACACACTAAAGGGAACTGAGCAGTCATTGATGTTATTATTTCCACACTTGTTTTTCCTGCTGTGAACATTCAGATTTAACCTGATGTAACAGATGTTTGGGGGGGGTATGCAAGGCCACCGACTCCAAAAACATTCCCAGACAGGTCAATAAAAGGGTATTTAAAAATCCTCGCACAGACAAACTAGTCTTGACGTTTTTGCAACAGACATGTACAAGTTAGGAAAGATTCATACAATGCAAAAATAAATAAATCTGTACATTTACGGTAAAAAATGGTGAAATACAAACTGTTACTGACTGTAATATCCAAAGCCTTATATTACCGTAGAAAATACATGGAATTACAATAACTCAATAAACATATATTTCAAGTAATTTTGGGAAGCTTTATGTACAGTCGTGAAATGTACCCTAATCGGCCAAAATGACATATTTTACTGATATTTATATCTACAATGTAAAACTGTAAACCAGACTGTAAAAGTTATTTTTACAAAGAACAGAATGCTGGTGTGGTATTTTGGTTTCTCTTTTAATAATGCCTTTTGAACACCAAACTGAAATCTCAAAAGTAGACCACCTAATTTGTCACTACCTTCACTAGCTTCACTAGCATCTTTAATTTACTCTAGCTAAAAAACTACATCACTCCAGACTCTTCAAACCTGGACTAGATAGTTCTCAATATTAACTAACAGACTATTTAAAACCAAGAGTGGGATTTGTGAAACCTTTATCTGATTTGTGAAACTTCAATAAAGAGCAGTTCTAGTGTGATCCGATGCATAAAAATAGTGAAGTCGCCCTTCTTTGAAGTTTCACAAATCCCACAGTAGGTTTTAAATATTGCGCTATTAGTAGAGAATAATTTAGAGTTTTTCATTTTGTTAAGGTGTTAAAGAGTTCTGGCAACCACACCTGTTGTTGTTGTTGTTGCTGTTTTTTTTACAGTGTAGGAGCAAGTATCATTTTGTCAAGTTGGTCCAATCTAATACAAAATATCAATAACAAATTTTTAAATTTCAGTATCTGAGCCTCTGGCTACATCCGACTTCAAGTTTTTGTGTCCCATGCATGTCTTTTGCAACTATCACTGTTTAGTTTCATGACCACACCTTACAGAACTCATGAAAAAGTCAAGCAGGTTACGGGGAGTTGCAGCAATAATAAACAGCTCTCTTGGGAAATGTACAAATGCAAAAGCAGCATCTGCTCATATACTGCCATTCTCAAATTCTCAAATGTGTGAAAAGTTTTCTAAGACGTGTGAGGGAAATGCAGCACTAATGAAACGCCTAAAAAGTTGTTTATTACATTTTGTTTAGGTTTTTTTCTTCACTTTTCTTCACTATCTTGCTGTAATCTGCTAAAAGATCACAATGAACAAAAAACTGTTATGAACTGAGAAGGACTGAACCAACTCTGAGGTAGAGCAGGATGGAACTAAATTTAGAAATGAATTTTAATATTTATGTTTTGCACACAAGCTAAAAACTGGAGAAAAAAATAAAAGATAATGAACAGAGACTTTGTCAGGCTTCAGAGAGTGACAAGACTTCTTTGGGTAAAAACAAAATGTGTGAGCTGAGGCATGAGTTTGCTCTGGAAGTTTTAAAAAAGGAGAATAAAAAAATCTCAAAAGAAACACAAAAATTATTGCAATGATTCAGTGCAATAAATGAACGGATTGTATTATTTTAGTCATCAATGTACCCCATAAACAAAGGCTGTAATTATGTGATTTTTAAAAAAATATGTTATACAAAATGATTAATTTATGTGAGCTGGAATAAAAGGGAAAAAAAAACAGATGGGAATAAATATGAGTCTGGAAAATGAGACCATAAAAATCCACCTTTAACAGATTTGTATAAAATTATTAAAAATGTAGTTTTACAGCAATATTAAACAAATGTTGCAAATTAGCAATTTATTTATTTTTGCATCATAAAAATGGAGGGCCAAACATTCTGCCATAAATTCACCTCTTTTTGTGATCTTAAAATAAAAAGAAATAAGTGTAAATTACTTCTTCTGAAAGCAGTGAAAGCATTATTGGTGCAGATTGGTGCATGCATGCTCTTTGTAGAGTTCCCACCTTGACCAGTTCGAAGGGGAAGCGCTCGTGAAAGATGCGATTGATCCTCGCGCCACCCGACAGCTCGGCCGTGTCGATCTGGTCTCCGGAGCCCTCTATGCACTTGTCAAAGTCCACTGAAAACTGCTGCACCATTCTGCGAGAAGATATGGACACAAGCATCAGCAAGCATCCGCCTAACTAACATTACATCTGTCCGTCTGCTTACTGGAGGAGAGCCTTTGTTTTGCGGGACGGATCATCAGGTCTGAAGTTCTTGTACTCATCCACCTCCTTCTCTATGGAGAGGAGCTGACTCTGCAGCTTTGCCCGCAGACCCGGTAGGGTGTCCCGGATGTGGTTGGTCAGTTGCTGTGTGAGTTAAAAGGTGACCATTATCATTTTTAGGGATGTTGGGTAAAATGCGAAACAGCATAGAGCAACACACTTCCCCCCCCACCTGATTAAGGACTTTCTGGAGGTAGGGCGTGCCCATTCGTTCAGCCAGGTGTCTGTAAGCTGGGTGGGTGAGGAAGAACTTCCTCTCAGCAGCCATAGCAGCATTAATATCCTTCTTTCCATCGATGTCCTTCTGGCTTCTGTTAACCACACCGATGTAACCTGGATGCAAAATATCAGCCTGAGTCTAAAAGGTTGAGATTTACAACAGGAGGAACCGATCCAGGTAATTTTAGGACTTCCTTAAATTCGAGACGAGACAAAATGAGAAGAATCTTGGATTATTCTTTAGCCAACCAGTGGGTCTAACTGATTCAGATGTGTTTCATGATACAAACCTAAGACAGACACAAAAATGTTTTACAAACTAAAAGATTTACGTTTGTCCTACGCCATGTTTTGAGGACAAGCAGGAGAAGAAATGAAGACAATAAAATAGCTGGGAGCGTTCAGGGGAAAAGGATCCCATTTCATCTTCAACTGAGTTTCCTGATCCTTCACTCTGGTAAAAGTCGTTTCATGCTCTATAACTAATGCAAATCCGAGCCAGCGGCCTGGTAAATCAGAACATCCGTGACATTAGACGGAGAGCAGGCTGGAAAAACAAGGAACATGAAAATATTCAAAAACACATGCCTGGGGTCTGACCAAGTGTCAGTGGAAAAGAAAAGACTGAATCAGCAACAACAAAAACCCACAAGATAGACACAAGATCTTTTCCACAGGGAGATTTTCCCCTTTTCTTAAAAAAATAAATAACTCTCTCTGCTCTAACTTCACGACTTGATTTTTTTCTTACTCAGATCTGATTTATTTCTGTCTCTCCTCTCATTCTCTCACCCCAGCAGTCTTCAGTTTTTTTCCCCTTTCCTTCTTGACTGGCTTTGAATATGCCTGCCTTTCTACCACAAGAGGGAAACAATGTGTCACTGCGCTGCCCTGAGGTGGGGAAAAGAAGAGTGTTTATTCGAGGGCTCTCACCTCTGCGCAGGGGAAGCAGCTTGTTCTCCAGGATGTCTTTAGCGTCTGTCCCTTCGTCCATCAAGTCCAGCTTGGTGATCACCCCTATGGTCCTCATACCTACAGTTTGCAAACAGATTGAGCAGAAATACATTGATAAACGCAATGATCACATGAATATTCTCAATTAAGGCTGTGAAAAAGGAGTTTGACCAAAATATTGGGTTTCTATGTACAGCGTATGGGAGATATTTATATTTCCAGATTTAAACCATGTGGAGTAATCAAAACATGTTTAGAATCTCTGACAATAATGACTATTAAAAACAATAAATACTTTGTGGTTAAATTAGTGAAATTTGTATTTTCTTTCAGTGAAAGCATCTGATTTTCCTCCGTTGTGCCATGGGTTTGCTGGCATGCATGCCCTCACCCTGAGGGTCGACCTCTTTGGCAATTTTTAAAGCGTCAGAGTTGGCCAGATCAGAGTTGGCCGGGGAAACGGCCAGCATGAGGCAGTTCTCTTTGGTCACAAACTGCATTAACATGTCTCTGATCTGAGCCTCGATGTCTGCGGGCTGGTCTCCGACCGGCACCTTGGTCATTCCCGGCAGGTCCACCAGCGTCAGGTTCAGCACTGCGAGAAGGAAAGGGAACAGAAGAGCTGAGATCAATTAAAACAAAATGGACTGCTAAGAAATTAGATCTTGAAGAGCTAGAATTTATCATACAGAGCCTCATAAAACATAATCAAATCTATGTGTGATGCAGATATCAGGCTTACCATGAGGAGAGTAAACACGCAGGTTGATGGGCACGGGAGAGATGCCCTTATTGGCTCCCGTGATGCGGTCAGTCTCCGCCTCAATCTCCTGTCGCACCTCATCAAAATCTGTGAATTTTTTGCCCTTGCAGTGGAGGAACTCTGCATATTCTGAGTCGGAATATATAAAAAAGTCACATTAGTCAGTAATGGAAGTGGATAAAGTTCTCCCCGCTTTTTAGTCGCCTCTTATCTTGTTTTTGGCTGAGTGAGTAAATTATTTTCATTTGAATTATGTTTCTCAGGTTCATGCATTTCACCTGTAGGGCAGTTCATCAGCTGAAGAACCAAAGGTCGACGGGTCACGATGCCAGAACCACGAGGAAGGAAGTCCCTATAACACAAAAACAGACAAAGAACATGTTTAATGATTAACGTCACATAAAAGGCAGAAATTAAGGACTTTTTAAAAATATATTTTCTTTTTAAATAACTACTATTAACATTGCCTGACTTGGAAGAATAAAATGTTTTTCTTCCCCCTACTTATGCAACCTTGGTGTCAACTCGCCTATAGCACTGTAGACACTTCAGCCAGCTGCCAAGCCTCTTGTTATTCACTGATGCGTATTTAATGAGCTGCTGTACATACATTTACTTCAGTTTTCTAAGAATATTTTTGATGTGTTCTATTCACATTGACTATGTATGTGCATGTTTACATACATGAATGTCTTAAACACTCTATTACATCACAGAGCCAAGTTGTGCAAAACAATCTGCCACCAAAGACAGAGAACTCTGAAATAAACATATCCAATGGCATACAAAAATATGCATGCATGTGTATGAAAAGCAGCTGTTTCACATGTATTTTATTGAAAAAATTTTACTTTCTATTACATAATACAGATCCTAGTCAGCCACATTTAGAAAGAAATGTATATTATTGAAATGTTTATTTATTTCAGAACCTGAATTCACAAAGTGAAATATGTTATCTGTCACACAGACATTTGCTTTCAAGCTTTTATTTTTGTTAATTCTGATGAAGATTAGAGTTTTACAGTAGAGCAACAAAAACATTTTTGAAGACATAAAGGTCAAGGTTCAGGTTCTTCTAAACATCACTTTATTAGCATGAGAAATACACTCAAAGTGTTGCTCTACACATACCAGTAATTTTGTCAGAAATGTTTAGCTTCTCTTAAATGACTGTTCTGACATAAAAAAATAAATAAATAAAAAATAAACAGCTCCATCTGTGTGATTTTATCAGTAAACTACTTACAAATTTTAACTGAATGACACATAGTTAAAATAATCTTTTCTGAAATATGTATTGTTTATTTCAAATGTCTTTATTTTTTTTATACTTTGTTAAAGACATTATGCAACAAGGGCATGAAAAAGGAAGGAAAACTAAATGATGTAAAAATTCATTTAATTTATGTTATTCTGCTTTACTACAGTAAAGGGAATCCTTCTCTCTACTAGCATTTCTGTGTCCCATCTGGTCTACCTGCCAGCAAATCTTTCTGAGTGATGCTTCCCCCTTTCCCCGAGTTGGACACTTTTCAGAGGACAGATGGTCTGAACTGCAGGTCTTCCTCTTACACATTGATGCCTCTTAAACTGGCAGCCATCCTCCAATTAATGAGCAACGCCACAAACAGGATTTTTACATCTATCTGTTTGCCCACAGAATAATACATGTGTCGCTCCCTGATCATTTCACTAATTGCTTCAGGAAAGCTTCAGGCCCCATCAATATCCTCTATTGTTAAATCTCCCGCAGAGACATGGGAAAAGAAACAAAAACGCCCACACAATCCTTTCATCAAGGAGACGAGGGGACTAAAAATTATGAAACTAAACAACCAAATAATATAAGCCAGAGATTGCTTTTCATAGTTGCATCAACCTACTTTTGGAGAGCACTTAGCTGTTGTGAAATCATTAAACTACACCTGTCTCAATCCTCTTTCAGTCCTCGCAGTCTCTGGCGTCTCCATTTACCATAACCGCTGCTGCAGAGACTCAAATCTCCTTCAGTTTTTCAGATGTGTGATTAACTTTTCCTTCTAGGCTTTTGAGAAATCCTTACATGTGGTGACAAAATTTGTCAGTGTCTGAAGAGCTTTTCTTTACAAAAAAAAAAAAGTATCTTATCTCTGGAGTGGAAGTGCAAAATCAGAACAGGTTCTGTTTTGGACTTTTCTTGTTTCTACAGATCTGGCAGTAATGTGAACAGTGAAATTCAACTCAGCTGTCCAAAAATGCACTTATTCGCAGTCAATCCTTGATTTAACAAAGGAAGCAGGTAATGTTTCACATAGCGCTAGACTCTTTTGGAGTTAGTTTGGAGAACAAATTCTATGAATCAGATCATCATTTCAAAACTGTATGTTGAATTTAGAACCAATATCTTTTTCTGATTTATTTCAAATTAATTTCAAGCTCTGAATCATTGACATGTGATTCAAAAAAAGACAAGATATCCTGTGTCTATGGGAGCAAATGATCTAAAGCAGCACTTTATTTGTAACTATGGACAAATGTCTAGTAAACGCCAGTAACTTATTGTTTTCTTTAGTTATCAGTTAACTAAAGCGAAGCATGATTTAACATGATTTTTAAAGCATACAATGCTTTATTATTTTCTCAGGCAGCAACAGTTTTACAAATATAGTTGAAGAATTGGTGGGTTTATGCGTGTTCCTTTACATCCTCTTTGTATTGTTTTATGTGAGACATATTGTTTACGTCCAGTAACCAGAACCGAGCCCTCCTCTGCTGGTTGTGTTACGTACATCACCTCACTTCCGATTCCAGACACGGTTGGATACTGAGCCTCGTCTAATCCTCCTCTAATGCGTGGAGTATTACAAGTCCTGACAGCAATGAAGCAGCACAACAATGTGTGTGTTTCCCCCCCGCATGCTCTAAAATTAGAGGATGCTTCTAAAGTGATGATTAAATAATGCATATACATACAAGATAAAGGTTGGTGGTAAAGCCAGCTGCTCTCCTGGTGGGAATTGAGGCTTAGGTCACATCCAATGGGAGAATGCATTGAAGGCAAGCAGAGATTAGTGGTAATCCCCTGTAGCAGTGCCTCAATAAATGATGTCCTCTCCCCCACCGTCTCTCAGCAAATGCTGTCTCATCCTATCTATATTCAATTCTGTTTCAACAGTTTCCCACAGTTAAAGCTACTTCTAAACGAAGAATAATGACACATTTTGCAACATCCACAAACTTTCTCAGAGGTTTTTGTGAAAAAACCTCTGCAACTTATGATTTTTACTTTCACAATCCCATCTATACAAATGTACTTATACAAAATAATTTTAGAAAACATCTTCCCTTTAAATTATCTCTGTTGGGGAAGCAGCATCCGAACCAATTACCTAAAAAGGCTCAGAAAATTACTGACAACCCTGGGCATCCTCTTCATTAAACTGCTTCACAACAACAGGGTGTCTACAGTCAGAGTTCAAGAGAACCGCTGTGATACAGCCCACTCCAGGAGATTGCTACTATGCACATCCATCAACACCTACAACGACTCTTTGAGGAAGATAATGTGATATGAGTTGCAAAACAGAATTTAATCTTTCATAATTGAAATAAAGGGTTCCTGTAAGAATGAGCTTTGTTTTGTTTTTTTTCTTCAAATTTTCTAATTTAATAATTTAGGAATGCAGCATTTAATGTGGACAACAATTCTTAGAAAACAGAATTGGTTGAAACAGGAATCCCACGCCTTGTCCTTCCTTCTGCATTAAGAAAGAAAGTATCCCTGCTCCTAATATTAGACACAATAAAGTGTTCACTGTCCTACTCCTCAGTTCCAGGCCTCTGCCTCAGTGTTATGAAACACAACACCATCTTCATATCATCAGCTTAATGTGGGGGTGGGAACGGTGATGGCAGCTGCGAGTGAGGAGTCACAGGCTGTAGTGTTTTCAGCGAGGTATTAGGTTGTGCAAGTCAGCAGGTTAGCTAAGCCATAAAAAACACTGCAACATCATCCTCCTCAACTGTCTGCATCCCAGGAAAACATTTATCAGTGTAAAACCTGTTTTTTTTTTCACCTCAATTTGGAGCATGCTATCAGTTTCTGTTGTAGCTCATCTTTCCTTTCAATAGGAATTAGAAAAAGTGTTGCTGTGCATGAACATTTTAAATTGAGTTAAAGAAACTAAAACTTCTTTCTGTGAAATGACAAAATAACTGGAAGCTGCAATAGTATGCAATTTTTGTTGGGTTTAGGGATTAATAGGAGAGAGAGAGAAAAAAAGACAAAGAGAAAAAGAGAGAGAGAGAGAGAGAGAGCGCTGTCCGTGGTTCTGAAAGTAACTTTGAAATGTGTGGAGTTTTCCATGAGGCAAACAGGATGTGAAAGTAATGATTGAGATGGATGAAAGGTTCACCAGACTAAATTTAATGCATTCTGGAGCCAAGAGAGAAATATGTCCCATTATTAAATGCGACAGAGTTTCACTCAGAATCCTAGTATCAGAAGATATCTTCATTTTTACCCACAATGTAAGCTAAACATAGCTTTTGCACGACTATCGGTTCTCATTTCAGAATTTACATTTTAATATCAGCTTTTTAGCAGTTTTTAATTTCACTTTAGGATAATGAATCACTCCTCAATCTAAACAAAACTGACGTTCAACTCCGGGTCCTAATTGCTGCTCAGCTGCAGCTGCATATGTTTGGCACAAGAGACCCACTTTCTCTAAGATAATTAGACTCTGGTGAGTTTAAAATACTAACTGGTTGACAGTCAGAAAAGGAAGACAGTGGCTTTGCTCATCTCTTTATTAATGAAAGACAAACAAAATTATAATCAAACCTGTGCTATTAGTGGGATGTGTGAGAAGACGTTTTTAAGTAAAGAAATGACTGACATTTCAGATATCTGCCTTATTGTTATTTTATGCATTTTATTCAGATATATATGAACAACATTAGTAGCCTCGCGCTGTCATTTTCTGAGAAAGTGAAATATTTACTAGAATAAAAAACAATGCAGATCGTTGTGAACGATCTACACCATCTAATTCAGGCCAATTAAACCACTGAGATACGATTTGATCCAACTGAGCCGAGAATAAATGAGCAGCTATAAGAGGCTGGGAAATTAACAAAGGTTCAAACTGACGGTAAACATTAAATAGAAACAGCGGCAGTTCGACATACACCAGCAGAAAGGACTTGAGGCAGAACCAACACCGTGAAGGACAAACGACACGATGCTTTTGATGCAAAATAAATTAGCAACCTTTGACTCTCCTTGCCCTGGAATCATGCCTGCCAGATGCACAGCAGCGTGCAATTCAGAGACAAAGTACCTGTTTAAAATGGACTTGACTGAACTCCTTTCAAACAACTTTTCTTTTAAATGAAAGGCTTCGCAAATGAATGCAGGAAAATGATTGTTCTACACCATTTCTAGCATGCTTCGGTGCTGGATGCCCAGTGAAAAACTGTCACAGGATGCACAAAGCCTCCGTTGAGAAAGAACTGTATTTCAAACAGAGAAAGACAGAAAGAAAGAAGTTGAAATGGGAGAAACAAAGATGTGTGAACACATTCTGTCGTGCGTTTTCATTGGCCAGCGGAGCAGCGTCAGAACTTGACAGATAAAAACACAATCGTTTCTGTTTTGCACTGTAGCTAAAAAAAAAAAAAAAAGAGACAAAGAACTGCAAATCCAGCAACTAAAACATCTGCTGGAAAGATTTGCATATCTCTTTGGAAGAGGTTTTCAACTTGCTATCAAGTCTCCAAGGTAAAGACACATTATGAGCTCGAAGCTGTTACTATGACAACAGCCGTGCGAGTGCAGCGTAGCATTTTCCAAAATGAGTGTGAAGAGGGCTTTAATCACTTGAAAAAAGCAGAGTGTTATTGAATCAGAGGTGTAAAAATTACATAAAGCAACAAAAAAAAACTTCAAACAATTAAACAGGGATAGGAATCTAAAAAACTGTGTGATTATGGCAAAAACAGTCACAAAATCTGATAAATGAAGAAAATGTGTTTAGACATGAAAAAAAGGAGGGGAAAATTTTGTTTTTAGCCTTATTTCATTTTTGATTAAACTGATAATATATATTTTTTTACCATTTATTTACTGATGATATCTGCTGTGCTTTTGTATTTCTGCAAGACGTGTTTTCCATGAAAGAAGTTTCCAGATAATGTTTAGATGAGACCAGAAGACATCTTGGGTCAAATGCTTACCTTGCCATTGTCTTAAAGGACTGTCATGTGTGGAATGTACTTTGTACCCTTGTTTGACCCAGAATCCATGAGTAACCGACAAAGAAGAATTATAAGTTTCTCCTGAAATCTTTACCGGCTCTCTGTCCTGCCGTGAAATCATCCCCTCCGAGAGGTGAGGGATAGTTCACGAGGTGGGGGTAAGGATTGTGTTTGTGGTCCATCTGGCAATAGAGATAAGATCAGACTTTGGGAGGGTGTTTTCCTTGCTGTGACTATATAACGATGCGATGTGACTGCGTTCAGGGCTCTTCTCCTGACTGGGTTCAGTGAGACGGGCCTTCGAATAAAGAAACTTAAAGACAAAGACTAATCTTTCTCTTATTATTGAAACAGATTCTCGTTCTTTAATAAATGACATTTCCATAACACTATTTCATTTGAATTTATTTCAGTGTTGTTTGACTTCTTCCTTGAGTTTTGTTCACTGCTGTTTTGCACCTGTGTAATAAATTTGTTCTTGGAATTTAAGCGTTTATTATAATTCCCCTTTGAGACACATGAGAGCATCATGTGTAGATAATGCAGACATGTAAGCAGGAAACGAGGTTCGCCTACTCTCAGTTAGGATGGAGGTAAGCTGCCACTGCTGGCAAATGGCTATAAAAGCTAAAGCATGAAAATACAGTAAGGTAGATGGGTTTTGAAAATGCAGCTCTTTACTGTGATCTGAAATGCGTATGCAAAGTATATGGGGCCTGATTGGACAGCTTTACTGTACATTTTTAATGTCTGTCTTTAAATGACATGAATGCAGTTTAATGTTTTTCTTTCTTTATCTTCCAGCAATAGTTTGATGATTTCCGGAGAAGCTCAGGACTGAGACCAACTCAGAACTTATTCATGTTGGTTTTGTTTGTTCCAAATATGTAATATTTTATATTTGACATTGCTGGATCTCTTCCTTCATTCTAAGGAAGAAAATACAAACATTTAGAATTTTGACTGCAAGTTTTACATGACAAGCTGGTAGAACATTGTTTTTATGACTTTGACATGCAGTTTGCTCCGAAACTTTGACGTTTGAGTAGAGATTATTTAATTCATTGTATTCAATATCATATTATCATGAGGGAAATGTTTTAAGATCAGAGTATTTTTCACTTTGGTTGCAATGATTTGATTTCTATGTAACAAGCAAATATTGTTGTTGCAAAATGCTATATTTTGTTTTGCTTCACTTTGTCAGATTTAAATTGGCAATAAAATAAAGCAATTTTTTTAAATTAAAAGAATAAAACATTTTTTGAGAGTTTGGTAAATTAAGTTGCATGTTTACATTTAAACTTTTAAAATCTAGCAAAGTATGCAGTTTCATGAACTACTATAAAATGACAACTTTTGGTAATTCTACTACAGGTCTACTGTAATTTTATTATGATAAAAATGTGATGGAATCACAGGATTCATGTTATATAATTACTGTGCTATTTTGAAGGAATCACAGTAAACCTGCAATAAAATTGCAGTAAAACTGTAATAGAATTACAGTAAGGTTACTGTGAAATTTACAGTGACTTACTGGCAACCTTGCTGCCTTGGTTTGGACATATCTGTTGTTCCAGAGAGGTCAATTATTATTGTGATGTTTTTTTTTTTTTTTTTTTTGGGGGGGGGGGATTGTCCAAATGTGACTTTATCTTGCTCACTTTAAAACATGATGCTGAATCGCATAGACATCAAAAAACAAGCAAGCAGGGTTTTTTTTTTTTTCTCTCCCCAAGCAAGTTGGTTTCACCAATGTTACACCGTGTGCAGTAAGCTTTACTTCCAGCATTATAAACACTGCTGGGCAGATGGTTTGAGCTGAGCTGAAAGGGCTCAAAGCTCAGGTGGACTCATTTCCCCTCACTGCAAGGTCACCATGCAGCGACTGCCGCACAACAGATCAGATTTGCTCCACTCTGCTTGGTTTCGTCTCTTTCAGCAGAAACTGCGGCTCTGACGGACAGGAAAACAAAGTGGACTCGGTCTGACGCCTCGCAGCATCAGTTCTGCAGACTGTTCTGCGCAGAATTAAAACAGCCTGGAGAGGGGATCACTCTAACAGCAACACAAGCAAACAGGAACTGTCTCCGTTGCCAGAAAGTCAACACCCGCACTTATCTGACTCTCTCGAGGCCACAGGGGGATTTATGCCTTTAATTGAAACAATAAAACACGCTTTTACACTTTTTCTTACTATATTGCGTAACAGGGAATTGTGGTCCGTGCATGCATTCTGCAGGAGTGAAAAATAAACTCCCCGGGGATTTATAGGCCCCAAACATAATCCGCTTGCCAGCGCGCTGCCAGTGACAGAAAGTGGGAATAAAAACTCGAGTAACTCAGATGACGATGACCGTGCGCCAGTCCGGTCCACCTATAGCTCTGTTCTTTTGGTCACTGTCTCCTCAGACAACCTGTCCCGTAATGGAGATGCAAACTGGGCCGCCTGCGGGCGCACATCCCTCGCCGCCCTGGATAAAGCTACTTACTTCCCGACGAAGTTCTCCAGAACCGAGCTCTTCCCCGCGCTCTGGCCGCCCACCACGGCGATCTGCGGCAGGTCCAGGTTCGCGTTCTGTCCGATGGCCGAGAAGGCATCCTGCATGCGGTTCACCAGAGGAATCAGGTCCTCCATTCCCCGGTTCCCCATCTTTGCGGTGCTCGGGGATAGTCTATCCTCCTTGTCAGCACTGGAGCGGGTTTATTTATCTGTCCTCTTCGTCCCCCGCAGGCCAGCCTGTCTTTCAGAGGCAGCTTTATGCGTCTGTTTTTATTTTACGTCTCGCTTTGCTCCCTCATTTGCGGGTCTTCCTTGGTGTGTCAGATCACCTCAGAGAGACAGGACTCTTTCCTCGATACTCTTCTACAAGCACCGCGGGGAGGAAGAGGAGGAGGAGGAGGAGGAGGAAGAGGAGGATGATCTCTTCCATCGGTGGATCCCTGCAGTACATAAAACGAACCACCTGGTGGCGTGTTTTATCAAAACATTTTTTTCGCTGAGGTTCATAAACACCACGTCACAGTGTTGTTCCTACGTCATTAAATCGTGCCTAATTGTTGCACGCGCGTACATTGATAGCATTTGTTTCGAAAGAAAAACAAAAATCTGCCTTTGGTTTGAAAATAACAGTCAGAACCAGTGTTCTTTATTACCAATGTCAAATTATTCAGTTTAAAATGTAAATACAATATTTCAAATTCAGAGCAAAGCCCCTAAGTCGTTTTTTTTCCTTTAAATAAAAAAAAAATACAATAAATTTTTACAATTCTGTATTGATTTCTGGGTCAACCGCTAGGGGGCGATATGATCCTCCACTTTCTTTTATTTTCTGAGTCTGGTTTGGATTTCAGGAGAGCAGGTTTGCAGCGAGGAGTTAACTCTACATTATGACTTTTGCTGGATATTAAACCAGCGGTCCCATTTCGTTCTTTCCGTCAGAATTAAAGGAGGCCTGAGGTAAAATGCAAAAGTTATTTTAGACGGCCACATCTCTGTAATAACTGGCTAGGTGAAAGCTATGCTAAGCTAACCTGTTGTTTTCAGTGTGGCTGTTGGCTAATGTAACATTAGCTTCGCTCAAGTTAAAACAGGTGCAATTATTATTAACTTACTATTAATACATTGCTTCTATACGAAGGTACTATAGTCTACTGAAAAATGTGTTAGCTTGCAACATATTTTCTTTCTGATGTGTTTTAAGGTGATAAATTATTGTAAAGTTAACGTAAATGATCTAAGCTAGCGTTAGCACGTAGCCCTGAAATATGAGAGCGGCGTGAAATTTGAGTGTGCGCAGGGTGATAAAGTGTGTTTGACAATACACAGCGGATTCAAGGACGCATGAAAACCAGTCTTGTTTCCTCTGCATCAGGGTTCCCATGCGGTAGGGATTTTTCCATCACTCTTCCCGTGTCTGACATTTCACTGTGAGCCAGCGGAGGATCTTGTTATTTCTGCAGTGATGTTCAACCCACACATCCATCAGCAGCAGCAGCAACAACAACAGCAGCTCCACCAACACCTGCGACATCTGCAGCAACTTTTCCAGCAGCAGCCTCCGCCTCCTCCTCCAGCCCAGCCGCCTCCCGCTCACCATGTCGGTCATCACCACCAGACTCCGCGGTAAGACCATTAACTCGACCCCGGGGATTGTGGGGCCTTCGGTGTGAGAAATGTGCTAACCGCTGGCGGCTTAGCCACAACTACCAACAATAGCCACAACTACCAACAATAGCCACAATAGTACCTACAAAACTTCTATTTACATTGCTTTGTAATCTCATCCGTAGTGATTAAAATCCTTTGATTGCAAGCAGTGATCCAATCTTTTCAGGATTTTTATATCATATCCCCTTAAACCACAAATTTTAATACATTTTCAATCTGTTGTCAGAGATGCAATGGAATGATTTAGATAAAAACATTTACGTTCAAGAATTGCATGGTTAAAGTTTAAACCCACATTCAATTGAGAAGCTGTTGCAAGTCCTGAAAATGGCTATTTAAATAAACTTTTCATCCAGTTTAACTGAATTTGAGCTATTTCAGTACACTGGAGAAGAGGAAGGGGGATCTACAAAGTATTGGGCTCAGTGTAATTGCACATGACCCTTTAAAGATTTTTACTATTATAAAATGTTGAAGTCGTCTGTCACTGACCTTCCACTTTATGGTGGAACTTTTATTTTACATATTGCGTAACTTGCGCTGTAGTTCTACATTTTTATTGTTGTGAAGTCTAGCCACATCTTGTTTTTTGAATGTCAGTTACCTTAATTTTTTTTTTCATGTTTGAAAAAGTTGTTGTAAATTGTCTTAAAATAAGAAAACCTAACTATTTTGTGCCCCAAAAAAACCTCTGATGTGAAATGAGTTGTCGAATATTTACTACTTTTTTTTTTTTTTTTTTTTTTTTTTTGCAGCGCCATTCCTGTTCCTGCTCAGACGGCTCCTCCGCCCAGAATGGTCAACTTGTGCCAGACAACCCAAACAACCCTGATTGCTCCCAATCCAATGCTGCAGAGTGCTATCCTGATGCAGCAGATGCAAGGTGCAGCTTGGATTAATCTTTGTAATTCGGTGTCTTGAAGTAAAGAAAATGTGGGCTGTTTAAAGTACAACAATTTACAGGTTGCTTTTTCTGTCGCAGTTTAAAGCTATACATTACTAACAGTGTACATGCATTTGTCTGCCCTCATGCTGTGCTTTCATCCAGGCAACATGCGGGGCTTTGGGATGGGTGGGCAGCAGTTCCGGCAGTTCTTTACCGCAGGGGCCAGGTCATCACTTCTTGGCCCAGTCCCCATGGGAATGGCCATCAAATCCCCCATCATGGGTTTCCCGGCTGCACGGCCCTTCCACCCACACACTCGCTTCTTCAATGCCACCGCTTCCTCCTCTTCCTCCATCTCTACTGCAGTAATAACAAAAGAATCATTTATGAATTTTTCTGTGTTGGCGAAACTCTTGATCTATGAATGTAGAGAGCAGCAGGGTTGGCATTTTAGTGTCTTGCACAATAAAAAATGCTAAGCTTATTTTGACAAAGTACAGGCAAAATAAGCTTAGCATAAAATGTCTCATAATTTAAAATAACTATGCTGCAAGTGTATATATAAAAACTATTTCCAGAATTTCAGAACTTAATATTTTTGCTGTTAATGAAGCAACATAGTTTTGGGGAAATTGGCAGTCTATAAAAAAAATAACAATTTAAGTACATCTGAAATTAATTGGAAGGCTCTACTTGTTATTTTAGAGATGCTTTAATACTATTATAGATTAGGCTCTTTAGTTATTCAACAATTCCTCACCCAGAATTACTATTAATGTTGTGTTTTCAATTGTAAAGTGAATCAGAACTTAAATTATATTAAGCAGATTGTAGCTCCTTTTTTGAGTTAGTAAATTAATATTGTTCATAAATCAGAATTTAAATCTACGTGTGCCTTACTTTGACATTTAATTTGTTTGTATTTCTCTTCAGAACATCTTTATTTGTTGAAGAAAGCTTTAATAGCAAGCTGTTGTCCTGTCTCTATGAGCAGGACGCTGCAGCTCGCCAGGCAGACAGGAAGAGAGACAGTGAGCAAATGTCTGCAGGAAGCACCGACAATCCACCAGCAGCACCAGCAGCTAACAGTGCAGATGACGAGGCTGCAACAGGTACATTCATGCTGCTATGGTGGCAGCTTAATATGGTCTGTACAGTAAAATATCACAGAGCCCATGCTTAAGTGGTAAGGACGTATTTGTCTTTAAATTTCACAGATGGTGCTGTGGGCGGAGAAAATAGCCAGACCTCTGAGGAGCAGCTTGAAGAACCAGTGGCAAAGCGGCAGAAGACAGAAGGGTAGGCAAACATTTTTTATCTTACTCTTATTCATGACACTATCTGTAATAAATGTATTACCTCTACAAATATTGAATACAGCAGGCCATTGAAGTTGGTACTGCAAGCTAAAAGGTGGATGAAGGCCCTAAAACTGAATAATATTTCTGTGGATTTTGTTTCTCACAGTCAATTTTATTTTGGGTGAGACAGAAGTTTGTGTATTATAGTCCTAAATCAAGTATCTACCCAAATTACAGTAACAAAAAAGAAGCATTTCTACCAGTTAAATGAGCCTAACATTGAACCAAATCACAGTCATCATCTTGATACTCATGTGTTTGACACTGCAATCATAAATAACTGCTTGGATACAATATTTGCTGAACTGTTGTGGTTCAAGTACCTTTCATTCACACGGCATCCCATTAATATATTTGATTTAATTTGGTCTTCGGGCCTTTGGTGCTCACACCAAATAAAGATTTTTAGACACTAAAACAGTTTAAAAGTGATGAAGTAACAAAGCACCACCCTCAAGTGCTCTATATGCATCCGTCACATCTTTAAAATAATAACAAATGTTCTTTCTGCTTGAGATTTAGTGCAATTTACAACCAAAGAAAGGCTTTTCTAGTAGGTTTTTCCTCATGTAAAATGTAAGCATCTCCATAACTTGCATGTTTTTGCTTATGTTGGAAACTCTAGCATTCTTCTGTAGGGAAGCAGTTTACATTTTTATGCTGAGAAGATGTAAGCTGCAGCTTAATCAATTATGACAAAGGAAGTGCTGTACTGCATGCTGCCATTTTTCTTCTGCATTGATGAAAAATGAATTGGACGCTGCTGTTTCACCGCAGTGTGAAATATAAGGTGCAGGGCTTTCTGACTCAGTGTAAGATCTCAGCATTTAAAGTTTTATGTTTTTTTTTCTCAGGTCAGAGGAACCTAAAGAGCAACATGTGGCCGAGTCGGTCACAACAGCTCAATCAGAGAGCAACAATATCCAGTCAGAAGGTAACACCAAATAGAAAATAGTTTCTGTATGCAATCTTGATATAATGTTACCAGCTCAGTAATTATGTCTTTCTGTCTCCTGGTCTTTTCCTAGACTGCGTCAGTCAGGAGGAAGAATGCCTCAGCGGGGGGCCAGATGATGCGGTAATAGAGGAGAACAAAGTAGATAATGTAAGAAAAGCTCAACACAAGATGAAGACAATGTAATGAAATGAATTTATGGTAGCGTGTTGAAATTGCAGTTGATCCCACACAGGGAGAATCGAGTTGCTATGCAATCTGTAAAACAATATAATTTTAGTATTGAAAAATACAGGCCTTTCTTTTCTGTTTTTTTCTCTCTCTCTTTTTCTTTATCCCTTTTCTTTTGTCTTCATTTCTTTACTTCCTTTGTCATTTTTCTTACTTGTATCCTTTCTTATTTCATTCAGTTCTGGAGAAGTTTTCACAAATGTATTTTAAAGGATTTGTGTGTGTACAGAATAACTTACCATAAAATCATTCAGCATAAGTTTTGAAGATTGCATTTTTCCATCTTAATCTCATCTAACTGGGATCCAAATGCCTAAAAATTGTGAAAACATTTAAATAAGTTAACGAATGCATGCAGACTTTAGCTGAACTTTGCTTCACAAGACTCGTATTCCTGTCAGATAGAAAATATTGTGATGCTTTATTATGATGAAACATCTTAATTGTTATCAGCTAGTATAAGTTTCTCTTTATTTCCAAAGGCCTGCGGGGGTTTGTCAGCCCCGTCACCGTCTGCCGGGCCGACTGAAGGTTCTGAGCAGGTGAATGAACCAACAGAGGAGGACAAAGACGCCTCACTAGGTTTTCCAGATGGCCAGGACGAAGAAGAGACATCCGAGGGTTCAAACAAGTTCTACTGCTACCTCTGCAGCATCACCTGCTTCAACCAGCAAGTAGGTGGAATACACACACAACACTGGATTGAGATTTTTGTCAAGGAGGAAACACTCTATGAACCTGTCTTTAAAGTCTGATATGTTCTTTCTGTAGAACTTTAGGAGTCACATGAACAGCATTTCCCACCAGCAGAGGATGATGGAAATCCAACACATGAGCAACGCCTGCCTGGTCACTCTGCTCCCCCGAGTGCAGGAGTCTCTACAGGGTACCAGCAAAGACGGGTCAGTTTTAAGTACAGAAAAACCTTTTTTGTTATTTTTCCTTCATGTCATTGTTACCTATTGTCTTCATGTAATGTTTTTTTTTTTTTTTTTCACGGCAGAGAGAAAAAAGCAGACCTGAAGCAGTGGTGTGATGCTTGCCACACCCACTTCACCAGCAGCATCTCGGACCACCAGCGCTCAGAGGAACACAAGGTAAATTTCAGGCAAGTAAATTCACACCGTGAGCGTTAGAAAACTGTTGGTCTAACAAGAATCTGCTGCTTTTTTTTTTTTTTTATCACCGCAGCTTGCTAGTAAAACCGACCTGTCCTTCTGCGCCGTCTGCCAGAAGCGCTTCAAAACCTCGCAGAACTTTATAGAGCACCTGCACTCTCAGGAGCACAAGCAGAAGGTAAGATCAAACCTACCGTTAATAGTTTTTTAGGAGTAAAATCTAAGCTGTCACCATGCTACATTGTTCCAAACACTTTTGTTTTTATTGATGTTTACCAGATCAAGGAAAAAGGCTGTGAGACTTTGGCTAAGCTCACCAACATTGGCACAGATGGTTTTTCATGTGAGCTGGAAGCACAGGAATTTGAAAACAATGAGGGAGACCAAGGAAGCAGTCAGGTGAGATTCACAATAACTTAAATGTTATGTCAAAATCAGCAGAGATTTTAGCTCAGTCTTACTTAAGTAAGATGAACCTTTCACTTTGACAGGATGGCTGGCCCGCTGCCAGAGAGGTGGCCCTAAATGACATGACCAGCGATGAGCAGTATGACCCCGACACCATCTATGGATCCAGTTTCTTAGACCCAGTGGCAGGCTTCCTCTGCAGGCTTTGCAACAAGTTTTACCTCTTCAAATCTTCTGCTCTGCACAGCCACTGCAAGTCACTGCAGCACTTTGAGAACCTTAAGGTGCTCCCATTACCTCATTTACCAAATGTTTAAGAAATGTGTTGCAGTCATCATCAGAAATGAACAACAAGCTATGGATGTTTAGCACCAGATGTGACCTGAATCCAAGCTGAATTCTTTGATTTTTGGATTACTGGTGAATGTTCTTTTCTCTTCTGCTTCACAGAGCTACAAAGGAATGATTGGAGAAAAAGATGAAGATGCTCAGGCTTCAACAAAATCCATCGCAGCAGCAGACGGCCTCAGACCCGTCACAGAAGCATCAGACTGTTCACAAGAAAATTTGCTCACTACTGACACGAGTGAAGCCGATGGCCTAAACTCTACGAAATTAATTTCACTGACCAAACTGGAAACACAGGAAGAAGATCGGCTGAAAGAGAAAGAATCAGAGGCCGCCTCAATCTCGCTGGACTTCAACCAGCAGCTCAGTCCTGACCAGGAGGAGAGTCCAGTTGCTCTGGCTGCTGTCAGTAGAAAGGAGGCAGACTCAGTGCCTGCAGCTGCTGCTGGGGATTCAAACGGAGAGGAGGAAGAGGAGGAGGAAGCTCCTGCTGGCGCTGGGAAAAAGAACTCTGGAGGAAAGGGAAGAAGCGTGGGCAAACGACGGTCAGGGAGGGCCGCAAACAGACGCTGAGTCTGAAACCCCATGAAGGAATGAAACCATGTAATGTTTTGCAACTATGGGACTCAGCCCTCCTTACTGGGAAGTGTAAGGGAATCGCACCAAAAACCAGGAAGACTGGCTACTGAAAACAGTAGAAGATCCCTCCTCAGAGTGTGAAAGTAACAGTTCCTAAATGGAGGCTTTTGCCATCAGTTGTGAGTTAGGCTCTTTTGGCTATAAAATAATCATTTGAATTTTATTTGTAAGCCATACCCTAATGTCACTACAATCTAAAATGAGCTACAGAGAAGATCCTTGTGGTAGATCACCAGTAGATGGAGCTGTAGTACATCGTAACAGGCATTTTTGGGCATTTAATACTGACACAAGATGGTAGGGAAAACAATATTATTTTGCAGTTTGAAACTGGATTGTATTATTCCGAAGTCAAATTTGAAAAAGCATTGGTACTCGCTGTATTAACTACACATTGCAATTTAAAGTAGGTACAGGTTGTGCAGAAGTAGGGCTTGTAGTTTGACTTCAAATTCCAGAGGTAAAATTTCACTTAAATTTCAGGTGAAGTGTAACAATTTTCTCAGGCCATAAAAACTGTATGATGTCAACTGCAATAGAAGATGTACGCTGGTCCTCCCTGCTGAGCTCAGGCCAGGAGACCAGGGAGCGCATACCTTCATCCTGATTGTCACATGATTGTCAAAGTCCATGGTGATGGTGAAGTGAAAACATTTTTCACCTCAAAATAGCTTTCAGTAAGCTGGAATGTGGTCTGCATGAACAGTTCAACAAGTTGAAGTCGTTTTGAATCCAAAGTTGCACTTTGGATTGTGGCGGATGGATCAGCTCCATAGTTAGATTCAGCGCATTCGTGTTCCTTTTTGTTAACATTTTGGGGAACAAAAGTAGGCCACATGTGTAGCTTTTTAAAATAGTTGTGTTGTGGAGACCTGAAAAACTTTGACCAAACCAGGGCTACTTTAACGCAGTAAAAAAGATCAGCAACAGCACATTAAAGGCTTCACACACCGGTCTGAATCTAAAATTAGATCATGACATTTCATACTGAAATATTTCAGTTGATGTTAATAATCCACATTTTAACTACTCTAGCCTCAGAGAGGGATTTTAATCAGAATCCCAGTTGTTGTCACATTTACTCCTTATGAAGTTCCTCGAATGCAACTATGAGCATCCACAGCACAATATAGTTTGCAGTAGTTGACTCAAGTTTCCCCTCGTTCCAGTTTCCTTACATAGAAATGCATTTGGATGTTTTTTTTTTCATGAAATGTTTGTGTAACAAGACGTTGCTACAAACTGTCCTCTCCATTTTCGAAGCACTAGTTACATTCTGTAGGATGTACAACTGTGTAACTGCAGGTGTTGAAATAGAGGACATGTCACTTCCCTCTTTATCTGGTTTTCTGTTCTGGAAACATTTCACCTTCCATACTAGTTTAGCATATCTGAAACCACACACAGGCAAAAAAATAAATAAAATTAAAAAAAACTGACACGTGTAGCAGCTTTTGTAGTCATGGCGACGAGTACGATTGTCACATGTTGGGTTTTTCTTTATTTCTGAAGGAATAAAGACGTGCGCTGAACTTTAACACGTCAAACCTGAATAGTTCAGGGGAGCGAGAGAAATGCATAGATAGTAGTTTTGAATAAAGCTGTATGTTTCCTATGGTATTTTTATTCAGCTACTGACAAATTGAGATAAACAACCAGGGGATGTTTTTTAACTGCTGGAAGTTTATTGTATTTTTGATTGTTTGTTTTCTGTTTCAGAGTAATCTTAATTTATATTAAAATGTCTGACAATTCCCACAATGTGTTGACGTCGTTTTAATTCTTTAAACGTACACATATTAAGTGAGTAAAGGGTCGGTAACACCATCATAGATTGATGGTGCTGAAGAGAAATGAAACATTTAGACTAAATCTTGGAACAAAAGACAATGTCACGCAATTATTTACATATATATACGCACACACAAGCCTGAAGCATGGTTAATATTTAATAGAATCTAACTTGAGTTGATATCTGGATAAATGTAACTTTTTACAGCAGCAACACATTTGATTGGATTTTCCCAAGTTTGTTAAGGGAAACCAGAATTTATAGCAACTCAAATCCACTGATCTTCTCTGTCCTGTCACATTTCTTTGGTCTTGTCACTGATTTTCTTCACGTTGGTTTCGCTCGCTTGGTAAAGATTCCTGCTCCACGGCGTGATGCTCCTCTTGGGTTGGAGAGCCAGTGAGCTGCGCCCTGAAATCCAGACGGGCTTGCCGATTTGACTCCAGCAGTTCGTGCAGTTTTCCATTAAGTGCGTCGTTGCGCTCCTCCAGGTCATCAAGATAGGAGTTGATTTGATCTAGCATGTTGTTGATCGCGGCGTATTCTGTAGATAAAACAAGCACAGGACAAACACGGTTTACTTAAACTTTAAAGTAGAACATAAATGAAGCTTCACTGAGTGCGTGAGGCACAGTCAGGGTCATTTTCAAATAGCTTGAACAATCATAAAGTTCCAGTTTTTTTCAAAGGTTTTTAAGCAGAATGTAGCATAAAGTAAGAAATAGATCATGTGGTAAACATTAAACTGAGGCTCATTGCCCGCTATATTATGTAATAATCAGCTTGCGTTACCTTCTTCACCAAATTCGTCGTCGTCGTTGATGATGCCATCTTCACTGGAGATGTTTGGGTCTCCATTTGGTCCAGACATGTTTTTAAAGTCCTTCTCTTGTTAGCTTAAAGAAAAACTATTGCTGCTAACCTTCAGCTAGCAGGAAGTGTCATTAGAGAAGACGCTGTTATTCGGAGTTGATTGGGTTAAATTTATCTGAATTGACAAGGAGTTCGATTTTTGATGTATACTCTAAACTTGTCTACGGATTATATTACTGTTCTAAAAGAAAAAAAAAAGTCAAAACAAGCCCCGTATATCCGATCAACCAGCTGTCTAATATTTGTACACCGACCCAATGAATTGTGGGAAAATAATGGGAAGCATTTCAGGGCGAAACGAGAGGACTCACTCTGTGGGAAGTTTTGTACACAAGAGTTAATCAAACATACACTTAATCATTCCTCAAATGATTAAGTGTATGTTAAATAAAACTTAAAAATTACTTTAATTAATTTAAATTTATGGATGTGATTCATTCTGTTAATACGAAGATATGTTTTGCTTTTACAATACCGTTCATAGTTTCGCAAAACATGTACGAAGTGAGCACTCTTACTTCTACTTCTCTCCGAAGCTGAGCCGTCATGTCAGCTGACCTGACGCTCTGCGAAAAGCCTCTTACTGTCAGGTTTCAAACATGCAAACTTGTTATAAATAATTTAGTGAGTAATTATATATGTTACAGATAGAAATACAGGTAGTGCATCTGTTAAATTATCAAACGTTTTTATATAATTAGATTAATAAAATGCACAAATCATTCATAAAAATACGATACAATCAAATAGTAAAATAAAAATCTAGTTATTTCACAGTTTTGAATTATTTTAAGGTTCCGATGCTGAAGTGCAAAATGATAAGTGGAATAATTTGTTCTATGTTAAAACATAAATAAATAAAAGTATTTTGTTCTCATGACCAGTCAAAACTTCTACAATATTCAGAATATCTGAGCATGGAAATAATTATTAAAATAATACTTCTATTAATGGACCTCTGACATCTCATTGGTTAACCAGTATAACACTTCAAATCAGCAAAACCAATAATTAAAGCAATATTGGCCAAATAAATTCATAAAGCTGATATTATGACAATTAAATATCTAGAAACAAAGACATATTGATATTACAGTTTTTTTGTTTGTTTGTTTTTTTACTAAAACCTGTAATAAAAATCTAATGTCATATTTATTTAAATATGTGCTCCTAAATTAAATAAATGGAGTACAAGGTTGTCCTTTCTGACTTAAGTCAGTAGAGGGCGCTGACACGGAGAAACAGAGTCTAACATCAAACCACGTGTCGTTAGCTTCCTGTTTGGGAAGTGGCTTCCTCACAACTCGCTGGGATTTGTTTGACAGTGTTTTTCAGAGATGGATGAATTACCTGCGGATATCAGAACATTTCTGACCGATCACCCCTTTTTCCAGCTCACAGATGGCAAAAAGGTTTTCAAGAAATCCGCTAAAAATCACTCAAAACACACGTGCACTTGTGCAAACGTGATGTCGCAGCATGCTAACTTACCTGTTAAGTCAAATGCAGCAGCTTGGCCGATTTTTAATGCTAGTCAACATTTGTTTGCAGATCAAATGCACCCTAAATGGACACGAGTTGCCCTGCAGCCTGGCGGAGCTGCACTCCTTTATCCAAGGAAAGAAATATAAGAAACTGAGTGCAGAAGCAGAGTTCAACTACAGCCAGTATGAGCCACACATTGTGTCAAGCTCGAAGCAGCCGTAAGATTTCCTCTCGTTTGTGTTTCTTTACTATGTTGTGGCATTTCCGCAGTGCTTATTCGGTATGAACTGCACTTGGATCACATTTTCTGATCTGTGTCTGTTTTATTTCTAGCAATCGGCTCTTCTGCAAACTGACCCTGAGACATCTCAACCGGCAGGCAGATCATGTCCTAAGACACGTCAGTGGGAAACGTTTCAAGAAAGCCCTTTCTCAATGTCAGTGCACCACTTATTTGCATGAATGCTGCTTTGTAAGAGTTGGTGGTTTAACTTGTGTCTGCACGTCAATGCATGCAAGACAAAAAGATACATTTTGAATCATTCAGGAAGGAAGTTTAGATTATTTGATTACGTTGAGGAGGATGTTTTTTTTTTTGTTGAAATCTATCGTTCTGTCTCTGCTCTTTCTAAAATATGTTTTGCCCCGTTGGTGCGGATGAAAATCAAACCCTTATTAGGATATTTGTATGTGTTGCTTCCTTATATCTCCTAAAAAAAAACAAAGACTACTTGTGAGCAAATTATAAAAACAAAAACAGAGCAAGACAGACGGACACATGAGTTTGTATTCGAATGAGAAAATGAGCAATACCATGGTAATTGATGAGTTCTTTTTTTTTGTGTGTGTGTTTACAGATGAGGAGTGTACGCGGCAGGGAATTGAGTTTGTTCCAGCCAGACTCAAACAGAAGAAGCCCAAAAACACAGGAGAAGAAATGAGTCGGTCCTCAAAAAGACGACCTAACGGCTTGTGGGAGCCTTCATCCAGCGAGGAAGAGCACAGCGACTCAGAAGACAGCATGAGCGACCTCTATCCATGTCAGTACATATTGTCTCAGGTGCATTTATTGCCACAAGATTATTTTTTGTTGCAGCAGCATATTTGTTCCCTGAATATCAACACTTTAAGAATATTTATCTGCTGATGGAAAAATCTAATGCTGAGAAATAATTGATCACAAAAGTAGTGGCACAAATTATTGGCCAAAAAGGAAAGAAATCCCTTGATCTTTGATTGTTGCAGTAAATTTTGTTTCCTTTTAGTAAAGTTCATGAATTGTTTCATTTAAATCTGTTGGCAATTCCAGGGTGCCATTTTTGGAACTACAACACTCTTTGTTGTAGTTCTTAAATAATATATTTTGGAAATTTCTTTTGCTTCCCTTGATGTCATCCTACTGGGCTTAGTGGGAAAATAAGTCCTATTCGTCCAGCTCAGTGGGCAAAGCATTAAAGTAATGTTCAAATCCCTGGGTGACAGAAGAAAATGGATCAAGAAGAATAATTTCTGCACCCAAATTTTGTTAAAATATATATTTGCAGTAGAAGTTGGTATTATGTAGTGTTTAAGCTCAACAATTTGAATGCCGATCAGTTTAATTTTCTCTTTTGTTCCTACAGCTTCCATGTTCTCTTTAAAAGATCCGGCGGTAGAAAGCACAGCAGGTGGAGAAAATGATGAAGAGGAGAATGATTTTCAAACAGATGAAGACGAGGAAATGGAAGTCGACACACAGGTGGCGCAGAAGCGCAAAAAGGTTTGTGAATATATCTCTTGACATTTTGTATCAGTTCGTCAAGCTTCATTATTAAGGACCTTTTCATAGATCCAGGTGTAACACAAGGTCCGTCGGCGAGGGTAAAAACACAGAATCACAAGAGAGATGCTTTAAGAACTTTAAGCAAAATTATAGTAAACAAACTGTTAAAGTGCCAAATGTGGTTTAGTTGTTCAGCTTCCAGAAGTTAATTTTTTTCATTTGTACATGTTGTAGGTCCAAGGTGGTGGTTTCCAGAAGAAATTCAGAAACAACCGGTGGAAATCTAGAAACAAGAAACACAAAACAGCCCAAAATGGAAAGTAACTTGTGAAAACACCAACACACAGTGTCTTTTTTATAGCTGGGCATCTGTCAGGAGACAACACTGACACCCAGTTAGAATATGTATTTAAACCAGCCTGAACTCTGTACATCCATTAATAAGGATGCAAGTGATTTTTGGAAAATGCTTTAGTCATGATGTCAGCAGAGCTGGTTTTTATGACATAAAATGATTTTTCCCTGGATCAGTTGGAGTCCTTTGTGATTTCTAATCTAATGCACTTGTAAATAAATACAGCATTGCTTAGACTGTGCCTTGTTTTATTTGGTTTGTATGTTTTGTCCTGTTGTTGCAGCTAGCTAAATTCATGCAACATGCTTTGTGAATATAACACATTCAAATTAAACACTGTCATAGACTTAAGATTTCTTTATGACTTTGCATCATGCAAACACTGTGGTCTCAAACTTTCATCCTCAGAACAAACTGCCCTCCATGTGTCCCTAATGTCACACTCCTAATTTAAAGGAAGAGGTCACTGACACAGCACTGCTCAACTTGATTCCTAAGTTTAAGTATATTGTTGTCTTAATGAGGGATTGTAGGATATGATAGAAGATATTAAAGCTAAAAGGTGAAGCTCTCAATAACAATATGTTCCACACCCTCAGCTGGATCTCAAATTTGTCAATGTAATTTAATAATTCAAATTAAAAGTGAAATTCATATAAAGAAGCATTACATGCAATCTTTCATTTTTTTCTGTTTTGATTATTATACCTTGAAGCTAATGAAAACCACATTTCAGGGTTCACTTAAAAAATAATACATGGCCAGTCAAATAAGTTTAATACACAAATGTCAGTCTATTGAAAGGTATATTCATAAGTATACAACTTACTGACCTTTTTTCTACGGCACTTTTTCCTTCCACTTAACTTTTTAACACTTGCATGAAGCAATCCATCAACTGATAGCTTCTTCCCAGAGGAATGTGTCTGTGATTATCTTCTGCACAACTACCAAGTCTTACCAAGTAGAATTTTATAATCAATAGCAAAAGTTTCTGTATGACGCATTTAAAAAAAAAATCTGTCAGCCTATTTTTTCAAATGTTCTGCAACTCTTTGGGTTTCCATCTTATCAACAGAAAGGACCACTTGAATTGCACAAACTGCTTTCTTAATAATATCTCAACCTATTAAAATGTGACTATACTTTCTTTTTCACCTTCATTTGTGAATGGATCCTGTATCATTGCTGCTTCTGTACTGCCGGTTTCATCTGTGACTTTCTGCGAAGAAACATTTAACGTCATGTAATTATTTTCGATATAGTCACTGCGCATAAACACTTGTTGACTTGATCTTCCCGTCTCCATGAAAACAATGCCGGGTGGCTGTGAAGCCCCTGCCGGGTTCAGTATACGTGGCACACTGAGGTTGCAGTACCATGCAGGGGGGCTCTTCGTCAAATCGCGGCGCATTGTGGGGCGGAGGCGGCCTTTCTCTGCGTCCGTCCGAAGCTATCGGGAAAACCTGCAACTAAATAACGGGGGGAGGAACGCAGTCTGGAGAAAGAGAACCCAGGGCACCCTACATTGTGTGGCACGGTTTATTTTTTAAAAACACAACTGTAATATTGGAGGAAAATGGGGCAGGAAGACCTAATGAACAAAGCCGAAGACGTGGCAGACCAGGTAACTTCATTACTAGCGTGCTAGCGGCTGTTAGCACGCTAGCTGCTAACTAGTTTTCATGTGAGGCTTCAGAGCGTTTCCTTTAACATTTTTAAAGCTTTCGTTCTTCTTTCTTGAGCACTTTGACACCCATAAACATAATCTGGGATAAACCGAAAATTTTTACTTGTGTTTTAGCTGGAACGATGAGAATATTTAGGAATGCCTGCTCCTGTCATGTGCCTCATTTGATAGCATTATGAACACACACTGACCAGATGCAAGTGGCATTTGTTGACTAATTTAACAATTGCCTGGCTGATTACTGCATTTTACCTGCTTTTTAGTTAGCCTTTTCTTTTCTTAGTATTGTTGCGTTATTCTTCTATGCCAGCATGTAGTTGTGAAACCACTTGGATTATCTCACCAGTGTTGGTCAACACCTTATTTCTGCCTTAATCTTTCTACGCACACACACAAATACCTCCTTGTTGTTCTTATTCTTTCATTAATAGACTGTTTGAACTATTTACTAAACTCAGCATTTGCATGTGGTCTTTCTACATCAATCTGCTTCAACGCAAACTAGCTGTGAAACTTCACTACAAACTACAGCTGATTTTAAATAGCGTTAGTTTGAGTTGGAATAACTCTTCAGATCATGACAGATAACATCAGTTTGTGCTTTTCTGCTGTGGCTCTTGCGTTCAGATACACATAAGAGGAAGAATAATGTGTTCAGTTTCCTTTGGGTTGTAGTGTGAGTTCAAACAGGAAGATTTGGGGACAGTCTTGACATTTTGCAGCAGATGTGTGCACTAAACTCTGTTTGCAAGCTAGTAAACTGCATTTCCTCTCTGAAGTAAGTTACTACTTATTGTGGTAACTACATCCTTATGCAGTCTACATCCAAGCGCTGTAGACTGCATAAATAACATGAGATGGGATGCAGAGTGTATATACATAAAGTGAGATGTTTAAATTAAATTTTGGGGTGCATTTCTTACAGAATGGGAACCAAGCCAGGGTTTTCCTCAGACATAACACTTCAGAACTGTCTATTTCTAGGCTGTTGCAACAACCTTGGGCTTGCTCAGATTGGCTCCAGCTTGGCCCATTCATGTCTCTGACAACAGCGCTAGTGGGAGTTGGTGGATGTTGATAGGCCGCTGAGGTCTGACTGTGCTGATGTGGACTGTTAGATGGGCGGATCAGGGGGCAGGTCACTGCAGCTCTGCTGAGTACTATCTGAATATTAGTGCATTAACAAAATAACCTTTAGCCTAGAGTAGAGGAGGGTTTTATTACATAAATATTAATGAAAAACACTGATAGTGAACCTACTGAAACCTGTTGGGAATAAATCTGACAGCTTTACTCCTGTTTCAGTCGTTTGTCATCTGTGCATGTCTGAGGTGACCATCTGTTCTGCTCAGTTACAGGAAAACAATTAGTTTTCATGCACTGGTTTGCTGTTTTTGTAATTTTATTTTTTATATAAACATAGCAGAACAAAACACAGTCATTCTTATTTGTAATTCAAAAAGTTTTTGTACACTTTGTTACTCTGATTGTTTTTGTATTGATTGTGATTGACGTTTACATGAGTACATCAAGATATTTTAGTACACACGAAGATTACACAGTTAAAATTTACCAACCAGGTATCTGTCTTTTCTTTTTCCCCTTTTTTTTTCCAAACGAGTAAATCTAGATATGGTCTCAAGTTTTTGGTGTTTAGTCTGTTTAATTTTAAGCTTCAGCAGGTAAGCTTTTCACAACTGCTGCTGTTTAGTAGCTTCATGACCTACATTGTTGTTTCCACTTTATTTCACTTGCCACCGGCCCAGAAAACTTTCATTCTTCTACATTCTACAAGCTTCATGCTAATTTCGTTTTATTCTCCAGTGTTGTTGTCCCACTTGTTATAAATAAAATTCAACAAAAATATTTAATTTTGGTTTACATTTGAGCACAATTAAAAATGAACTAGAAAGAAACAGCCTGTATATTTAATGACATCAAGCATTACATCAGATGTAAAAACAATGCTAATATTCATAATTTCTTCATGATGAGCTTTAAAATGTATAATACTGTTTTTGTTTTCTCAAAAGGCCTCTCCTATTTATGTAATTTTCTAACTTGAACATTGTTTGGTTTAAATATAATGATTCAATCTGTCTAAACTGCAGCTTCTCTTAAAGTAACAGTTTAAGCATCAGTAATTCACAATATCCCTTTATTATTTTCTCTAATCCACTTGATGTTGAAAAGGTAATTGACAGATATAATCCCCAAATGTTTGATTGACCCTATGTGTATAATATTTCAAAATATAGATGACTTTAATAAAATATCCCAATATTTCACTTAAAGCAAAAATATTTAGAAACTGCAAACATTTCAGATTTTTACTCCAGACCCCCACAAACCCAATCCCATTTTCATCCTTCTGATTTTTGTGCTCTCCAGTTTCTGCGGGTGACCAAACAGTACCTGCCCCACCTGGCACGTCTGTGTCTCATCAGCACGTTCCTGGAAGACGGGATCCGCATGTGGTTCCAGTGGAACGAGCAGAGAGACTACATCGAGGCCACCTGGAACTGTGGCTACTTTCTGGCTACGTGTTTTGTGCTGCTTAACCTCGTGGGACAGCTTGGTGAGTGTCAGGAGGGGATGAAGTTGCTTTTTGTGGCGTCAAAGAATGTTATAGGTACTGAGGCACAAAAGGTTAGTCAGTTTACATGGAAAAAGTAAATGATGTCATAATAGGTTTGAAAGTTAGTAGATTGTAACTTAAATAATGCAGTTTTGTTTTGAAATGAGGTGGTGAATGTAGCTTGTGGCAAATATTGAGGTTAAGTTACACGGACAGGTGTTTCTTCTACTCTTTTGTATTCAACAATAGGAATATGAAAAAAGCTGACATTTCTATCATGAACGAATAACATTGTTAAGGAGGGCTTAAATGCTTCCAATAAACAGTGAAATGTCATATAGTGAAGTGAATATGAACAATAATTAAGTATATTAGGTAGCAACTTTTGAAAACAGAGTCTAAATGCTTTACAAGATGCAACTAAGAACAAACATTCAAAAAGTCAAAAAAAAATCCTTGTAGCACATTGACATTAAAAGCAATAATACACTATCAAAAATAAATCAAGTTATTAATAACAGATTTATTATAATACAGTTCACTGAAGTAGTAATATAATAAAGTAAATACAAAAATATTTAGTCAATTGACCTCGTTAATGGCAGAAACGCTTCTTTTAGTATTATGTCGTTCTACCTATAAATCTATTTATTTCATATTTAACTCTTAAATGAGTTTTTCTGTTGTTTTAAATATTTTTATTAAAGTTTGAAGACCTCTTTCTTTAATATTTTTTTCTTTATTATTCAGTCAAAGTTTTGACATACAGAGCCTTTAAAAGAAGTTTATAGAAGTTAATTAAGCGGGTCGGATCAACTCTAGTAACTATGTGGCTCTGTCTGTTTACTGAACCTGAATCAGTGTTGAACTCTGGAGAAAAACTGTTATTCACCAAAGTGGCTATTACAGAAAGCCTGACCTTAATTATTATTGCTGTGTTATTGCTGCAAAAAGAATATTTTTCACACAAAGGTTTAAGACTAAAAAGACACGCCATCATGGGAGTGGCTATAACTTTTCCTTTGTGGTCTTTGTCCCAACAGGTGGTTGTGTCCTCATTCTCAGTAGAAATTTTGTACAGTATGCCTGCTTTGGATTATTTGGTATCATAGCATTACAGGTGAGAACACTTTGATTATATATACTTTAGTAAATCCCTAAAATATGATGGTGTCTAATTTTATTTCTACCTTTCACCAGACTGTTGCATACAGCATTTTATGGGACCTCAAGTTTTTGATGAGGTAGGTGTCACGTTACTCCTGTCCATTATTCTGTTTTCCTCTGTGTCAGGCTGGTATATAGAGTCACTCATTCTCAAGTTTCGATTAAAGTCCAAATAACAGTAAAACTTGTGACCTTCGATATGCTAGGGTTGGATGGAAATCGGATCAATAATCAGACTGAGGTCTCATCACGTTCAAGAAAACGTTTTCATTCAACTTGTAGACTGAAATAGAGAAAATGTCTCTATTTTCAAAAACAACCCTAAAGGTCTAGTTACAGGCTGGTGTTTTGGTGTCAGGTTATACCAAAATTAGTTTAAAAAAATGTTAGGGTGACAACAATTTCCTCCAGACATATGGAACATCATACTTTCTTGGATAATCCTGTAATAAATGTACAATTGGCAAGTTACCAATAGTTAAACTAATTAACCAACCACTGCCAGCTTTTAGTTTTGATGTGTTACTCTTTAGGGAGCAGAACAGCAAAAACAGTTTAGCTTCTCTTCAATAAGCATTTAAAACATTCTGTCAATGATCTATTTCTGGTTTTAAAACTTAATTTCTCCAGTAACATGTAACCCAGGTCCAGTTGGGACTTGTTTGTTTAGACAGTGATAAACTGAATGTGTGTGCAAAGACACCTTTAGGGTTGCGTCTGAGTCTTTCTGTTTGCATATGCTGTAATTCATGTGTTTCCTGGATAAAGTCAGCATGCTAACCATCAGATAAGTCATGTAATATTTAAGCCGGTGGGCAGAAGATTGCCACCTGAGGAACAAACATGCAACATAAAGACTTACTTCAGACTGCAATGAGATGTTGGCTCAGTTACTTTCAGTGTGGCCTTATTCAATACAGGTAATATTTTCGTTTTGTTTGGTCCTCAAAACTAAAACTCCTCTCTCCCTTCCTGGTAGAAACCTGGCCCTGGGAGGCGGTCTGCTCCTGCTGCTGGCGGAATCGCGTTCGGAGGGGAAGAGCATGTTTGCTGGCGTCCCCTCCATGGGAGAGAGTTCGCCGAAGCAGTACATGCAGCTGGGCGGCCGAGTGCTGCTGGTCCTCATGTTCATGACTCTGTTGCACTTTGACTCCAACTTCTTCTCTGTAAGTCCTGAGACCCACAGCATATTTACACAAGCAGACCTGCTGCTATTTAATGCTATGTGTCATCACATTTAATTAGGCAGGGAAAACCCGAGACAACAATGTCAACAGTGTTTAGAAATATCTCTGTTGGATTTTCTTTTTAATCAGCTGCAGATTAATGCAAATTCAAAAATGGTTCTTCACTTTATAACTTGTATTATTGTTTTATTTTCAAAAGGGTTTGCTAGGAACATTAAGATTGCCTAAATCTAATAGTAGATCACTTGAAGTTTTGCTTCCAGGTGTAAAATTAGTCAACACATACCAGGTGGTGCAATGTGAACCAAAGCTAAACTTCCTCTTTGGTGTTCTGACAAAATGTCCGCCATAGAAAAAACATTTAATTAGTTATCAGAGACTTAATTTCAGCAAGGATAAAATTATCTTCAACCCTCTGTATTATAAATGGCCGTTTGTAAATTGTTTGATTTTAAAGACACTTAATGGGTCAGTTCTCTGAAGCTCATAGGTCTGCCTCCAGCATCACTTAAATAAAAGTGCCATTTATTTATGACTAAATTGGTCTTGAGCTAAAACTTTCATTTTGTTGTAAAAATTACGATGAAGGCTGTATACGTATATTTAGAATTTTTTCTTAAAAATTAGTCTCCGTGTTCCCTTTAAAATAATAATAAAAAAAACTTCTAAATAAGTTTGAAAAAGTAAACCAGCTTACAGGAGTTAATCTTTTGTCTATCGCTAAAACTTGATTTGTCACATCACGTTTTTGCTGCAGTCATTTCTGTTTTAAATTACAGACAGAAAATCAATAGATAAATGCACTTTTTTTTCAAAATACTGGCCTCTAGAGTATTTAAAATAAGAGTTTTTTCAACTAAAAACAGATCTAGTAAAGATTTTATAACGGAAATATTCAATTTTTGCCCCAACCAGTTGTATTTTGGTATATTTCATTAAAATATGCCATTATTAATCTATTTTTGTGAACCTTACATTGGTTCCTGTGTCAATCTGAGCGCTGCGGAACAAAATGTCTTAAGACAGCTCAGATAAACATAACCTGGTTGCGATCCAATCATCTGTTCCTCAGGTTAACTTCTTCCTGTTTTGCCACAGATCCTGCAGAACATGGTGGGGACAGCTTTAATCATCCTGGTAGCCATAGGCTTCAAAACCAAGCTAGCGGCCCTCACCCTCGTAGTGTGGCTCTTTGCCATCAACGTGTACTTCAACGCTTTCTGGACCATCCCCGCCTACAAGCCCATGCACGACTTCCTCAAGTACGACTTCTTCCAGACCACCTCGGTCATCGGTGGCCTGCTGCTGGTGGTGGCGCTCGGCCCCGGTGGTGTGTCCATGGACGAGAAGAAGAAAGAGTGGTAGGGAGAGCGAGAGAATCATGCAGCACATCGGACCGCCCCTGCCACCATGGGACACAGAGACCTTCCCTCTTTGGCTGTTCTGCCCACAGGATACACAGCTTGCTGTGGGGGGGAAAACACCTCAACTATCAGTGGACAATTTATTTCTTTGTTTCTGGTTTTTGTTTTTTTTTTGTCCCAACTGCTAAAATATTTTGGTTAATAAAAAAACTGACTTTTTATTTTCAACACTTCAGCCTTCAATGTGTGTAAGAATAAAAATGCCCGTTTAATTTAAAGTGCAGCAAAAAACAAAACAAAAAAAAACAGTAAAATAAATGTTTGTTCTATGTTTAGAGAAATAAAAACAATTCATTGTATTTTGCAGGTGTTATGTCATAAATGATCATAAATCAATATTGATATTTTTTTGAATAAATGGGCAGATTAGACATGGTCCAGCAATTTGGCTCCTTCATTGATGCCAATTTTTGTTTGTTTATTTAAGAACGGCGATTAGGATATGAAAGACTCTTTAAGTCTCTCATATCTGGCTTTTTTTTTTTCTTCCAATTTACAGAACTATAGTGGTTTTTACATTTGTGCACATTCAGTCTCTTCTGACTGCCAGCTGTTTGTGTGGAGAGGGTAAAGTGTGCATCATATGCTAAGTGGTGGATTTGTTGGAAAACCTCACAGTTATCAATCCCAAGACTTAGCGGTCACTTCACCGTTTGTCTTTGACAAAATGCCTAACTAGTGAACTGTGTATGTCTTTACAAAATGAATTATAACGGCGGAGAGGGCGACTCGACGTTTGTGAAACATCATATTCTAAATGTAGAGCAGAGGAAGACTGAGCTCAGTCACTAGCCACAGACTGTCTTTGCTCAGTGTTTCTTACCATGTGGAAATTTTTTTAAAAAGTATTCAGTGTATTGATTTTCAGAAGTTTATATTGTATTTTTTTTTCTTTTTGATTTTGGAAGCTCATGGTGAAAAAAAATAAATATTCAAAGTATAAAAACCAGATCAAAGTTGTTTTCTTGAAAACCAGAAGGTTTCAGCTTATCCACAAATGCACCACAAAAGGTGTTTGTCTTTAGAAAAAAAAACATTATTCTTAGTCAAATTCTCCGTTTTTGTAAGAGATGTAATGAAGATTTTGTCAAATACTGCCCTCTACTGGACCAACTTGGTAAACTAACGGGATAGATTCTGTTGATTAATTTGACATCAGATTAATTCAGGTTTAAAACTGATTGGTTTCAGATTGCAGTCAGGGGTTTGGCATATTTAGATTTAAAAAAAATCTAAATGGAATGAATGGTGGCAGAAAGTTGAAATTATGCTGGTCAGGAGTCAACATTTGTTTCACATAACACAGTTGACTGTTTTAATGGGAAAGACTATGTTGCTTTCATAACCTCACCAACTCTTAATCTTGTGGCCCCAAGTTGACAAAAATAATGTACTACTGAGAAAACTAATTTACATAGACCTAATGCCATCAAAAATCATCCAAGGAGTGAATTGCATCTTTATTACTACCAAAAATTACTTTAGTTAAAAATGTTACATGTTTAATTGTAAAGGCTTGTTGCATTGAGCTGCTACCTTTGCCCTAACTCTCTTTGGAAAGCATCATACAGAAACAGAAAAATGTTGACGGGTGAGATTTGTAACCTTTTATCCTATTGTATATTATCCTATTAACTTTGTGCCATGTGTGTCCAACTTTGGATCCAGAGTGATGAACTCAAATGTGCAGCAACAACTCTGCTGAAAATGAACCAAACTGTTGTCGTTTGGAAAAAAAAAAAAAAAACCTTTCAAGCCTTGCTGCAGATTTCAATTGCTTTCTGATGGAACTTCCCTCTGATCAGAACCATCGAGGTGTTTCTGAAGTTTCTAAGAGAGAAGAACACCATAGCATAATGTTGCAGAGTAACTAATCCTTCTGCACATGGTAGAGATTTAGGAACATGTCAGTCTTTTAAGAAAAAAAAAACTTCAACGAACATTTCTAATGTTATATCGACTTTAATTATAAAGCGCTTTAAAAACAGCCACACAAAAAAAGGCTGCATCCCATAGATTAAAAGAAACATACAGACAGTTGGGGTTCAAGTTCTTAGCCCACATGCAAAACAAGCACAGGAGAACAGTGATCAGTTGAATGACGTTTATTTACGCAACATGACAAGATAACTTGGGAGAATATGACTTAAAGTACTTCTCGGGAAACAAAAACTCACTGGTAAACACTCAGGCGACGAAGTGCAAGCAGTCCGCTCCTCTTAAGCTTCAGGATGATTCGAGTCTAATCAGACGAACAACGAGCACGTCCTTCCCTTAGTGCAGCCTCTGGCGCCCTCTGGCGGATGAAGGGAGGAACCGCAGACAAACAGGGAGAACAGAAACGATTTCTGTGGAGGGGACGGATCAAGGGCAGTCAGTTGATTCTGACGTCACGAGCACGTCCTGAGTGACTCACCGTGGAGTGGGCCAGTATCAGTCGTTGAACCAAACGTGCTGCTGCTCCGCGCCTTTCAGCGTTCGGACCACGTCGTCTCAGAGCATTCATTCATTCTTCATTCATTCTTCATTGACGTCTTCGGTAAGTACTCTTTAATTGCATGTCTGTATGTTATGCATTTAAAAGTTGTTGCCGTCATTTCAGTGTTATGGCAACCCGATATGGCTGTCCTTAATAATTGTGATGTGTTAAAAATATCCTGCAAAACACGTTCTGTGGCTCATCTTAAAACCGAACCAAGCAGGAAAACAAGCAGATGAAACTGGAAATTGTCCATAGATGATGTGTATTTCTTTCTGATGTATTATTTTTTCTCATTAGCAGGCAACCATTCTTGTCTTTTTTATGAAACCATCTGTTGTGATGTCATCCTTCGAAAACATCTCCCTTTTTAAGATGCAATATCACATATAAACTTAAAGTTTGTGTCATATTTTGTTGCTATATTTAATGTGGCTTCTTGTTAAGAAGTGGGGATTAAGGCAGAATTATTTTTCTGTGTGTTAGGTATTTTCCTCGAACCTACAATAAAATAACCACAGACAACGTATATGAATTAAATATGGTCAGGCTTCTGCAGAAGGAGAAATCTCCAAATCAACAGCTCCTCCAAGCTGTTCAATAGAGAGTTCTGATCTGCTTTCACGTGAGCTCCCTCTTTATTGTCAAAGAACATCAAACAACAGAGGTCGTAAAACATTTAGGAACATGTCAGTCTTTTAAGAAAAAAAAAACTTCAACGAAACAGACCAACAACTCTGTTCCAGGTATGATATCTAATTTACAATCTGAGCCCAGTTCAGCTCTGGGTCAAAATGTCACCTAAGACCGGGTAGATAAACACCAGAGAAGAAGGTCTGAGAACCATAAAGTTTTACTATCTCGCATGAAGACCATCGTAACCTCCAGGTCAGCCCATACACACATAAGGAAGAGAACACTTTAACAAAATGATAATATCAAAAAATCTCTAACATTCCCCCCTTTTTATCATTTTACTATGTATATAAACTGCTATGCAGAAGCCAAATATAGAAAATAAAAGAAAAGAAAATAATAAAAAACTAATCTAAACACAGAAAATACATAATGAATAAAAGTTATATAATGAAATATGTTAGGTATTTTCCTCGAACCTACAATAAAATAACCACAGACAACGTATATGAATTAAATATGGTCAGGCTTCTGCAGAAGGAGAAATCCCGATCAACAGCTCCTCCGAGCTGTTCAATAGAGAGTTCTGATCTGCTTTCACGTGAGCTCCCTCTTTATTGTCAAAGCATCAAACAACAGAGGTCGTAAAACATTTAACACAAACAGACCAACAACTCTGTTCCAGGTATGATATCTAATTTACAATCTGAGCCCAGTTTAGCTCTGGGTCAAAATGTCACCTAAGACCGGGTAGATAAACACCAGAGAAGAAGGTCTGAGAACCATAAAGTTTTACTATCTCGCATGAAGACAATCGTAACCTCCAGGTCAGCCCATACACACATAAGGAAGAGAACACTTTAACAAAATGATAATATCAAAAAATCTCTAACACTGTGATTGATTACAGAAAAATAATTCTGTCTATTAATTACTAACTAATTATTTTTTGATGTCTAAAATATCCAAAATGCCTCTGTTTCTTATTTTCATACTAAAGTAGATCCATTTTTCTGGGTTAGTAAGAAGTTGCTGATTTTGCCCAAAGGTCTGTTTAAGAAACAGCAACTTCTTTGTTATCCAAATAAACCTGTCACAGTTCAGACGTAGCTTTGAGTGTAATATGTGGCTCATAGTCTACTCTTGTTACAGGTTCACACTTTTTCATACAAATGTAATTTACTTCCTTCTGCTTTCTCTCCATTGTTGTTTTGCAGCGTTTGACGCTGATATCATGTCTAAAGGTACTGTGGTTCTGGCCTACAGCGGTGGACTTGACACATCGTGTATTCTAGTGTGGCTCCAGGAGCAGGGCTACGATGTCATCACATTTTTGGTGAGGTTGTACGACAGGTGTTGTCACAGCAAGTGGCTCCAACTGTCACCCAGCTGCTCTACATGTCAAGTACCTTTCAGGTTTTACAGTCTGCAGCTCATGCATTTTGTCAAGGCACGTAGAAGTTGACTATAGGCACGTCTCCAAAAAGACAACAGCACTGACTATCTCCGATCACTGGATTTGTCTGGTATGCCAAGTTAAGTCTGGATGGCTTTACTGTTTGCCCCCGGGGTAACCAAGAACTGCGATGCAGGCATATTTTCTTGCTGAACCTCACTCGTTTGTTCTGTGGTTTGTAAATGGGTGTGGGAGGTGATCAGCATGACACAAGGTGCAGCATTAAAATGAACATGTGTATAATGCAGTGGTGCAAAAAGACTCACAAAGATATCATCTGTTGGGTGTAACGAATCAAGTGCATGTTGAATAATATATAGATTGTTATTATTATTCATTTAGCAGTTACATTTTATTATTATCATTATTTTTACTGGCATATTGTGAATCGTGTTGTCTGAACTTGCCCTTGTTCTTCCTGTTTGGTTGGGTATGATTCATTTTTACAAAATGGGGATCACCGGCTGAATATACCATATTTTTTTATTTTAGGAGAAGTTATTCATATGTTCAACATCAACTACAAATTAGGTTATATCAATCATTTGTGATGTAGATGTGTTTTCTGTTTTTTTATTTGCACTTTCAGTCATGTTCAGAGTAACTCATGTAATGAAAATATACAAGTTTCAATTGTTTCCATTATGTTAGTTCTGTTTTTATTTTTATTTATTTGTTTTTTCTGGGAATCTTTTGCTCAGAGGAAGATGTGCCCTGAATTTATGTTTATTTCTAGCTTCGTCTGTCAAGAGGCTGTTTTATTTCCTCTGAAGATGTGCTTTGAATTACAAGAAGAATGGACGAACACAATTTACTTATGCATGGACACGAGGGCTTGTGTTTATGCATTTAGTGCACATATCATGACTTCTTTCAATGTGTTTATTGTGGCTCTTTATTATTAATTTTTAAAAAAAAGTTTAATTATTTGGGTTCAAAAGGCGTCACATTACATTCAGTTGTCTCATTCCAGGCTAATATTGGACAAGATGAAGATTTTGAAGCTGCGCGAAAGAAAGCAGAAAGCCTTGGCGCAAAGAAGGTGAGAGACACTGAAGTGAGACCCTTTGGTAGAATATGAGAGACATTTAGGTAGATTAAAACTAAGCATCTACAGCGTGAACTGTGTGAATGTGATCCCAATTGATATTTAGTTTTTACAGGAATGCAAATAATTGTAATCAGTGTACATTTTTTCCAAACTCACACCAAACTTTTCTTTTTCCTCAGAAGGCAATGTCTCATATATTTATTAACCTCTATTTAATTACAAAATAAAGCTATCTGATCCCTGATTTGTGTTCATGAGCAGGTTTTCATCGAGGACCTGCGCAGGGACTTTGTGGAGAACTTCATCTGGCCGTCGGTTCAGGCCAACGCTGTGTACGAGGACCGGTACCTTCTGGGCACGGCCATAGCGAGGCCCTGCATCGCCCGTCGTCAGGTCGAGATCGCACGCAAGGAGGGGGCTCAGTTTGTGTCCCATGGGGCCACCGGCAAGGTAACAAGCTTTTTTTTCCTCTTCAGAACAAGCTAGATAATTAGGTCACTGCACCATTTAGGCCAAACGTTTGCAAGGTTGAACGTTAACCATTTAGAAAGTTAATGTTTTCTGTGATTAAGTCATCCATTCACTGGATTGCAGAGATTTTTTGAGTACACAGTTCTTTACTCTGTATGAGTAAAATATGAAGCTGGATTTTTTAGCATCTCTAAATTGGTTATACAAACACAACTTTGCTAATTTTTTTTCATTAGTCTAAAAAGCCAACATCTTTAAATATCTTTGCGGATTAATTTGAGCTTGTTATGCATGTTTGCCATCAAACAGTCATCAATCTCCATTTCCAAGTTTGTCTCATTAAGGCAGATTTCCGCCTTCATCTCATTAGGACAAATTACTAATTATGTTTTAAACCGTTTGTGTGGTTCTGGTGCAGACATATTGTCTGGTGATATTTGTTCTGATTGGCGTTTGGAATCATAAATATGCAGATTTGGATAAATCAGCAGAAAATGAGGTGGAAGTTTGTCAATCTCTTGTCAGCGGACCTGAAATTTATGAAAGTCTGTAAATACCGTTATTACAATGATGTTGCTATTACTTGAGATATTTTGGTGAAAAACATTATTCATTTTGAAACAAATATTTCATCAGCCAATGTGACTCAAAGTTATTTATTCTAATCTGTTCAGTATGATTGTCCATAGTTAAAACTCTTGCAAAGTTTTTTGTTTTTTCATTTTCTTTTGTGAGACCTTTTTTGACCAGTAGGTGGAGCCAAACACTGATTAATAAAGTTAAATTTTAAAACTTGAAACACTACACAGCACTGCACTACTGGTACTGACTGGTGAATACTCATTTGTCTGATTAAGTTCTTTATTTCCAGCATAGCTAACTAGATGTAGACAAATGTTTGGGCAAAAATCAATCATGCTTCTCTGAGTAAGCATAGAAAATGTCACCAATTTACTTTATCATCCAGTTGATAATAAAATCAACTGGAAGCATTAGGCAACCATTTCTTGCCATGCTGTAAAATCATCTCAAACTAAAAAATATAGAAAAGGTTAAGAAATAATTTTAACCATATCACCACATAGACACCATTCTAAAATATACTGTATGTATCTTAAGAATGTTTTGAAATTCATACTTGGGTCTGAAGTTGATCTGGACATTTATTAATTTTTATTTTGTTCCCCCATATGTCATTGAAAATGATAAATGCAAGAGAACATGCTGATCTCTCAAAGTGAGGAAATGGCTACAATAAATTGATGCTTGCCTATTTTCTCAGTCAGAGCAATAATCAAACTTTTTACATAAGTTCAGGTTCATCCTGACACAATTTACTGTGAGCCGGTTGATAAGGGAGGAGAGCAAATGTGCAGCAAAACGAGGCTTATTGGGGTCACCACGACAACAATTTCTCAACATGCTTAAAAGGTGCTTTGGAGGCATGTATGAAAACCCTTTTTTTTTTTTTTGCCCGACCATCACAAATGTAAATTTGTAAAGCTTGCTAACCTGTTTTAGAATTGCTTGATAAATCAAAATTGTACCAGTTACTGTCATCATAAATTATTTCAAGTTCTTTTACATCTTTCTGCGTAGTTTATGTTCATCAATATCAGTGGTTGTACAGAACAGAATCAAAGAAGTGAAAAAAATGTGAGAGATTGGGTGGATTTTGTGTTTGTCTTCAACTGTTTTTTTTGTCTAATTTTATTGATCAAATATGAAGCAGATTTTTTTTAAGTATTTATCAAAATACTATGGAGGACAGTTATACCAAACTGCTGACCAACAGAGGTAACCTAGTTTTCTCCGTTTTAGGGAAATGACCAGATACGCTTTGAGCTTACGTGCTACGCCCTGTACCCAGAGGTCAAGGTTAGTTTGGTGCTTTTATTTTTTACATAGGACAAAAATGGCCTAACATGTAGAATAATACCACAACTGTGTGTTTGTGTGTGTTTATCAGATCATTGCACCATGGAGGATCCCTGAATTTTACAATCGCTTCAGGGGGAGAAAGGACCTGATGGAGTATGCAGAGGTAACTGTAGCTGTCTTTCTTATTGCCAGAGTATAAATAAGGATTTCATATGTATTACTGATGAGTCTGTCAACTAAAAGATGTTTAATTTGGTATTTTGAGATGAAATGCTCCTGTTTACAGAAGGTAAAAGGTTTAGTTTTATAGTTTCAATCGCAGTGATTTTTACCTTGTTACCAGGCCACTAATATACCTTTTAATGTCATAAATGTGTTGTTTTATGAAATTAGAAACATTTAGAAGATCAGTTCACATTGTATTTCTTTTCTGTTGCTCTCATAGATTTATAACTTCTACATATTCAGCAATAGCTCTTTATATTTTGTTAAATTGTTTTTCCACTTTCTGTCTCTTTTAACTGTAGCAGTTTTTTTTTACCCACTAATGATGCACTATTGTTTTTCCATCTGTATTCTAATTTCATTCATTCATTTAGCATTTTTAGCTCTAGATTTATACCTTATTTTAATTTTCACCACCAAAAAACTGCTTTGCCCATTTATCCAGTTGGTTTATTGTGAGCCTGGGCAGTTTCCTCCACTAGGGGGCGATCAAGATGTTTTTAGTAAACACTATTTCCTCCTTGCATGTGGCCCTTTAGTGAAATAATACAACCTTGAAAACATGTTTTTCATTCTCTCTCTCTCTCTCTTTTTTTTTTTACTAATATACTAAAACATATTGTCAGTGTTTTGCTGTTTGTAGCTCTTTAGGACCAAAGGGTTCAGAGGAAATGCATACATGTTGGTTCCACAGCATGCAGGGAAATATGCTGCTTGAATTAGTTTTTCCAGAACCTCTTCACACGTATGTGTATGTCATCTTTCTCAAGTTGTTTTCTGCTATGTAACATATCAGCGATTTTGTTAAATCACAGAAACATGGCATCCCAGTGCCGGTCACTCCTCGGGCCCCCTGGAGCATGGATGCCAATCTCATGCATATCAGGTGAGGATGACTAATGTAAAGTACACTGTCATATGTTTTTTTCAGTGGAAATAAAACATAACAAATTCTTAAATTGTATTTCTTTACAGCTATGAATCAGGCATCTTGGAGAATCCCAAGGTAAGTTGTTGTTGATGTCAATCAGAAAGACTTTAACTGTTTTCTCATCACTGTATTGCAAGTTGATTACAGGAAAGTAGAATAATTTCTAAAACATTTATGATAATTCTGGGATATCAATATATTCACAAGACCTTCCTGGGTTGATTTAGCATGTATTTGCTGACAGCGCATGAAGTATATTTATGAGGTTAGAGTTTTATATCACAATTCAAGCATCTTCTGAAACCAAAACTGATCATCGTTTGTGCTGATAAATCAAACGCACCTCTAAAACCAAGACCCTTTTTTATTTTATACATCCAGTCATGGTTTTCTGCATATCTGATACTGTTAAGTAACAGGTTATGGATGGAAATCCAGACATCTCTCTTGTCAAAGACACTCTCCAGTTTATGTTTAGGGGCTCTCAAGACATTCCCAGGACAATAGAGATAACGTTTCCTTCCATTGGGTCTAGGTCTTGCCCTGGGTCTCCTTCCAGGGGAATATAACTGGAAACCTTAAGGACTTCCAGAAAGCATCAAATTGAGATGCTCGAACCTTCTCAACTGACTTCTTTCAATATGAAGAAGCAATAAATCTACTTTAATGCCCCCAATCATTTATCCATCTCTTGTTTACTACTAAACAAGACATCAACTTGCTTAAGCTACTTAACTTGAATAAGATACTGATCTGCAACCCAGAGGGAGCACTCCACCTTTATCCAGTTGAAAACCAGGACCTCAAACATTGAAGCGTTGACTCTCATCCTTGTGGCTTTACACTCGGCTGTGCTCCTCTCTAGTGCTAAAGGTTATGGTTTTTAGATGCCAATAAAATAACATCTGCAAAAAGCAAAGATGAGGTTCAAAAACCTGACATTCTCTTCGCCATGACTACACCTTGCGAGTCCAACATGCACTGAGAACAAGCTTGACTTTTGGTTTCTCTAAGATTGAGTTTAAAAGCATTCCCAGCACCTTGAGCACCTGCAGCACCCCCAACAAAAGCCCCTTTCAGACATGGTCCAAACCCTTCTCCATATTCACGCGGTAGACTGGTGAGCTTTTAGTCCATTTTCTAAAGTACAAGATATTAAATGTTTTTTCGGAGTTGAATACACCAAACATTGTTGTACAGAACAGTAAAACTTCTCCACCTTCTGATGACCCAAGCTCGGCTGACTCGATCACAAAACCATGAGAGAGACATGAGTCTGATCTCTGCCAGAGGTGAGAGGTCAGTCCAATGTGCACTGTTTTCCCCCTGACTGACCTCCGAAGCTCCCATCCTATGGTTGATATGTCTGCGTATGTGTCTCTCCCCACCCCGGGTTCTCGCCGGGCCCTGGGAAGAACCTGGGACACACAGACACTGACTTGTCGTCAGCAACGCTTCGACTAATTTCCGATTTCATGGGAGCCTGGGAGGGGGAAGGGTTAGGGCGTTGCGCCCAGCTGGGGCCTCCTGAGTTCCAGCCCCAACTCCTCGGGACCTCATTGTCTGGATGGCCGCGGTGCCGCAGGCTGCGACGTGGGAGGGGAGCCACTTCATCTTGACACCGTGACACCAAAATGTCACCAGTAACAGTTAAGTACAAAGACAGTTTGCCAGACAGATGAGTCCCCAATGCACAGGGTGTTGTAGCGAGGAGAGGGGATTCAGGGGCAGGGCCACTGTAACTCACAGACCTCTATCTCACTCGCTGCCCCTTTCCCACCCCTTCACTTCTTCTTTAGTGCCCTGTCCTTTAGCCGTCCTGTGGAGAAATGTTTTGAAATGAATGAGGCGGGCCGGCTCAATAGCATAGCGATGTATGATGACAGTGCTCTGTAACTGATTTTATTCAAGGGCTTTGTTTTGGACCATTTACTCCAATGCTGAATCGATTAATAGCATTAAATACAATGAAATATTTATGGTGCAGAGGTCTGAAGTGGTAAAAGGATTTGAATACATTACCGGAGTTTTGAAACATGTTTCATATTTCTGCAAATTAATGTAGCCACAACCTCTAGGCCCTCTATTTATATTCTACATCTATGTTTATGTTTATGTTTATTAAGTGAAGCGGTTTCTAAATTACAAGTATAGCTGAAACCAGATGTAAAAACACACAACGCCTTTTCTTATTATCTGATATTAAACTGTCTAAACTGTCCCCTTTTTTGGTTCAGGCGCAATTGCAACATTATTAGGTAGCTAAATAATGAGCGACGTGTTTCTTCCTTTTCTTTTACAATAATTTTATCAAGCTCACACGTCTACATACCCCAGGATCACCATGACTTTAAACAGATGATGCTGTTACAGCTTTGCAAGCTTCTGTTAGGCTAAATAATTCACAATATTGACATTAATTGGGGCGTATACCATTTTAAAGCAACACTTCTGACAGTAGCTGAAATGCCACTCAAGTTGGAAGAAGCCATAACTATTAAAGCTTAGCAAAAAGCATATTACAGTTGGCAAATGTACTCAAAACAAAGAGCTTAATTTTTATAGCCATATCCTGTGGTCTGATGAAACTCAAATTGAAGTGTTTGTCCATAATGACTTTTAAAATTTAGAGACAAAAGAGAAAGCCTGCAAGCCTGAGAATAGCGTTATGATTATAAGTGATATAGTTGGGGTGACAGCTTTGAGTTTTGGACATGTTTTACTGCAGGATGGATAGGTACACCTCACAAACATATGAGGATGGGATGGGAAAATAACATGCAATTACTTAAGCAACATCTTAAGACACTGACTCTTATAATGGTCAATAATCCTAAGTATATCACCAGATTAGATACAAAGTAGCTTGAGGTTTAAAAAGTCAGTCTTTGATCAATTTATTATCTTGTTTCAACTGTAAATAAAAGTCCAAACTCTTACACAAATGAAGCAGATTATCAAAATATAATGTCTAAAAATCACAACAAATACCAACCATTGAATATCAGCACAAACACTTAAGCTAGTTGTCGAGCACGGTGGTGGAGGGGTGATGATTTGAACTGGGTTTGCTGTCATTAAATAGACCATACATTTATCTGTAAACCAAAGTATTCTTGAGACACAGTTTGTTTCAACACTGAAACTTGTTTTTACCTGAAATATAAGATTTATTTCAATTTGCCCAAAATTAACAAATGAAACAGCAACACATTTGAATTCCTAAACTAACATGTCAGATTGTGATCAATCTCGGAAGTCATCTAAGAGAGGTCGGCTTGTTCCCAGTATCTCCACTGTGCATCAGCCTCTGTCCCTCCTTCAATTACAACCCCAAAGGCTAAGGCCAGACCCACACCATTCAAATGTCCCCCTTCTGCCCCCACCTGTAACACAATGGTCCCTCTTTGCTCAGTGCTGTCACATTAGGAAATGTCCAAATGGTCGCTCATATGTTTTCCTGCAGATAGGAGCCTGAAGAGTTCAGGTTACTCTGTTATTAACAACGTATCCTTCCTGAAAACCCCAAACCTTGTTCTTTTCTGACACAGTGACCTTAAGACCTTTATTTACTCGTTTGCATCTGGCAGCATTAACCTCTGTGAAGCAATGCAGCTTTGACAGGTTGTTATTGTGTTATTTCATACATTTGCTGTGCACCTGATAACTGCATTAGAGGAATATTTCTTATTGGCTTAGAAGATGTAACAATCGGATGCAAAAGCGTTCATCATCTTATATATTATAACATTTTGTCATGTTGCAATTGCAAACTTTAGTGGATTTTACTGAAGTTTTAATGTGACGGATTAACAAAGTAGTATGTATGTTGTTTATGAAGTGGAACGAAATACTACATTGCTGTCCGGATGATTTAGATGTTTTTAAGTAGCGTTTCTTTCTTGTAATGTTACAGTTTACAAATGAAAATTGGCAAAGATTCAAGTTTATAGATGTTTGAAGCTGGTAGAAACGTACCTCAAAAGAGTTGGATCTATAATTGCAGCAACATGTTTTGATGATTGAATAGAAATTTACTTAAAGCTTTTCTGGATTTTTTTATTTGTTAAAAACAAAAAGTTTGAAAAATGTGTTACTTTCCTTCCTTTTTAATTGCACTGGTATGTTGATCTATTACCTTAACCATTACAATAAGAATATTTTTTGGAGTACCAGCATTAGATGAGAGTATATTGTGGCTGAATACAAATGCAGGATGCAGTTTTTACGTTTTTACCTGAGAATAATTTTGAAAATTACTTGTCTGGTTCCTTATGCTTTAAAGTTAGGGTTCTTTTTGTTGGCCTATAATGTAAAATCCTCTCAAGAGTACATTGACAATCTGGATGAAATAAAACGTCTTCTAAGGTAATCTAAATTACAGATTTAAGAAGCTGTTAAGTTATTTAAAGGTATTCTAAAAGCAATATATTCGACTCTTATTCAGAATTTTTCAAATATTTACCCCATACCAAAGTAAAAACCAAGATTTTTTGAGTTTCCAATCATTTCTTATGCAATAGCCTAAATTTACTATGATGCCAAATGCCTGGCATTCACTCATCATTCCCCTTCACACACAGAGCCCGTCCGCAGGATGCCTGACACTCATCCTGAGTCATTAAAACGTAACCTCAGTCTTAATTACCACCTCTGTCACCGGTGAGCTTTCCCGATCTCACTGGGTTCTTTGATCCTGGAGGTGATGAGCCGCTGCTCGTGTTGACTCAGAGCCAAGAGAGCGAAACGCAGAGCCTCGTCTCACTGAGAGGAAAAGAAAACTTGTTTGCTGCTGGTCGTGCGGCCTTCTGGTAAGATGGATGGTCAGCGCAGAGCCTGTGGGGGTAGGAAATGAGCTTGTAGGTGTGTGTGGGTGTGTGTGTGTGTGTCTACATGTGAATGTGTGCTTTGAAGCAAAGAGGTCAGACCTTGCCGTGTGCCCTTGCTGCCCTCAGGCCTGATGGGCTTGACCTGTGAAGAGATCTCTGCGTCCAACTCGGCTTCCACTGCTGTCTTCATTAAAGCTAACGGACACATCGTACATGTTAGAGAATGGAATCCCGCCTCCTGCAGATTACATGCATATTGTTTTATTCTCGGTTCAGATTGCTGTGTTTGCATTTTGATAAGACGTACCGACTTGAGACACAGTGATTTAAGCATCACTTCCAATCCGGTGCACCGAAGATGCCCCTCTTCCCCGCTTTCCACTCCTACTACCTCTGCCTCCTTAGGGGCCCTTTTGGCTTTGATTGAAACCCAATGAGGCAACTAATAAGTGGAAAAATAGAAATTTACTTGCTTTAAGTTCATGCGTCAGCTTTCTTTCTTTTTTTTTTCTTTTTTTTTTTTCTCTTGCTGTATGGGGCCACGTTTAGCACAACAATATCGCTGAGGCAAAGGCAGCCAAAGGAGCTGCTCAGCGCTACATGATGGTGCGCTTCACGCCCCATTTCCCACCAATACCCCTGTCCCCCCGCCTTCTCCATCTTTACCTTTGCCTCTCTTTCAGGGCCACGGCTTTAGGACAAGTCCACCTGCAGGGGGTTTGAATTGAAATGCATTGATCTCCTGCTCACTGGAAACAACACTATTGGCTTACGTTCTTTCCTTTGCTTTGCTTTCAGGAAGTTTAAACTCTTGCTGTCGGAGCACGGATGAGTTTTCACACATTGTCGTGTGTGTCCATCAAAAAAGAATCTTAGCCGGGGTTGTTTGTGGGCTTTCTTAGGCTTCGTTTGATTTATTTACACCAGAAATTTGACAGAAATGCATTAAAATGTTGAATTAAAAAAAAACTGATTTAAGCTGAAAAAATGAGCTTTTCTGCTCTTTATATTATTTATTTATTTATTTTTGCTCAAGCATATTATTTCAACCAATAGGTCTTTGTATCTGAAGGTTGAAAAAGCTTCCCAAAAGTATTTATTCCACCCTCCCTTAAAGAGGAAGCATCAAAAGGCTTTTTAGAGTAGTAATTTTGTCCCTCTCCTGCAAACTCTCATTTGGCATCTTTCAGGGCACTGAAGCAGAAAATAAAGGAGAGGGAGACGCTCGCCTTCTCTCTCAATTTTTGTGTTTAGTTAAAAGGAAGGAAAGTGATTGCGCTGCTCGTTTTCCCCTCGCTGACAGGCGCCGAGCGGATGCCGATTAGTTATTGTATGATCATTTCGAGTCTGGTAAAGCTTTCCATTTAAATGCACCCAGCAGTTATTTTGCATAGTTCCCCCCCGCCCCCTGCAATTTGCCTCAGCTCAGGAGACATTGACCATCGTCTTGTCCTAATGCGGTGTAATTGTCGCAGGAGCACATCAGCCGGGTGGAATCGTCACACCACTGTGCTCCTTTAGGTCCAAACCGTGACTCACTGAAATCACTTAGCAGCCAACTGGAAAAAAAAACAAAAAAAAAAAACGACAAATGTCTGTCAACCACATTCGCCTTCGGTGGGATTTGGTTTTTAGATGTTTGCTGTCGTGTGATGCCCATTTAGGAAGAATCTCCTGAAAATAAATCAGAGGAGAAATGTCACTCAGAAAATCAGAACTGGAAAACTGGAAGAAGCGTCGACAGCTATCCCACTCTTCGTTTCACTTTTCCTTTCCTTCCCCCTGCAGAGAAGGGCTTCCCGGAGAAAATGAAACCAAACAGAGGATAAAAATTGCACTTTCGTCTTCCCTCTGCTCTTGATGTTGTTTTCAGGATGGAAACCTTTTTCACGCATTGTTCTCTCTGTTACTTTACTTCCTGTCTGTTTTCTCCTCCTACTGCTGTCCTGACAAGAATCTCTGTGTTATTAATCAGAGGAAATGAAGATCATAAAAGTTGTGGTTCTGTTTGTTCTTCAGAGCCATGCTCCAGCTGACCTCTACCTGATGACCAAAAACCCACAGGATTCTCCAAATGTCCCAGATGTTCTGGAGATAGAGTTTAAAAATGGTTTGTATGGTTATCAGTGCCCCACCTGCTGACTTCCCAGAAAATCAGCTTTTTGTTGCTTTTTTTGACATCTCAACTTTAAAAACATACAAACACCCGTGTAGAGTTGGAAACATCAAGCATCAGAAATGATGACCATTTCTAAATATAGACATTATTTATTTTCATCAATAAAATTGCTCTTATGTTTCATAAAGAAACATAAGAGCCATAAATTATTTAGCATATATTTGAAATTCTAAAACCATGCAAAAAAAAAGAAAAATGAGGATGAAACATGTATTACCTCTCATTTGTGATTAAATATAAATAGGGTGTAATTATTAATCTAAATTGAAATAAAACAATATTTTAAAAAATGCAGATGAAATGGTATCAAGCAAAAAAAGTTTTACTTACTTAAAAAAAGTCTCATTCCAAGGATTGAAATTTTATTTTAATTCTAATACAAGAACCTTAGAAGAGCTGAGAGGTAGAAGCAAATCAGATAGATCCGATTAGTGTTGAATCTGTCGGATAAATAAACAGAACCTTTGTGACAACATGAAGCAGGACAGAATATGTCAGATATCAACAGATCAGGTCCTGTCTGCAGAAGATCAAGAACAGAGAAACAAAGCGAGAAGGAAACACTTCATCTATGATGTTAAAATGGAGATGGCCATAACTGTCACTTTAAAGTTGACCCCCTGCATTTTATTTCCACTTGGGGCCACCCAGACTTATCCTTAACCCCTTACACCATCACTTGGCCTCAAACAACTCCCTCTGGCCCCGGGGCCCCTCCTGCAAGCCGGAAGCATTAACTCCAGTTTATACTCCGAGTCCAGAAGGCCGAGAGAAACGATCATTAGAGACGCCGGCCGCAGGCCTCCGGCTTGAACACAAGAAAGTTTCACATGTTTGTGCAGAGTGAAAATGGCAAGACATCCAGGCCTGAGGGCGAGTGACACAGATGTTCCTTCATCCTCGGTCACCAGGGGTGGCTGAAGTGCCAGAACGTCAATCGTCTCTTCAGATCCTGTGAAGCTTGATGGACAGCTTTACGAGCCGTAATCTAAATTTTATGGAAGTTCAAAAGTTTGCCAGAGAGTTATGGTGGGAAAATCACAATGTGCTAAGGAAACGTCAGGCTGCTGTGTCGATGTGGACCAGTGCAAGAGTCTCCCTTTACCAGCTTCCCGCAGAAAAAAGTTAACAACGGGCCGGTCTGTGACCGTTCAGCTGGAGGTGAGGTGTGCTTTTGTAAAACGGAGATGCACCAGCAAAGCCTTGACTGGTTTCGCGGGTTCCTCGCGACCCTGCTCTCCATTTTCACACATATTCTCCGGCCCTTTTATTGAGCGCGCTATGACAAAAGCTGTTTTAGTTGTCCACACAAAGGCCTGAGCCCACTCCTCCCTCTGAGCACAAGATCAGCAAAAGAATGTTTCGTTTCATTCCCCCCTCCCACCTTTTCATCGCTGCCTTTCTCACCAAAGTTTTCTCACTGATTAAAAAAGAATATATAACAACAGGAACCTTTTGCTCCCCCCGTCAAACGCTCTATTCCCCATTACTCTCCCCCTTTTTTTTAAGGAGAAAAATTAAATTCATGCCTCCCTCCTGTCATGCCGAAGTAGTGTGGACGAAAAAGAGACAGAGAGGAAAAATGTAAAGCAGTAATTTTTCCTACAACTGTGTCTTCGCTCCCATTGTCTGCACTGTTAAGGGTGCAAAAACTGAAAATAAAGCGGCTAAAGGGAACGATGGACGGGCCAACCTGAGCCGAGCGAGGAAAATGAGAGCAGAGGGATGAAAGGCCGGCTCCCAAACTCCCACGTTCAGCTAATTTATTGGAGATGTTTAACAGATTGTCGGATATCTGAACGAGCAAAGCACAAGATTTGGATAAAACATGGAGAAAGCATCAGTTCCTCACCTGTAGGCCTAAAAGTGACTGTCCTTCCATCCTTTATTCTGCCAGCAAAGTCTAAATCTTTGATTCCAAGAAAGTTTGGTTGGAAATAAAAAAAAAAAAACAAAGCAAAACATTAATCTAGGCATGGAGAGTAGATTTCTGCTTTGTTTTGACTTTAAACTCTTTTCACACGTCTGTTTGTTTCCCCACCTCCACCTTTGGCCCCTGCTGCTCATTGAGGACCATGAATAAGTAGGCCAGTGACAGTGATTGATGTGCACTTGGTTTAAGTGGCTTTGTAGAGGAAGTGTGTGTGGAGTAAACTTCAGTGTTTTGTTTTTGTTGGTATGGAAGAATTTGCTCCATGTGTGAGATGCTGCTTAAAGGAAGAAGGATGATGGATCTGCAGACGGTTGTGTCTTCTGCACATGCTGTGGAAAAAAGAGACAAAATCTCAGCGCTAAACAGAGGATGGGTAACAAAGCTGTGTAATTGAATTAGGTAGAGGCTGGCCCACAATTTCACAGCTTTCAAATGAGGAGAGCTTTTGAATTTATTAGCCTTTCTCACCGTTGCATATGTAAAAACTCTGAGTTTTGGATGGTGTTCACTGATCTCTCTAAGACAAAAAAAAACATCTTCTAGAGAATCTATCCACTGTTTGTCATTTTGGTTTGATTAAATAAATATATTAGCTTTAATTTCATTCCCTAATTTTTTTATGTGCTCAATGTATAAAAGCATCCCTCTCTTTTTGTTTCTACCAATTATTCTTAACCAACTCATATTTTATGTTTGAGAAAGCATGTAAGTTTTAAAGAATGTGCATTTTATGGAGAAATGTTTGATTCTGTAACTTTTTGATAAGGATATAAATAAAATTCAAACTTAAATATACTATAATTTTCGCCTAAAATGATCCACTTAATGCTGGTGAAACTTGTTTCTCTAGGAGTTCCTGTCAAGGTGATGGACGTGAAGGAAGGGAAATCCAAAGAAATGCCGCTGGATATTTTCTCATTCCTCAATGAAATAGGGTAAGTGCTTTTGTGTATTAAAAGTTTTTTTTTTAAAATCTGGATTTCTTCACTTTTTTTTTTTTTTACTGGCCTTAATTCTATGGCTACATAACTTGTGGCGCATCACTGAACAAAACTCTAATTTTAAATCATGAAATATAAATCTGTAATTTTAAACCACTTTGATGTAGTCCTATAAAATATCCAAGATTATGCATTTTTATTTATGCTCATTATTGTTTACAGCACAGTTTACTAGGAATTGATTTCAAGAAAATTTAGGTACAGAAAAATAGCTGTTATAACTTTAATATTTAAAGAGAATTTTTAAGCACTGTGCAGGTCATGAACATTAAGTTTCAGATATTGCATTTAAGAAACTTAAAATGTAGAAACACTTAAAATGTGCTTTACCTTCAACATATGCATCCATTTGAACTTGGTTCAGAGACTAACATACTAGAAATGAAGGTGGTTCATATAACAGATTTTTTTTTTACCAACAAGTAACAAGATGATATCAGTTTAATTCCTCCAATAGGAATAAAACTGCATTAGGTTCACCAGATTGGTTCACCAGATTGAATCTAGAAGGTGCGTATAACTGTGTCCTACTTTTTTCTCTCAGGGGAAAACATGGAGTCGGGCGCATTGACATCGTAGAGAATCGTTTCATCGGCATGAAGTCTCGAGGTAAAACTTCAAAATCTGGATTTGTTTAATCTTGGTTTTCATTCCATTCTTACTGTATCAGATAATTTTACATATTCTGGCGCAGTGATGGCAAAAGAAAGTATATCCTATGTCATTTTTTTGGAGATTAACATATAAACAATTTATTCTTCAACAGGTTTTGTAAGCAAAAATAATCTAAGGTCTAACTTCAAGTTCCTAAAAACACACAAAAGATTCAGCTATGCTATTCCTTATCAAACAAAAATGAAGCCAATCTGGGAATGTTTGTAAAAAGAGTAAGATGACCCCAAAAACCTAGATGAATGAGATAAGATGAATGCAACAGGTTGTACTTTTGTTAAAAGGCAGTTTCTCTGATCTTTGCTATGAAAACAATCAGATCAGTTCTGCATGACTCAAGCTGACATAAATACTTTTAAAAAAGTAATATTTTTTTATTTATTTAACAGGAAGAGATTAATAGATTTTTATATGATTTCATTTTTGCATTTGTGGTTTTCCACACCTGCTGTGGACCTCTCAGTCTTCAGATGTAAATAATATAGGGAGCTCTTTCTTTTCTAAAGAAAAGAGAGCTTAACAGAGGAGCCAGGACTACAGTGATTGTGCAAATTTTGTATCCCCCAAGCTTGTGAAATAAAATAAAAGCTAAAACTATGTGCTCTCCTGTTTTCAAAAAGTATAAATTATTAACAGTAACAGTGGAGTGGACTAATAAGTTTAGCACTGGTGATTTTCATATCTGTTTTTTCTTTTCCATGTGGCTTTTTAACCGTCTTTACCTTAGGTGCCGGTAAGTGTTCAGGATGCCAAGTACTTTTTTTGTCAGTATTTCTCTTCTACATCTAGAGCTTTCATGCACTTTGCTGTTATTTTACATGAGTGCTTTAAACGTCTCGGTCTGCTGCTTCCATAAAATCGGGCTGAATGACAAACTCCTCAGGAGACATCTTTTCCTCTCGTTCACCAGGAATTAAGATGTCGTAGTGATTTCCAGTCATCTGTGCGCTAGGAAAAATGCATACAGTACACTGAGAAGAGGATGTTGTTCTCCTCTGGATTGCCTATTTGCCCACAATGTTTATCTGCAGTTTTAACCATCAAGCTCCTTTGTTAGGTTTCTACATGTGTTACCGCAGCCGATATACAAGGCCAGTGTGCAGTCCTGACTTTGCAAAGATGCGCCCACCAGGACACACACGGACTCCTTTCCCCCCTCCTCGCAATGCGCCGTGATTGGCAAATTGACTGGCCGGCAGAGTGTGACCGCGGCACAACATGGCAGGTAGAAATTGGAAAATGGGAGACCCACTTTTCTCCCCGTCGGCTGAACAAAAGATCAAAGCTGTTTCCTCTTTGCGAGCAATAGGAAGAGGTGGAGCACAAGGTGCCCAAGTGGTTGAATAGCTACCATTGAGCGCATAGGTTGGCCTCTTCTGGAGTGGCAGTTGTGTGAGCACAATAGATGATGGGAGGGATTGAACAGGGGACATGTCATACTTATTTGTGTTTGGGTCATATTTATTTGTGCAGGGTGAGAGAGGCGGATGGGACTCAAATGGTTTGTCTAGAATCTCGTCACAGTGCTACAAAACATTCGACAACCTGTGTGCCCAACTGGCTGTCACGGTGTTGTCAAACCTCTGACTCGGGCTCCGATGAGGGCCTCAGAAGCAGACAGACGACTTCTTCATCTCCTGGCGTGTCAAACTGCTGCAGAACTCCACAAAGACTGCAGCTGAGCACATCAAGACAGAAAACTTTTCTCACTTGAAATATTTTATCATTTTATTTACAGTTTTGTTTATCAAAGTATTAAGAAACCTTGAAATTTTCCTCCATTTGTCATATTGCAACCATATTGATTTGATTGCAAAAGACTTTATTTAGGGTTTGCAGTAGAGGAGGCTGAAAACAAATACATGTTATTACTTTAAAATATCCTTAAAAAATGGAAACCAAGGACCATTTTCCTCACACTTTACAGGAATGCACTACTATGTTGGTCTCTCATATGTTGCCTGAATAAAACAAACTGATGATTGTGGCTGCAACTTGACAAATGTGGAAAAACTTTAAGAGATACTTTTTTTTTTTGCGGTGACCTGTGTGTGCTGCCTGTTTAAGCTTGTGTTTTGCTCAGATGGGATCAGCTGAGGAAGAATTCAATCCTGTCCTGAAGCCATGCATAGTGGTTAGCATACCTGCAGCCCTTTTATAAAAAACTAAAATCTCTGAAACCACAGAGGGTCGTGTCTCTTTAAGCCCGACTAAACCACCACTGTAGGAGCTTACCTGGACAGTGTCCAATTATGGGCTGCAATCAGTTAAGCTAGCTCTTTTTGGCAGCACTTAATCTGAGTTGAGGGCAGTTTTAACTTATCTGATTGGGGACAACGGAAATGTCCCGGTGTACTCTCTGCGGCCTGGTCACCAAAGCATTCCAGCTCAAATGGGGATCTTTTGAAGCTTTAAACAATTAGTAGATTTGCTAAGCTGGTTTTGTTTATGTGTTGCACCCGTCAGCTCTCTAATCTGATAAGAAACTTTTGTGGGCATTGGAACAAAATGCAACTTGATTGTTTCAAGATACCCAACTGTGTGTCGCAGAATATGTAAGGAGCCATGCATTTAATGAGTGAATGGTGCTCACTTTCTCCAGATTTTATCCTTCATAGAAGTAGAGGTCATAGATGTCTCTTTTGTCTCCATTGTCAAGACTGCCTTTCTATATTCCCTCTGCCCTCTTTTTGTTTTAGCTGACATTTAAATGACAGCTTCATTTCTCCTGTCGTGTACCTCATCTTTTCTCCTGTCACCCCTCCCTCCCTGTCCAGAGGGGGTAAATTGCAGGGTACATGGGGCCCTGGTCCAGACTCCAGGTTGGCAGGGGCCTCCCAACTTGTCATTTACCCTGGACAAGCTTGTCCATGATTTGTGAGCACTATGAGGGCCTGTCAGTCACGTCGCTAATGACTAATAGAGCTGCTTGATGCCCTTTGCTTGGATGAACGAGGCCCATAAATGGCCGTTGAAGAATGAAATAATGATGGCAAAGCTTCAATAAGAGTGTTAGGACAGTAGAGCCGACATGAATCTCCTTACAGGCAGAATAATTTCCTAAGTTCCTTTTTTTTTCTCACATTAAATCACATTGTAATCAGAAACTTAAGGACATTTTAAGTTGCATAATCGTGAACTAGAAAGTTAATAATATTCTTTAAAAATACATTTAAAAAAAGTAGTAGATGCATTTGCATTCAGTCCCCCTTATTGTGATGTCTCTAAATAAAGTCAAGTGCAACAGATTGCCTTGAGAAATTGCCTAATTGAATTGATTCTTCCTTCATATTCTGGAAGACAACTCCATAGATAAAAGCTCCCTGATTTGGCCTGAATGCAGCACCGTCTTGCTGCAAGACAGCAATGCTAACAATTGCCAAACTGTGTAATTTTGTTAAGGATTGTTAGTGAGAAAACAGCAGCATGAAGACTAATAAACAAACCAGACAGATCAGGCATGATGAAGTTGTGATGAAGTTTAAGTTAGATGAATCTAAAAAACAGTATCTTATGTCTTCCTATGGAGCATTCTGCAATCTATGAGAAGTTTTCTTTAAAATTTGCAACAGCACTTACATTTAGGGACATAGTAAATGCCTCAATGCAAAATATGTGTTGCAAAAAATGCTTCACATCACCAAAAACATATGTCCATGGTAAAATATAGTGGTGACAGCATCATGCTGAGAGAATACAGTATGGTGGATGAAAAGATTTATTCTTATAAATGCAGGCAATGCTGCTGAATTAAGTAGAGCTTAAAAACTGGAGACTGGAGCCCCAGAGCTGCAAAGGGGAGTTTTAGATTAAAACATATTAATAGGGCAGAATGCCTTTTTTTTTTTTTTTTACAAATACAGATCTATTTGAGAATCTTTATCAAAACTGATGAAGAATTTGCAGAAAATTTCTACCAAGTAAAATTCCAATAATTTCCACTGGCATTTCTTTCAAAAAGTAGATGAATATAAAAACTTCTGCCAGTTAATGTAATTCATGTATTTTTTTTTCTCTCTTTTTGTCAGGGATATATGAAACTCCTGGAGGCACAATCTTGCTGGAAGCCCATCTGGACATCGAGACATTTACCATGGACAAGGAGGTCCGACGGATCAAACAGGGACTTGGCGTCAAGTTCTCAGAACTTGTCTACAATGGTAAGCGTCCGTCAAGTGTTTCAATAGCTTATTCTTCAGTGCACTAATTCTCATTTTTAGCATACAGATGTGAGGGCCAAACTTGCCATGTACAAATGCAAACACACCCACAGCACGGTCAGTAAGTTTGCACATGTTTGTGAGCTTTTCTTGGCTCAGGTGTCTTAATCCCCCCTTCTGCCTAGTCCCAGGTCGTCTGCACCTTCATCCACATAATAGGATCAGTGCCATTACAGACCGACTGCTAGGCCGCTCCAGTTATCCCCTCTAGAGACGTGGAGACAAACGCTGACACACACACACACACACACACCCACACACACACACACACACGCGCGCACACACGTAGAGGTGGTGCATTCAGTAGCAGGGCAGAGATTAAACCCATTGTGGGTTTAAATCATTAATAATTGCAGATTGCAGACGGCTGGTAGTGGAGGAGCTTATGTTAACAATCCACCTGCTCTGCATCTGTTTACAGCTCTATTTACCAAGACTAGGAAGAAGTATCCAGATATGTGCTAAATAGATTAAAAATATTAAAATAAATGATGGGGTGTGGTTATCATTTTATAGGTCTATGTCATATGTTTGCACATAGGACAAAATAAGACTTAATTGTTTCACTGCATTACCTTTAAAATTAAAGATTCATTACTTTCCAAGAGTTATTATCTCACCATAAAGAGAAACATTTTGTCATAATATTGACAGAACAAGCATTTACATTAAAATAAGTCAAGATGCATACGTAAAGTGTCGCTTTTAAGCACTGCGTGCAAATTTTGAGAAAATTAAAGCAGGAGCTCATTGTGCCTTTGAACATACCCAGACGATGAGGTGGAGGTCGGGTGCTGATGAGAGGAGGACCCCTGCTGAGCGGGGTGTGCCTGACCTCTGAGCATATATAGACCCGTCCCTCTCCCATCCCATCTGTCCCGGAGCTCTGATGATGGATCCGGTTTGCAAAACGCCAGAGAAGAAAGGAGCGTGTGGACTTTGCCTGGGATGAAGAGACACAGACGGAGACGAATCACATAAAAGATGTCGCTTTAACTAATCCATGTTTCTTGAATTGGAGTTTTTGAAGGAGCAGTGTTCTTCTTTATGTAGTTATGCATATTATTCATGCTGCTGCACAATAAAGTAAAATTAACACACAAAATATAAGTAGATTTAGGTTCCTTTTTTCTACTTTTCTATTGGACAGTGAATCCCAATTGTTTCTCTGGGCTAAGGGAAACAGCTTTTAAACCTGAATTTTTCAGACCACTGATTATTACCACTGATATATTATATTTTATCTCACAGCCCGAATTAATAATTAGAGCTGCAATGACTAATTGGATTAATTATGACGAATAGATTGTTGATATAATCATCAGCTAACTCAGTAATCATTTGATCATTAACTGGAGTATACTGACTCAACCCAATTCCTGAAACAACATTTTCACAGCTTGTATGTGAAGTCAAGCAGAAAGAGTTGAGTTTTCCACATTCTTATGTTAGTATTTTTCAGATTCAGATGCATCCTTTGCTACAAATGATGAGGCATTCACTAAAGGAATGTTGTTATTGCATTTTAGGCACTAAACTGTTTATGTTCTAATTTTAAAAAGGAATTTAATTGTTTATTTGCATGTTTAATGGACTTTTAATATTGTACAAAAGAGTTTTAAATGAAAAACCTGCAGAATGTGCCATTTGTTTTTATCCAGTTAATCGATCAACAGTGATAATAGATTAATTGATAACTAAAATAGTTAATAATTTAACCCATACGATGTTTCGCGTGTGATTCCTAATACTAATGTGCAGCGGAAAAAAAATAACTTACAACAGTTTTGTTTTCCGTGTTCAATGACATTGACTAAAATCAGAAATATCAATCTTTTGTGACACTTCCCTCACTGCTGTCTCCATCGCAGGCTTCTGGTACAGTCCAGAATGTGACTTTGTGCGACACTGCATAGCCAAGTCTCAGGAAAACGTCGAGGGCAAAGTCCAGCTGTCTGTCTTCAAGGGACAGGTTTACCTCCTGGGACGAGAGTCGCCAAAGTCGCTGTACAACGAGGAGTTGGTCAGGTAAACACAGTGTGTGTGTGTGTGCGTGCGTGTGTGTGTGAAATAGCTTTAATGAAGGCATTCGTTTATCCTACCTGACATGTGTTGCTTGTGTGGCTGTTCAGGGCACAGTGTGGCTATTCCACATGTTCACCACTCAAGTTCTCTGATGACCCCCAACATCAGCATGCTAAACTGACCCTGCCTCACAAAGACATCAGAGAAATGTAGCGCCCATAGCCTGCAGGGCAGCTCCCTCTCCAAACCCCTTCGTTGCCCCCCGCCATGCCCTCTTAGCTGTGGTAACAGTGGGTTTGTTCAGGCGACTGACCCTTGATGCCCTCTGGGCAGGCTCAGCACTGACCAAAGGAAAACCTCTCCATATGGCTCTCCATCTCCACTTAAGTCACACACACTTCAGTTGTACCCTAGAGTCAGAGAGCTAATGGTGTTTTCAGCTAGAGGAGAAAAGTGATTTTGCCCGGCTTTTAGGAGAAAAGTAGCTGGGTGTCATGGTAGTTAAGCAGGTCAGAGGAAAGGGGACGAAAATATGGCTCCCACAGTGAGAAACACAGCTCTATAAACCCAAAGAAAGGCCCAGTAATTTATCACTTACAGAGAGTTAGTCATTTTTCGAGAAGAAAAGAGATAAACTGACACTGTACTCAGCTGCTTCGATCTGTTACATGCAGTTTTTCAGAAGAATGCTTTTGTTTCAGGAAAACATACAAACTTGAGTCTCTCTTTAGATAAATTAGAGTCGGTCTTTATCTGCATTTTGAGCTGGAACAACACAACGTTGTATCATATTTGTTCCCTAAAGTCAACACAGACGTTAGGGTTAGATTGCGGTTCATTCTAATACATTTTTGATATATAATGAGATTTATTTACAGTTCAATTCACTCCAAAATATTATAGAATACAGTTAAAGATAGTAAATTATCAAATGCGATTTGGTAAATGTTATCAAAGTAAGTCTAGCTGATTTTTTTTTTTTTGCTGTTTTTGCACCTATCATCATCTTAAGCAAGCATGCGGCAACAATGGGGAGGAAAAAACCGTTCCAATAAAACCTGATTTTATTATCCTGGAAAGTGTACACAGAGGTCATGGCAGTGATAGTTTTGTTGATAGGATTACCCAGAAACATGCATTACTAAAGCAGCACCTGTTTCTTTATGTCTTGGTCAATATTGTCATCATCAAATATAAATGAACAATTTTGTCAGGTGGCCTGTTTATTAATCAGTCAAACCATATGAATGTGTTCCAAAATTAAAAAATACAATAAAATTATGAAAAGGTATATATAAACAATGAAACATTATGTTATAAAAAACATATGTGGGAAAAGGTCCACAATAATGGTCCATGTTGCACTGACTATCCAGACATTTCTTGAACGTCCCTGCAGAAAAACTCTTAAATTCCAGTTTATCACATTCCTGAACACTCCTTAGAGAGTTTTTAATGTTTTAGGATGTTTTTTGAAAAGTGCAAATAAAGATTTATTTTACAGTTAGATCCAAAGTTATTCAATCTTCACTTCAAATTAGGTGCATTGGGACAAAAATAAATGTTCCTCCAATAAACATGTTTCACAAGAACTGCTGTTATAAGGACTTTATAGAAATTTAACATGAACACCTCTTTCAATGACTGCTGCAGTCTTATTGTTATTCAACTTGCTAAACTGACTTCTTAAGAGCCCAAATTTGCAAATCAGTGGTAGTTTCAGGAACGCCCGATGAAACCAATCAGTGGTTTCATTCGCTGCATCAGGTGTGCTTCAAATGCAACACTTGGAGTGTTGAAATCAATGTTTTAGAAAGTATAATTACTTTTCTGTCTTTATTTATTAAAGGAAGAAATGAGAATACATTTGTGCTTTGTTGTCTAGGCATATAAGTCAGGTTGCAAATTTATGGAAAACTATTAAAAGCTCAAATCATCAAGAATGTGTGGTTTGTCAATAACATATGCGTTTACCTGGCTTTGACTCACCTGAAAGCAGTGCACACTTTTCACAAAATCTTGCCACATTCATCTATACACACACACACACGCAGAGGGACCAGATTAGGCATGAAACCCCCACCGACATCCTGTTGGCTCTCCACAGGCAACAGTAAACGGCGTCATTAACGCAGTGGTAATACAGCCCGTCACCACACCCGTCTGAGACAGAAATGTCACCCTCCTCGCTCCTGGCCGGCTTTATTCTCAATTAGACTGCAGGGTTTCTTAAAGGAAAACACAATCACATGCTTACACGCACACACACTTCCACACACAGACACACACACACACAAAGTGGCGTATTCTTTGTAGCCACTTGCTCATAATGGCCCTCAGGTGCCGGGTAGGGAGCCTTGTATTGAGAGTTGATGATTTAGTTGTCGTCCTTTCTTTTTATAATGTTTATCCTATCATTTGTTGGCAATTTCCTCTTTTGCTAAGTGCTTTTAAAGAATGAGTGCAAGCTGTACGCCGGGACGTGGGGGTGTCTCAGGGAGGAGAGGACTCGGTAAGAGAGTGTATTAAACACTGCAGGTAGAAACTGCTGTAATTACGCGGCACTCTTTGCAAGACGCTCGCTGAGGTGTCTATACAAAGAGCGGTCTTAACATTAGACCCCTGCATAAGTTATGTATTCACTACTTTTCTTTGGAAAAGTGGAAGACAAACATCAGATTACAAAATCAACACAACTAGTGGCTTACAGATGAGGCGATTTGATTGTTTGTGAGTTTTAAATTATTTTTAATGGAGGTTTTTTTTTTTTTTTTTTTTTTGGAGCGTTTGTGTACATGAACATGTTTTCATTTTGCTGTATTGATTCTCCATCATTCAGGACAAACAGTACCAAACAGGTGCATTTAGACGAAGTCAATAGGAACTTTTTTTTTTTTTTTTTTCAAGAGAGCTGAAGAGACCACGTATCTCTGAACATTGGAGTTGAATTTATTTCTCTTTGGCTGTTGTTGCTTTTACTTGTCATTCACCAACCAGGATTTATGCTGGTTTGTGTTCGTACGTGGAAGTGTACGATTCTAAGCTGGAAAAATCAAACAGATTTGTTTAATCAGTAAGATGCATTTTGATTACTACTAGTATGATTATTATTGATTCTAATTTTACATTTCCAATGCAATCATCCATTTTCAATTAAAGTGTTGATATGGTGATTTCTGACCATTTGTTTTATGACACAGAAATGTCATTCATTTCTATAAAACAACAGCTTTTGTTTACAAATTGTACAGAACGTAAAGCATTATCTCATGTGTTTTTCTGTTTATTTTCTCTTCAGCATGGATGTACAAGGAGACTACGACCCTGGTGACGCCTCCGGATTCATAAGGGTTAATGCTGTCAGGTTAGCATTACTTGAAACCAAAACTACTTTCTATACATATGGAAAAAGTTTTACAAGTTCAATTAAAAGTTGGTATTCTCTCTTCCTTCATAGGCTAAGAGAGCATCATCGTTTGCAGGGTTTCTCTGGCAGCAAGCAGTAACTGTTGAACCATCTTTCTTTCTTCTTCCATGTTGCCACTGTGTCTTAAACTCTTAATAGGTTTAGACTTTGTTCCTCCATTGTCGACCTCTTGGCTTATTATCTTGTGCAGTTGTGTCAGCCTGTAAGCACAATAGCCTCTTATCATCGAAACTGTTTCTCAGATGTTCAGGTTTTAGAAAAACTTGTAATTTAAATCAAAATTAAATCAAAATATAAATCAAAATAAAATTAAATCAAAATATATTCTAATGGGTACTAATCATGATGTTTGATATAATACTTAGTATTTTAGCTACCAAGTTTGTTTTCTTCTTAATACATGCATTTTTTGGTTAGAGGTTTAGCTTTGTAACTACCATTAGTAGAACTGTTAAAACACTATTGATTGTTAATTTGAGCTGGTCTGGTAAGAAATAATAAAATATACAACTTTAATCATTTGAGCAGCAAGACTTGGGTGTTCAAGCTTGAATGTGTTGTTTTTCTGCAATCAATTAGATACACTGAAAAATAATTGGTTATTTCGTCTTATACATAGTCATAGGCAAACAATGTAATTTTTTTATCACTCTTCTTGTCAGAAATACTGGAACTCCTTTAACTTGCTTGGTTTTCTGGCAAATGCTACATTAGTTTACTTTATCCATTGTAAACAATAATTTGTGCTGCATATGGTTTTGTTTTTCTGTCAGCTTGTAAGGCAACGATGAAGAAACGCGAGGTAGTTTTCCATCTTCATATTACATTCCCTTTGTCTGCACAAACGGTAGCAAAACAACCCCTCAGCATGATGCTGCTACTTGTCAGCTGGTGTTCTTACCACAACTCCTCCAAATTGAATTCATGTTAGGGTGGCCAAATTTATGACAAACTGAAATGTTAATGACTCTCAGATGTTACCTACAAAGAAGGAAGTAGTTTTATTTTGTTTGAAGATGAATGTTTTGGACATTTGGTTGGAATTGAACGTAAGAATTACTGAAACTTTATGTTTCATGATGATTCCATAAAAAGAAAAGCTCGCATTCATCTTTGAGAGCATCTGTTGATGATATGTAAATCTTTAATCTCCTAACAGTCAAATCTGCAGATACTTATGAATTTATATACACTGTTTTTATTTTTTCCAAGTAGATCAGTCATTGAAGGTGTGAAATAGTCGTCCTGTTTTTGCCGCCTGCCTGTTTAACTGTTGTGCTCAATAACCTCGAAGACGCTGCATCATCTTAACGATATGCAGATGGAGGCCGGCACAGACTGATGGATCACTGATGATGACCGCTGGAGCAGAAGTGATGAGGCTGTTTCTGAGCACAAACGGCTCAAGTCAATCGGAAGGAAAACCAATCGGGTCACATATGTATATTTTATTGCTCAGCGTCGGGTCCTAGATTTATAGAGTAGGGGAACGCCTCTCAGACTGCTCATATGCACAGTATGGGAAGGCTCTGTCTTCATGTTTTTTGAGGGATTACAATGCCTAGCAAAAGTCATAATATTACCAGATGACAATGTTTTATAGGAATTTTATATGGTCGATTAGCACAAAGTAGTGGTATTAGTAATTTACTATAATGATGATGCATTTGAAACATTTGTAGAAATAAAAACATAAAAAGAGATTCATAATTCAGGTGGGGAACTTGTCAACAAGACAACTATTTGTTGTGTTTTCCTAAATCAAAAGACAAAAAAAAAAAGAAAAAAAACACCCTAAGACTGAAAGAAATCCCCTGTGCAGTTTGCCACAAACAGTGATAGAGACACAGCAAGAAAAATTAATACTTAAACATACTTTTAATTGTGCTTTGTCCTGTAGCGTTGCTTTGTTTTAGTAGCAACAGGGAAGCAGCTCACAGCTGATGTGAGCCGAGTTGAGATCAATTCTGGAGCAAATCCTGTTGGAAAATGCAAGACTGAAGACTCGTGCGGAGGTTTTCCCTCTGGCCTAAAAGTGACTAAACATCCAGCCAGAGCCACACTGTGTTGGTGTAAAATCAAAGCAAATTCACATTAAAATGACCTGGTGAAAGTTAAGACCCAAATCCAACTTAGAATCTGCGTCAAGGCTGACTGAGTTATGAAATCGACATCTTAAATGTGTTAAGTTGCTATAAAAGGTGTTTCTATGTAATTCAATGCATCAAGGCATGGTACAAAAAAAGACAACTGTGTTGTTTACATAACCAAATTCTTAAAAACGTCCATCTGAAATAGGTGAAATATTTGTGACTAATGCTTCCTTTGGCTGCTTCAAAACAAGATAAAATAGATCCATGTTTCTTTCTATTCATAATTTTGGTAAATATGCCTGGCCATCTTTCTACAATCTGCTCTGATGGCTGTAATAATGACTTAGCTTGTCTTACGCTCCACGATATTTGAACCCTCACAGCTGCCTCGCTGCCACGCCCTCATCCCTGCCACTGAAAGGTGTCAGTCCTGCGCTGAAGCGCCTGATACGCCGTGGGCCTCATGATAAAGTTCACAAGCACACGGGACCCCCTGCCAGGTCTAATGGGCAGTGAGGAACCCTCAGACCCTTTCAGTCCTGCAATGCCCCCTCAACCTCTGTTCAATTACACGGCAGGCGTCTCAGTCTTTGCCTGGTCAATTACCAGCCAAGCCCCTGCATTTACTGTCACGCATGCACTGGCTTTGGGATAATCAGTGTCCAAAATTGCTTGGTTGGATTTGAAGGATGGATGGAGACGTATTCAGATGAGCTATTCAAGCTGAAGGGAAGGAAGGTGGGACATGAACAGAGGCTCAGCACATTCGGTCTGGCATCATGCTATTTGTGACCTTTTAACGTTTTTTCTGGTGATCCATTGGAATTTTTTGGACTAATACAACAGCAGCTTTATATATATTTTACAGAGACAAGAGAAAGTGTCTCTAAAAATGTGTTAATTTGTAGTAAGATTTTGCCTTTATGTCTTTTTTTGTATTTATTACATCTCTTTGTAGTTTTTAATCATTTTTTTTGTTCATATTATAATCATTTTTATCAGCCCAAATTGTCTCACAACCATTCAAATTTCTTGGTTTTCTTAATAGAGTTTTGTAGCTTTGGTGTTTAAAAAAATTGGATAGATAAACTTTTGATATATTTTTTGTCTTATTGCTATTACAAGATAGTTTGTTGCAAACAAAATTTGATCAAGCTTAACCAATTTTCAGGTTAACTGGAAACCTGAAAATTCACGGGGGAACTTTGTATAAATGCAGTAGTGAGTTTATTAATTTACAAAAAGTAGGTTTTTTTTTGTTTGTTTGTTTAAGACCTACCCCCACTCATTTTTGTGCATGTGTTCCTTGCTACACGTCCACTTTCATACTCATTTACCACATCTCATATTCCACCTCCTACCTGCTACTCAGCCAGCCAGGTATGAAAACTGCTCGACACCTGACCGCGGGAATTAATCATCCTTGACCCTGGACCAATTACCCCTCATTACCCACTCGGTGTCCACCTCTCAGGGGAGAGCCGTATAACAATAGTGCGACATGAAAGTCGGCAGCAATACAGGCCAGAGCCCTAATGGACAATCCTGTGCAACCTCCTTAGGAGGCTAACCTTCAAGTCCTTGTCACTCTTCCAACAGTGCTCCCACAAAGGAGGTTTTTGTTCGGGATCAGGGTCCGTGACCTCCTGAAATGAAGTGCACAGGGCAGGGCCACTGGCAGTGAGAGGGAACCCAGAAGTCATTGACTCAGATTTTTGTGATGGTAGAAGTTGTAAAATTTCTAAGCCATTTCTTAGCGTGCAATTGAGACAAACTTTTGACATTGCAGTTTATCAGTAAATACTAAAAATCCACCCAGTAATAAAGACTCTTTTTCTATTTGCCTAAAAGTTAAATGCAAAGGTTATTATATTATGATCATGTTTCTTCATGACGGAGACATAAATGCGAGGAGAAGGCTGGCAGGCAGTGCATTCAACCTGTAAAACATTCAATCCGTGAAAAATGTTGGAGTCCGACTTGCAAAAACTGGGTGACCATAACAGTGAATGATATCCAAACAGGAGGTACACAGGAAAAATCTAAATTACAGCCATGACACTGGGAATAATCGGATGATGAAGCTGTATGGTTATAGTCCTGACAATGACCTGTAGCCAGGAGGGAGAATACATACTGAGGAGGGTGAAACCAGGTGAAACCCTCTTGAAAATGAATCAAAACATTAATTTTTCAAAGTAATTTTAACCTCTGAACCAATTTATTTAATTCATTCATTGAGTCAAGATACAGACCTAAATGTAATATTGTGAGAAAACTTATATTTGATTTGCTGAGGTACATTTTTCTGGCATTTAGATAAGAACATTCTAATGGTCTTTTCTTAACCATCTGTAAACAACATCTGCCTGAATATTACCTTTTTCAAAACTTTTCCCTCAACTCTCAAAAAAAAACAGTTTTTCTGTTTTCACATTGGATAAAGACAACCGGATCATTTGATCATATATTACAAGGTCTCCACACAGAAGGTGAATTATATTAGTACATAGTGAAAGAAACAATTTTAGATTTAAAAAAAAGTACATTTTTACAGTTTGGGAAAGAAAAATATATATTTTTCAAAATATTGACACATTCGGCAAAAAAAAAATCAAGCCTGTAAATCAAGAACTGATTGTATTAAAACACAGCTAGTGTTTTAGACTGTGAGCAGTTTGACCAGAAATATGCCTCTAAAACTTTTCACATTAAGGAAGCAAGTAGTCCATAGTTACAATTTATGGAAATTACTTTGAACCTAGCAGAGCCCAGCAGAGAAACAAAACATAATTTAATGCTGAAATCAGACCTAAAACCATGTTTTAAGACATAGCTGTCTTTCTACGGAACAACACTGACTTATTTGTTGGATAACAAAAGAAACAACCGACTAAACAAAGCCTACAGGAATGTGCTGTCTTCAACCCATCAGGATATTTTGTGGTCATCCAATCTGTGCTCTTCATCTCCCAGTTAGAGTAGAAAAGTATCACATGTTCTGTGACCTTTACTCTTAAAACACAATGAGAGGCGGAACAATGACCATACAGAGTTAATTACAACCAATTAGATGTCAAAGTGGTTCTCCATCCCCATGGTTGCTGTGTAATCTAAGCTCTCATGAAGGTTTCCGTGAGATGCATGCAATATGAATGTGCAACAATTTTCCACATTAACGTCCTGCCTAGATTTTAGATTAATCCAACCTCTGGAGGTTTATGGTCCCTCTTATTCCCTTTGCACGGTTTACCTGTTTGTTTTTAGTTATATCTGAATAAACTGCCAGTTGTGTTTCCACATTTCACTTAATGCTGCTTTACTTAGCAGGTATAAGGGGTTAATGGGCAGATCTCAGGAGGTTAGTACAGAAAGCTAATGGGCCTGGTGAAGATGATGAGGTCACTCCCTTATTCCTAACAAAGAGCGATTTATAGGCCAGGATGCTAATCCTGCAGGCTTGCAGTTCAATCAAATATTTATAATTGCACATTTTATTTTCATCCGTAACATCAAATGGATCAGGACATATTGTAATAATTGATGATAAGTGCTTCAATTTACAATAATGGCGTTTTACGCAACCTTCTCTTAGCATGATAGCCAAGTCTGGCTGAACACTGGTTGCGTAAGGAGAAGCATTTGTTGTATTAATTTGTGAATCAATTCTATTGCTTGTGTCCCATGGCTTAAATGCCACTCATGCTCTGACAGAGCTGATCTGTCCTAATAGCTCAGATGTGTGCTTCATTCATACTCCTGAAACTTGATCTCCTGCTGCAACATCAAGAGACCATCTGTGAGGAACCATCAGATTAAAGCAGGATACTCTTTGCCTTCCAGGCTCGCCAACATCCGTGACTCCTGTTTGCGTGTGTGTGTGTGTGTGTGTGTGTGTGTGTGTGTGTGCTTCCACCTTGATGTAGAAGCTTATTTTCTGGTGTCAAAGGACACCCATACAGTGATGTCCTGACAATCTATAGACAGATGGGACCATTACGGTCAAAGCCCCTGGCT